CATTCTGGTACTTTCATGGAACTTAAATATAAAAAAACTATTTTTATGAAAATATATAGATGATTAAAAATTGTGACAAGATGGTACGGTACTATTATTTGATTATTTCGCCACAACTGAGAAAATTTCGAAAATTCAATTAGTAATTGGAAATACTGAAAATATGAATTTATTTCAGTCGAAATTCATGGGTCCTCTGGAGGAGAATTATCTTCACCGTAAGTATATGTTTAAGAGTTATTTTCCATCATTAGGTTTAGTCTACCAAATTATGCCAAAGATTCACTTGGATTCAAGGGACGAGTAGTTCACCAGGATTCTGTAGATCTATTTTTCCTAGAGTAGAAAACCAGTATTGACGCTCCGAAATCAAATAAAAATTTATGAAATTATTTAAGCGAAAAGTTTCCTGTAAAATTTTACAAATTCATTTTTCCTACAAGTTTAGCCGTAATTTAAAAATAAATAAAAAATATAAAAATATTAGATATATTCTAATTTTTTTAAACTTTTTTTGTTGATTGAAACCGACAGAAAATAGATCGAAATAAATAAAATTTAGTGAATTTAATTGAAAAACCAACTTAACAAAGCAACAAAGACGAAAAAAGCAAATTTGCTAAACGTTCGCTGAATTTATTTTGAGTGATATTCAATAAATAACAAATAAAAAAAAATATTAGTAAAATATTTTACCAAGAATAAATATTATTAATAAATTTAAAATATTTTATTAGAGTAAATTTTTAAAAAAATTTCAAGTTTCAAAAATTTTTTAAAATTCATTCAACTGGAAATAATAAATAAAATCGAAAATCACAGATTTTATGGCATATTTAATTTAAAAAAAAAATGCATTTAATATTTTTTTTTCGTTTTTTAGGTATTTTTAAAATTTTTAAGATTTTTAGCGCGTTTTAAAGGGACAAATAAAGGTGAAACGATAATTTAGTAATTGCAGAAAAATGAGAAATAATTTAAGCGAATCGGCAAAGAATAATAAAATATGCATTTATTTTATTTCTTTGGCCAAATATTTGATCAAAATCAAACAGCAAAAGCAAATTAATCGTTATTTACTTTAGTTATTTTTAAGAAATTTATTTTTAACAAAATTTTGAGTATTAAAAGGTAAAACAAATGTAACTTGAAATGTAGCTTAAAATTTATTAAAAATTTAAATAAATAAATATTTAATAACAATTTAAAGTTGAAAATATACATTACATTTTGATCATAATTGAACGGCCAAAAAAGCGATAAAAATGAAAATATATTTATATTTTAATTTTGGCATAGAAGAAAAATATTATTGAATATATATTATCATTGCAAAAAAATTATTGTCAATATTAAAATTATTAATATTATTATTAATATTATTAATAATAATATTAATTATTAATATATTATTAAATAATTAAATATGTTGAAAATTCAAAACAATTATTAAAAATATCAAAATTATATCTCATTCTATAGTACCAGTGATAATTGGGAGCATTAAGAGCTGTTACCATTAAATTAGAAAAATGGCTTCAACAGACTCAAGGAATAATATCTCCGTCTAGAAGAGCACTTAACGAATTTTTATTCAATATTAATTTATAAAATATTTATGATTTTGCGAGTTATTTTTGAATTTCGATTCATTTCGATTTTCGTATAAACTTGAGTTAATTTGCATTCCGGGCCATACATTCACCATTCACCAATGGATGTTCTTCCATCATTTTCTAATATTACTGGCTGTACCATAACTAATTAAATTAGCATCGCTGCAAGAGTGACGCACTTGTAAACCTTATGATGTAACGCTACATCAGAAGTCTTGGATATGTCTTAGCTAGCGATAGCTATGCAGTAATGACAAGAGCTATTTAAAGAAGAAAGCAATATAACTCCTTTTCCGCCATCTAAGCCTACCATATTACTAGGCCGCCTATACGTTGGTAACTTCTTTTCACCATACTAAATCTGTACCAGATCTCGATTAGTTCCCTTCGCTTTTGGCACCATTCAGCAAAGGATTTAAGCGCTTAGCGATTTCTATGATGAGAATATGATCCAATCAGTGTGAGAGAAGCCTTGTGATGTGATGATGATAGTTTTTTGAGCTATGTGCGTATAATTGTGCAATCATGTAATTTTGCCCGTCTCAATGAGCATATAAAATTTATCTTAGGTTATGAATACTCAAAACAAAAGTAGAAAAGTAGTACTTGTTGTTCGTATCAGCTGAATGCGGATTTTCATCTTTCTTAGCCATTTTGCGGTGATTCCACAGAAGTTTCACCAGTCAGATGAACGCATTTCGTCGTAGAGAGGAAAGAATGCAATTCTGATGAACGCAATTTCTTGTTTCGATAAAAAAAAAAAATGAGATAATCAGTTCTCGATACACATAGAGTCGTATTAATGTATACATGTATTAATGATAAATGATAAATATTAAATGATAAAATACCTTTATGAGTCGAATGATCTTTTCTGTCACATTATTGAATATCACCGATCAATCTATTTCTTTTTTTCATTTCTTATGCAAAAACATTCTATACAAATATATTCTGTGATAAAATTTAAAAGGAACCATTAATTTCAGATTATTAAAAGCAATGATGAATACAAAAACTATGACTTTGAATTGGAAAATTTGAATTAATGAGAAAAAATTCTTTATTAAAAATTTTTTTCATAAAATAAAATAAAATAATAAATTTTTAATGAATTTTCTTAAAGAACTGCGAACTTTGATCAATGAAATTCTTCATACTTAATAGTTTTTTTTTCTCGAATTTTTAAATTTATTTTATTTAAAAAAAAAAAAAGTAATTGTTTAAATTGTCTAAAATTTCTTTTAGACTTTTTTAGACTTTTGATGTGTTTATACTATTATATTTAATATACTTTCGCTTAATTCTCGAATAAATAAGCCAATTTTCCTTCTAATAACTCGAACAATTATTGGCTCAGCTGGCCATATGGATAAGCTGTTTTCAAGCCGTCCGGTCCAATGCCACAACTAAAGACACAGCATAAGCTCATATATCACTGCACCATTGCTACCGTCGTCTAAGCTCATATATCACTGCACCATTGCTACCGTCGTCTAAGCTCATATATCACTGCACCATTGCTAGTGTTGTCTAAGCTCATATATCACTGCACCATTGCTACCGTCGTCTAAGCTCATATATCACTGCACCATTGCTAGTGTTGTCTAAGCTCATATATCACTGCACCATTGCTAGTGTTGTCTAAGCTCATATATCACTGCACCATTGCTAGTGTTGTCTAAGCTCATATATCACTGCACCATTGCTAGTGTTGTCTAAGTTCATATATCACTGGACGGCTTATACGTCCAGATTCTGGGGTAATTGTAGAAGCCTAAATATTTGATTCGCTCTAAAACTTGTGGACTATTTGGACAGCGACAGCGTTTATGCCTAAAATAAAACGTTTTATTTTTTCTCCTCTTTTACCTTTTCAATTTTTTTCCTATTGTCTTCGATTCCATGTACTATTATTTCTGAAAATTTAGCGATGATTACGCTCGCAATTTGAAATAATTTTATTGAAATCTCTTCAATCTCTTTTTATGATTTTTCTATATCCTTTAGAGTAACTGCAATTTCTTCTTAAAAAGAAGAAAAAAAAGGTTCATATAACCGAAAAGTACATTGATATTGAGCTGTTAAAATTTTTTAAATTCTTAAGTGGTAAATTTGAATTTTGTATTTTTTTTGTTTTATTTTTAGATTTGTTGTGGAAAATGGATTTTTTATTGGTTTTATTAGTTTCGTAAGTCGTTTGAGATTTTTAAATTTTCTCTTTCGCTCCATTCGAATAGAGGAATTCACAAATATAAATCTGTTGTTTTTGGTTTGTTTAACACCAAAAAATAAGGCTAAATTTATTTTTGAAATTAGTTGAGATGAATTTTTTATTTTCCACCTTTTTTTTCATTATTTTTTTCTATTAAAAATGTGTAAAATATTCTAATTTTAATTCTCTCTCATCTATGAACGGTTACGACTGCTCTCAATCTCGGTTCGTCTACCTGAGGCCTAGGAGATTGAGGGTGTTGAGCGCGGTGCCTTAATGCATACTAATAGTGCATTCTTTCTGGATGGACATCTCTGATGTCTTTCTCGGAATCTATTGGCGCTATTTCTCTAGCTTAGAGATCAACTCCGAATGTTTAAATTATCACTGGGATTTTTTTTCAAAGAGTCCTCACTAGTCCTCACTATTACTGGTTAAACTCGCTCTACTGGCTTGTCGCATTGGGCAATATGCGAGGGAGTTCTTTGGCGATAGAAATACAGATGAGTCACTAGCACCACCCGGACTTTTGTACAGGTTCACTCCTGCAAGCATTCAGAACTCAACATTCTCGCCCACCCAGTTGATCAACAACCCACTAAGCCATTCTATCACCTGTCACTGGTATTACTTTGGTCTTTATTTTCCACATCTTCTCTGATTCCTCTTTCAGCTTTTTCTCATTCCTTCTTCTTGACGTTCCTGTCACTTTGTACTGATATATCAATCACTAGTGCTGATGCTTTGTTTCTGATCCTTTTTTATTACTTACGATATTTGGTTGATTGGCCAATATTTGTTTGTCTATTCTGTTAAATCATAAAATATTCATTTTGCTAGTTATTTATTATGTTTTATAAACTATTCAATATCACGTTATATTTACTAAATTTGCACATTGTATTTTATCAAAATAATGGGTTACAATTTCATAAAAGTTGAGTACTTTTCTTTTGTCTAATATGAAAGAAAATATTGGCTAAGGTAGATTAGAGGAACCAAAAGTTCCTTATAATCTTTAAACACTTTACTTTCTTTGTTTTTCTGGCCCTATTAATTAATAATTATCAGGTAAATCACGTATGAATCATTTATTTTAAAAAATAGATCGAAATTGAAATAGACATATGTTTAAGGCAAACAGTTTTCTTTAAAAATGCTTTAATAGGATGGGAACAACTGAGAAAGCAGTGATTTATCGAAGAAATGAACCTGGAACAAAACGAGAAGAATGGTTTAATTGGCCTGATTTGCCTTTTGATGAAGTTCTTTTATCTTTTGTTTTTTATTAATTCTTTATTCTTAAAAAATTCTTAAAAAATTGAAAAATAATGAGTAATTTTTTCGTTATTCAAAATAAAATGCTTGAAAAATTATCAATTTTATTTGATTTCATAACCATTTTTATATATTTTCTATTTTAAATGAATTTTTATTTAATTTTATTTAATTTTAAAATTTTTTTTTTAAATTTTTTAAATTTTAAAGATGGATAGTTCATTAAATACACAGCAATATATACAGCAATGTATACATGCTGATCCATCAGATATCGATAAAATTTTAAAAGCACCACCGGGACAAGAAGAAGGTGTTTGGAAATACGAACACGTTAGGCAGTTCTGTATGCAACTGAATGGTTTGGCTCTATTATTACAAGTTTGTTATTATATTGAAATACTAATTTTAGTGTAAAATAATATAAAGTAAAATATTATGCACTCGGTATTAAAAAAAAAGAAAGAAAAACAAAACACTACAAACTATAAATTTAAAGTAATTATATAAGTTATTAATTATATAAAATACAATACAAAATTAAACAAATTATATAAAATGCAAAATTTGTTAAAAATTTAAGTTTAAAATAAAAAAAGGAGAAAAAATCTGAATACTTTGAAAACTTTAATTACATTTTCTTAATAAATTTTGTCAAAATGTTCGATGCAAATGATTTTATCTGGTATTTGCATCTTTTTAAAATCCTCTTATGAAGGTTTAATTGGCATCTGTTGTTATATTTTTGAGGCTTAATTTTCAAATCATCTGATCGAATTGTGCTGGAATTTGACGAGGAATTGAAAGATAAGCTATGCTATAATTCAATAAGTCTATATAACATTTTATAAGTTATAAATTATTTAGTACGAAAATATTCATAAAGAGCAGGCACAGATAATTTCTGATGTTTATGTGGTAAAGTGATATTGTTTGCTTCATTTCTTCATTTAGTTGAGTTTGGAGAAAATTCATTTTGTGGTTCATTGATGGAAATATGAAGCACCATCTGAGGGATATTTGCGATATTGCATTCTTCACGAATTTCATCAGATAAATCAATAATGATAGCAACAATTAGCATAAATGAAGTAATAAACGAAGAACACTGCGAAACAGTATTTTTGAAGAGGCATCAAAAATGGTTTTTGAAGTTATAGTCCGAAGAGTTTGTTGAAAATTTTTTACTCACGATCGATGATCGAAGTAATTCAAAATAAACATTGGATGAAATCCAAAAAAAAAAAATAGATTATGACAAGTAAACAATATTTCATTCTTCAAAACATGGGGAATCAAATAAGGCTATTTGCGTTACACGATTTGCCCGAAGAGCACATTATTTAGCGATCGTCAGTGTCTTCTTCGCTTCTTTCTTAATAGCAAGAGGAATCATTTTTGGGTAGATTTCTTTTGGCGAAAATAAAAGATGAAAAAAATAATTAAGAGAATAAAATAATTAATTAATGCGAGGGTAGTAAGTTCCGAGGATAAAGAAGGATATGGGATTCAAAGATATTTTTATGGGTTTTATATGGCACAACTTGAAAGGTTATTTGGGTTTTTAAAAAGTGTTAGGGTTACTAATGAGTTAGTATGAGAGTGGAACATTGGAGGCTGAAGAGAAAGGAATGACCGAGCTTAGAGAGTAAAGATATTTCATGAATATGAATGTTAAAAAGAATTTTCGAAAAATATGGCAGGATGATTTTTTTTCTGAACAAAAAATATGCTTGCACATGGACACATGGGCAGAGGCTTGGCTAGAGATCAACTACATATACTCACATGGTTATATATATATAATATATATATTCACATACACATACACACGCATTTGTACATACTGATATAGCAAATTATTGCATAGGCGCATCCAAAATATTTTTTTTCGTATTATTCATAAAATTATTCAGGATGAATGTAAACCAGATACGTGTGTGCAGATGACAGCTACTGAACAATGGATATTTTTATGTGCAGCTCATAAAAATCCGAAAGAGGTTTGCTTTCTTTTTTTTTCGCTCTTTTACTAACATTTTATAAAATATAATAATAATATAAAATATATAATGATAAAGAATAGTATGAATAATGAAAAAAAGACATTTCAATTATGGCATATATTACTGATAGCAAGAAAGTGAGTGGTTAACGGTCACTATTTCATGTTAGGTCTTGGTGTCAGTTAGCGATTAAGTACGGGTGAATCTCAAGGCAACAATTATCGGTTTTTAATGAAAGGTTTATTTCTGTCGATGGCAGGAGACGAATCGTTTGGACGATATTCTGAGCCACTACTATCTAGCTATTATACTTTTGAGAACAGTGGCAATGGGTTATCATTTAGAGAAAATGAAATCCACTTGATCAGAGGTCATTGGTGCGTTTTCAAGAGATTTTATCACCTTAATTTTATTGGAACGAAACAAACCAAATGTGTTGCATGCTATTAAAAATTGTAGTTAAAAAGTGGATTTTATTTACATTTAGTGTTCTGCGATTGATTATACGCGTCATACACTTGATGGAGCATCAGCACTTTTAAACAGTAATAAATATTTTCCTAGTCGAGTTTCAATCAAAGAATCTTCAATAGCAAAGATTGGTTCGGTATGTCGACGTATTTATCGTATTTTTTCACATGCGTATTTTCACCATCGAGAACTTTTCGATAAATTCGAGGTCTTTTTATAAATTCTCTATTTATCATTTAGTAATAAGTTACAGTTAATTCTCTCGAATGGAATAAATTTTCAAATTCTTTATATATTTAAATTTTTTTAGATTTAAATTTATTAATTAAATTAAATTAATTAAATTTATTTATTTTTATTTTCATTGTCTATTTTTAATAAATGTCTTGAAATGTATAATAACCTATTGATTTTTTTGAAAAAAAATGGCTTCTTTTTTTGTTGACCGAAATTCTTTTGCACACCAAATAATTTTTTTTTTATTGTGATTTTACTTAATAACCTAAAATAACTAAAAATTTCAGGCTGAAACTCATCTCTGTCGTCGTTTTACCACTTTTGTTAAAAAGTACAACTTAATGGCTACTGAACACTTAATTGTTCCCATCGGCAATGAATGAAGTCAGCTGCAACATCTTATTGCTCTTTGGAAATATTTTTATATACAGTGGTATTAACGGAAAGGCTATAGAACATTTCACCATTTTATGCTTAGTTTTATTTTTCGAGTGGAGGGATCTATTACCTATTTATTATTTAAATACTGGAATTCGCGAAACATAGGATGAATGGCAATCGGTACATCTTCCAGAAATCCTTATGAAATTTTTCAGACCATCTCACTCTTCTCATATGAGTTAATGCTATTCTGTTTGAGGAATGAATTTCGCGAGTCCTTATTGAAGCTAAATCTTTATGCAAATGCAACACTCGTCTTTTTTTTCATAAGGACTTGTCTAAAGTGTAAATTGTATGTAAATATTTTATTAAATCTCTTAGCCACAAATGCATTGTTGTTATTGAATTGTTGTCGATATTTTCGCTAAATTATACTATATTTGTAATTTTAAATTTTCGCAATTTTTAATTATTTTTTCAGTGAATTCGAATTTGAATTCTATTCAGATATCCAATATTTTATTAATCGACAATATGATTACTGTAAAGTGATCATAGTTTGTATTTGGCGTTTCTTGTTTTTAACCTATAAAATAAACTTTTTTTTTTTAATCATAATACGAGTTTTTTCATCGTTTCCTAATATTATAATATTGAACAATTATTCATTTTATCGTGAAAGATATAATTAATAATAGTAATCAGAGAGAGAATGTTATGTTAATGATATGAAAATTTTTGCAACATTCGCTAATATAGTGAATTATCAATGAGATTCTTTAGATTATGGAGTTGATAAGCGATACATACAAGCAAGAATCAGCGTTTGACTTATTTGTAAGTCTTCAAGCTTCTTGGTTATTTCTGAAGTGTGGTTGCCCGAATATTGATTCGCTTCTTCATGGAGGTATTTTAAAAGGTGAGATTACAGAAATTGTTGGCGCGATTGCAGTAGGCAAAACTCAGGTTTGTTCTTCTCTTTGTTATTTTACAAAGAAAAAATGGTTATATGAAAAAATGCAAAGCGAACTGAGTACCAATTGTAAATTATTTATTAAGAGATTTTTTAATTTTTTTAGTTTTGCTTGACAATAACAGCAGAAGTGCTATTGAATCTTGAAAATGATGATTATGTGATATATATTGATACTAATGGAAGTTTTCGAAGCAAACGCCTCCTTCAAATTATCAATTCGCGAAATAGTTCGGTGAAATTTTAAATTTTTATTCGCTATGATTCGATATACTATTATCTTAGTTTTTCTTCTTCAAAGAGAACTCAATTTATTACTGTTTAGTGTGGTTGGTCCACTCGCTATTTTTTTTTAAGAGTCCACACCATTACTGGTTAAACTGGCTAGCTTGTCGCACATGAAGTCTCTTAACGATAGAAATACAAGTGAGTCGCCAGCATCATCCGGTTTTTTATACAGGTTTATTCCTGCGGAGAATCGAACCTCACCATCGTCGCTCTCAATTGAACAACAACCCACTGAGCTATTCTATCCCGATTCACTATTAGGATGAGATGTCGCAAGCGGCTCAATCTGTTATCATATCTGAAAATGATTGAAATTTTTTTCCACTTTCGTTAACAAATTTTGTGCATTCTCTTCTGAATCCTTTAGACGAGTTCCTATTTATCATATATCAAATTATCAAATTATGAATATTATGCACGTCTTAAAATACCGCATACCAGTGTGAAATTATACCTTTTCACTTAGCAATGGAAGTGAGTCCTAAATAGCTAACCGAATTTTAGAATTTTTCACGCAATGACTATCAAAGGATGTAAAAATGAGAAAAATGTTAAATAAAAATAAAAATAAATTAACATTTTGATTTTTTTTTTCAAATTTAAAATTAAAAAAATGAATTATCATGAAATTATCTGAATTATGAGATTGCGAAAAACGAAAAAGCTTCGAGAAATTCCAAGAAACAAATATTCTATTAGTCAATAATTGATATAGATAATTATAGCTTTTTAGTTTAATTGAGGGCGAAAGAAATTTCAGACGAATTTCACAAAATAATCCCAAATTTCAAAAATTATTATTTTAACAATTTTAATTAATTAATTTTGTTGATAATGGATTTAAATTTAATAAAATTAAAATTTTATTTTCAGCGGATGCAAAATGTTGAATATTTATTATCGCGCGTTCTTGTAATATTTATTAATGATGAAAATGGCCTGAATAAAGCTTTAGATAATATTAAGGTAAATTTTATAAAATGATAAGTTTAATGATAAGCTAAATATTATGCATATAAACGAGGTCGAATGATTTTTCTCTTTTGCTGATTCTGAATTGGATTTTTATGGAACAAATGGTTTAAATTATGCTTTAATGTTGAGGAAAGGAATGTGTATAAATTATATAAATTTTAAATCATTTAATCGTCGCTGAGTTTTTCGTAGTATTAATTATTAGTAATATTGAGATAACCTAGTAATATTCTAGGTCTTTTTTAAAAGCCCATAATTCGCCCATAATAAAATTATCTAATGTTTTAATTATTTTTTAAATTATTTATTAATTATAAAAAATTATTTATCCTATTTATTTGGCTAAATTTTTATCTCATAATATTTTTATTAACTATTAGCTATTTGCCTAAACAATCCTATTGAAATGCTTTCAATTTTTGGTGAAATTTCATGAAAATTGAGAATTATCAGAATTATCACTGCGATATCATTTAACATAAATATATCCTCAGTCCCTTCATATTCTTCATATTCTTTCTTCAAGATGAATTTTGTATTTATAGTTAGAAAAATAACAATATGCCCCACAAACCATCGAGCAATAGCATTATCTTTTTCAGCGATGTGGGAAGAAAATAAGTTTGCTAATCGTTGATAGCATTGGTTCGGCACTTGCAGAAACTTCTCTTTGTTATCTTGATAAGGGTAAGATTTCTTTCGTTCTTATCAGCTTTTATTATTAAATTATCCTTAACTTATCTTATTTACTTATTACTTATCTTACTGATTACTTATCTTAATTTCTTTATCTCTTTTAATTCTATTCAAAGGTAAGGTGATTGTGGATGAAATAGTCGAAAAACTACGATCGATTGCATTAGTGTTTGGATGCGCTGTTCTCACAACAAATCATTTGGTTTTTTGGAGAAATTCTCCATCACCGTCCTTAGGTAATCGATGGTTGACGGCAGTTAATTCAAGATTCTTAATGGAGAAACTGCCTAATGGCTTTTGTATACAACTTATCACTTCTAAAAGATACCAGGTTTTTTTATTCTTTTAAGTTTGGAAATTTTAGAAATCTCTATGTAAGGTTCATAGTTCATAAAATATCTTTTTTAAATATCCAAGTAATTTTTTTTTTTAGTTATCTGGTGAACAAGCTTTTTATGAAATAAATGAAAAAGGAATCGATTCGCTGAAACAAGAAGATAAGAAAATTATCTCTGAAGCCAGTTTAATTTCTTCGTAAAGTAATGGAGGTTTTTTCAATGAAATTTTTATCGTAGAGTAACAGATAAATATACGATTTCAACCCTCAGGCAATAAATCCACTCACCTCCTTGATTTCCACTATCAGCAGACTGACCGTTTGATGAAAAATTTCATCATTGGAATTGTTGTCCAAAGGGATATTTATAGGTCTGTAGCTTGTAAGAGAGAAGAAACGCTGATACTCGACCTATGGCGTTATATTTTCCCACCATGTTCTTTGTTTATCATTGTTTCATTATTAAATTATTATGTAAAATTTTTTTATTATAAGTTTGGGATATTCTTGTTGTTGGCATTATGATGAATTTGATAAATAATTTTTGTACTGTTGCATTGAAATATAAGGACCGAAGAAGAAAAGTCATAATTATTACTAACCATGCGGCAGGCTAAGTTTCAAGTCATAAATTTGAACTCGAATGGTTTTCAAACAATGCATTGACGAATTCGCATAAATCTATTCAAGAACCGATTATTTTAATCATAAATCGTAAAAATTTGAATCCTTTCATATTATTCTTGAAAATTTAGGGTTTTTAAAATATATATTAATTTAAAATTTTTTTATTTAATTTTTTTCACAGTTTCAGTTTGTTCATCATTAAATAATGAATCAATATCACAGAGCGTTTCACCAAAAACCGCTTCAGCAAAATACCAACCAACCAGTGGTGAGAGCCAGTAAACTACTAAATGTGCTATATGTGTGGCACCTTCGCAATTAAATGTACAAGCCCATGCAACAATTGGATTTGCGTACATTCCAGTGTAATTAATTCCTATAATTGATATTAGAAAGGTTCTTTTTGAAGGATTATTGGAATTTTCAACAAAATCATTTTCTATAAATTGATAGTTAAATATTTTTCATAGGATGGATTCTTTTTTAAATAGTGCTGACTATTTCTGGTTTGTTCCTTAAGTTCTTTCCACTAGCTTATCGGACCATAAGAATTTTGCCAGGGATTCATTTAACGACAAAAGTATAATTCATCAATATCGCCTGGATTCTCAGAATAAATATATATTTTTTCCTGTAGTTCCTTAGTTCACCGAAATAACAGTAGTTGTTATTCTACTTTATCCTATAAAGTGAAATGAAAAAAATGGGAAAAAACTTGCCTAGAGCAGTAATGAAGCCCGAAAATGCACTATTTATAATTGATGTAGTATGGAAGTCACTTTCACAATGTTCATTAATTAAATAATCTATAGCTTTAGATATAAATGTCGCTATTCCTTCTATTAAACAACCTGTCGTTATTGTTACCTGAAATTCACCTGAAGTGGTTTATTCTTAATGGATTTTTTTTTTTTAAAAGCCCCCATCATTGCTGGTTAGACTCGTTTCGCTGGTTTGTCGCACTAGTCAAATATGTCAGGGAGTCCCTTGGCGAAAGAAGTGCATGTGAGTCTCGAGCATCACTCGAATTTTGGATAGGTTTACTCTTAGTATTGGCGCTCTGAACTGAGCAATTTATATTGGATACAGGCAAAGCTTGGAAATATCAAAAAACTTTTCATATTCACTTCATACCATATTCACTTCAAGCCCAATTTAAAATTTTATTAAATTATTATTTTAGGCTGAAAATTTAAAGAAAAAACTAAACTAAACGTACAGCAAGATCGCTATCACAATGTTCCATTTCAAGTAAATCATTATGTTTTTTATGGAAATTTAATCGCCAAAATATTTTCGCAAAAAAATATGATAAATAAGCAGCAATTAATTGTATTGCAAATACGTAGACGATTCGAATAAATGCTTTCGTTTTTTTCGTTGAAGATGTAATCTTAATAAATAAGAAAATGTTGGAATAATATTAGTAAAGTAATGATAAAATAATAATAAATAATAGCTTCATATAAGTAAGTAAGATTAATGATTAGCGCTTATCATGTTTGGCTAAGCTGGTAATATTTGCTGATGATTAATAAGAACAGATTTTTAATTATAGTTAGAATTTTTGTAATAAATGTTCTAAGTTTAGAATAAATACTTCCAAAATATAATATTTTTTTATATTTATAAATTTATAAATAAAAAATTAGCCAAAGATAATTGTAATATATGGTATATTCAAATGATTGCCTTATTAAAAAAAAAAATTCCTCAATTCAGATTCAATTATAAATTTTTTATTCTGAAAGGTTTGGCCTTTTTAAATGAAGCAATGGTGTGAAGACGAAGATTGATTCTAAATAACGTAAAAATCGAGGTTCGCTTCATAACAAAAAAATCTTAAGCCTGCGCCTAATATTAAACTGATTTGATAAAATTTCGACTCCGACTTCCCTAAAGGACTTCCGTATTAGTATTAGTTATCACTCGCCGTCAATTCATTGCTCAAATGAAGCTCTCTCAATTTTAATTTTAAACTTCAAATTTGTGATTCTCATTTACGAGTGTAGAAATAAGTTTCGATAAATTTTTCTCGAATAAAAGTGGAAAAAAAATAAAATTTTCCATTTTTTATTTATTTCGTTGAAAAATTAAAAAGGTTATTCAATAATTAATTTAAAAAAATTTAAATTTTTTTAAACGAACCAAAGGACATGGATGTGCAATTGCTTCTCTTAAAAAATAACAATTTGCTAGTTCAATAGCCGTAATCTCAATAAATACACCGAAAAGACCGTAGGTTTCAAGGATTAAATTAACATCAAACATCGGAGTGCATAATTGCAATGTACCCACAAACTAAAAAAGAAATTTATAATAAATTATCGAAATAAAATAAATAATAGAAAATAGAATTATCAATCTTTATCAATTTTATCAATGTTGATCATGAAAATTTTAAAATTTTTGTTTTTATTAATCTTACATCAGAAATAATTAGGTAACTAAATAACCCTCTTTCAGTTTCTGCGATTGGCCACAATGAACATTGCATAGCCTAGGGCGACGTTCCGTGATAATATTATTAGTAATAATTAGCAATATCATTGTTCAAATAATTAGCAAATAAAAAAAATAAAAATATACCTCAAAAAGAAGATTTCGAGTTGTTCGACCAATATAATATTTTTTTGCACAATACTCAATAATATAGCGTAAAATTTCACAAATAATAAAAATAAATAAATAAAATATTAAAGATGCCGTCCATACTCTCATTTATCACCCCTCAAAATATTTTGATTTTGATAAATAAATTCTCAGTGATAAGAAAAAATCACTTATCATTTATAAAAGCCTTATCATAAAACTGGTGAGAACAAGTTAAAATGTCCGAAGAAAAAGACGAGGAATGCAGTTCGATTGATAATCTCACAAGGTCATAGATAAAGGTCAAACGTTTATTATTATTATTTTAATATGGGCTTTCGCACATATTAATTTGATAAGCAATGAATTTAATGATAAAATTTTCAAATCATTTTTGTAGAACTTGTAGAACTACTCGTTTTACATACAATAAATAAGCTACTATTGTAATTGTAAAACGAGAAATAAGAACGCTTAGAAGGCTTAAAATCGGAATCACTTTGAACAATATATATTGCTGTTGTGAAATTAATATAGCGAATTTTTTTTTGTATATGATTTTGGATGCTAATAAAATAAAATTATCATGAAATTATTATGATAACAGTGATAAATAATATTTCTATATTATTATGATAAATAAAAGAAATAATTAGATAAATATGGATAATAAATATTTGCACAAATAAAAATAGTTTTTAATGGCTTAAATTTTCAGAACGTTTTGAAACTTCTGAAATTTTTATTTTTAAAAAATTTATTATTATTATTATCATTATTATTATTAATTATTATTATCATTATCATTCATTATCATTATTAATATTATTATTAACATTATCAATAAGTCTGTATAGCCTTATTTAAAATTTTTACATTATTTAAAAATAATATTGTTAAATCAGAAATTTTTTTGCAATCAATTTAATAAATGGTGAATGTTTTGGTGGAAGAGGATTGGATAACATTGTGTGATACATACATAATTGTTTCGAATGGGATTATTTGTTATAGATTCGATTTTTGCACCTTGATTGGTGCAAACCTTTAATTAAAAATGAAGTTTTAGTGAATTTCGAATGATGGAAGGACTCTCCAAAGGACTCTTTCTTTCTATCATGCACAAAATAATTATCCACAGGATCCCTAATAAACAATGAATCAATTAATCAGTAGAACCATTAAAAACAGAAAAAGAAGAAGTAGGATTAATGCAATGCAACGGATTTAAGAAATACAACTTGTCGCTAACAACTGCAGCAAATAATTCTCAGCGTAAGTAATAAAGAAGAGTTTGTTAGTTATTTTATTTCATAACGACCTTTTTTCACTTACTTTACGATGGCGACGTTTCGTCTTTTCGTCTTTCAGGAGTATTTAAAATTTTTTTTAAAATTTTCTTGTACAACAATTTATAAATTTCATTCATTATATTATTATTATTAATTATAATTATTTTTAATATTTTTGAATTATCACGAAAGTGATAAATAGTGATAAATGATATTTCTATATTATGATGAATAAATAAATGAAATAATTAGAGAAAGATGTATAATAAATTTTGAAATATTTGCATTATAATTTTATTATATTAATTGTTACAATTATCGCTTGTTGTTACCATTTATCATTATCACTCTTAACACTGTTAAGACTAATAAACACTGTTATTATTATTTATTTATTGTTATTTTACTATTATTATTATCTTATTATTACTATTATTATCTTATTATTTTATTATTTCTATTTTATTAGAATTATTTATTACTATTTATTTATTATTAATTATTACTTATTGTTATCAATTATTATTGCTGTTACATTAATATTATTATTAATAGTTAAAAAATTATGTCTGTTGATTATAATTGTGATATTGTTATTTGAGGAAAACTGTAAAACTGTAATATTTCATAAAATATTTATTTGGTCTATCAGAAGATTCTCTTATTCTCAAAAGTAATTTGGTAGCGAAACAGTTGAGTTTTTTAAAATCAACGGTAAGTATACAGGAATTGATATCGCAGCGATATCACTACAAGTTATAATTTACGATTTATATTTAGTACACAATGTTAGTATGGATGGTACCAAGAGCGATAAGGAATAATTAGGATATGATTTTAATAGAGATTTTAGCGGATATGGAATAGTAAACTCAAATAATTTCTGGTAATTAAGCGGTCTGAACGAGTAGATATATATCCTCTATTCTAGCATCAACTACAACCGGCTATTTTAGCGTTATTTTAGCTGACAACCTTTTTCTGATTAGTTTCGCTGCAATTGTTCATCGGGCTTTGCCAAGGTGTCAGTTAGCATTACAAGTACAATCCAATTGAGTTGTCAACATAACCCAACAATTTTGAAAGGTGAATTTATTCAACTGAGAATAAATGATGGGCACTGGGCGCTCCAAAACTAGGAAAAATAATCAAACACTAAGCCATTTTATTTTTACGATTAAATAAAATATTTACATTTTAATTGCTAAAAAATTTTTTTTTCTGCACAATTATCATTTTTTTATAAAAATAAAATTAAAATTGGTTGTTTTTTTTTGTATTTCTATTGATGTACACAAATTAAAAAATATTTATATGGGATTAATGTTGTACAATAATAGTATTCACTTGGCTTATTAGTACTATTTGGATGAAAATCTCACCATTACTGGTTAAATTTGCTCCACTGGCTTGTCGCACTGGACAAATATGCCAAGGAGTCCTTCGGCGATAGAAATACAGGTGAGTCGCCAGCATCACCCGGATTCTACGAGGAATCGAACCTCACCGTCGGCGCTCCCAATTGAGCAACAACTCACTGAGCCATTCTGTCCCCGCTATGATCGTATTTTATTTAAATACGATCAAAAAATGAAAGGAAATGAAAGAAAAAGGATCGTACAGTGAAATTTTTCCTAAAATTATTAATCTATTATGAGATAGAGATCGATATGTTTAATAAAAATATCATAAATTCAATTCCTTCTTTCCCTAATAAAAATACACCCATAATTTAAAAAATCTGAGTGGTACTAACCAACCTAAAAAATTCTAACAGTACTAACAATCGGCGAAATTAACCTAATCTAAAATGGTAGATACTCTATTCATTAATTAATTAATTAATCAATTATTAATAAGAAAATATTTTATAATAACTGATAACTGATAACTGAGAAAAATATTTTTATAAATTTTTATAAATATTTTTTAAATATATTTTTTTATTATAAAAATAAATTTTATTTCCCAAAATGATTTATATAAAATTTAATAAAAAATGAAATTTTCGCTTATGATTTATTTAACATTAAAATAGCTCGATGGTTTTAATAAATCTCGAGAGAAATCAATGAGCAAGAAGAATTTTCATAAATCTATCGTATTATTATTAAATTAATTTATTATTGAATAACAATCTTGTAATCACTAATCCGAAGAAATTTCACAATTCTCCATTGTTACTTATATTTATATTTGTAAATAAACCTGGAAAATTTTATCATAAAATATAAATTTTGTAAAATAATCAGCAAAAAAAAAAACAAACTAAACAATCTAAGAAATTTTATAAAAAAAGATAACAAAAATTTTTTGCAAAAACTAAAAATTCACTTAATTTCTTCAGTCGCTTCAATCAAATATGTGAAATATTATTACACATAAAAATTTGTTATGCTTGAAAAGCAAATAAAAATAACAAATGTTTAGCTTTCTTTTCTCCTAGCACAAGTAATTATTAAATATTAAATACAACAATCAAATAGAAAACCAGAAAAAAATAGATTTCGACATATTCTACTAATCATCAAACAAGCTTTTATCTTTTTCAATCGCTTTCTGAATATCTCGATGAGATCCATCACAAAAAGGCCGATTGTTCGTTTGTTTGCAATTACACAACCAAACCTACACATAGATAAAATAGATAATAAATAATAATAAAAAATAATAAATTTAAAAAGTTGAAAAATTCGTTAAGCATTCGTAAAACAAAATATTAAAGAGAAAATATTAAAAAATTTTTGAAAAATGGATATCATTCGAAAATGAAGGACCACATTAGTAACTTTAAATGGAAATCATTGAATACTATGGTAAATACAAAATATTTATCTGCAAATAATTAATATTCAAGTCTAATTTTAAAAAATAAAAAAAATAATTAAACAGCAAAACAAGGCATAATTTAAATAACTAAACAGAAAAAGAATACAATAAATAAATATAAAAATGGATTAATAATAAATTGAAATATTAAAAAGAATTGTAAATAAATATTAAATATTAATATTGAAATATTGAAATCGTGAAAATACGGTAAAGTTATTATAAATATTATATATTTTATAATATTATTGTTAATATTTCTTTTATTAATATAATATCATATGACTATACAAATAATAAAATATTATAAAAAATAAATACCTCTTTATCTTCTTCAGGTATATACCGAACCGGCTTCAATTTCAAATTCGGAATATAATAAAGATTATGGCTTCCATCGCATAATGGCTATAATATTACTAAAGAAATTTTAAATCTTCAAAATTTTCAAAAAATACAAAAAATTTTCAGTGAAAAAAATTAAACTAACTTGATTGCCACTATAACCACATGAACACCACGCATAAATTTTATCCTTTTTCATATGAACTTTTGTTGGTAAATTTCCGCTAACTTTTCCTTTCACTTTAATTAAATGATTCGTACCTTGTAGTCCATATGGCTGTGATGGTTTTTTATCTTGCAACTGCAATTCCATAGCACGAAATTCCGCGAAAATTTCAATTTATAAGAAAAGTATACATAAATTTTTGTTGTAAAAAATTTTTGAAAAATTTATTCACGTTTATTTAATGAACAATGAGACAGTACAAGTGTTTTGTGTTTTTTTTTATTAAATTTTCTTTTAAATTTGGTTTATAAATAGTTGAATTTAAAAAAAAAAAAGCCAACAATGTGATATTTCAAAACGGAAGGTTCAGTACCAACAAAATGTTGCCCTTTACGATGATAACGATATGGACCAAAACCCGTTTTATTACTGAATAGCACTTGCGTTAGGAATGTAAATTTAGGCGAAGATATTCGAACCATCTAAAATAAAAATTTAATTATTAATATATCAAATTAAGAATGATAAATAATATCAGAAATATGGCAATAATAATGAAAGAAATAACAGCTGATAATAACTGATAGCAATAGCAATAAATAATAATAAGAAAATAAACAAGTAATTAAATAAAATAATTATAATAAAGACAATAAATAATGAGGAAATAATAAAAATGTGGCGATTACAATAGTAAAAATGACAAAATGACAATGACAATGACAAATGAATAATAAGAAATAATGATAAACAATAATAATTCGACAATTAAATAATTAATTAAAATTAAATAATATTATAATAATAATAAAAATAATATAGTAATAATAATAAAAAATTAAATAATAATAATAATAACAAGCTTAATAAAAAAGAAAAAGAAAAAATAATTTAATAATAATAAAAATTAAATAATAATAATAATAAGCTTAATAAAAAAGAAAAAATAATTTAATAATAATAATAATTAAATCAGTTATTATAAAATATTTTCTTATTAATAAAAAAGAAAGAAAAAGAGAAAAAGACAAAATTACAACTAGGATAATTAAAGAAATTAAAGATGAGGTAATTAAAATGTTGTTCTTCTGACTGGCAAAATCATTAGAGAGCCGTCGTGAAATCATAAAAACGACCATAAAACCATAAAAACGAAAATTCCGCGTCTATATAGCCGTGATTCGTTCGACCTTGCTATATTGCCAGTGACAGCAGAGAATATTGAGAAACTATCTGATTTTGACCATCTAAGATACATTTTATAGGTTCGCCGAGTGGATAAAATCTCATATGATCGCATTCATCTCCGCTCAAGTACCATTTCCACTTGCACAGTAATATCATAGTGCATCACTTTCCCTGGTCAGGGCACGTTCTTTCTCGCTCACCACAAGAGTTGACACATATTTCGTTACTTGCTAAACCCTATGATAGATGACATAAAAAGGGATATGGGCCAATCAAGACTGGACCCATTCAAAAAGAATATATATGGGGAGCGATGCGTGGACTTATTCAAAAAAGATTTTGAACCAGCAAAATATGGACTTAGATGATGGAAAAAAGAATGGAATAGCTTCTAACAGCGATAAAAGCAGAAAAAGCAGCTTATAAACGTCTTACCTTTGTAGCCAAAGGAGTTAGCCTACCCAATAAAGATGGGAGCCGTTAGAAGAAAAAAAATAATTAATAATTAACAAAAAATAATAATTAAAAAAAAACAATAATGGTAACAATTAATTAATAATGACAACCAATTAATAAATCATAGTAAGCAATAAATAAATAATTAATAAAAACAATAATTAATTTATAATATTAGGATAGAATGGCTCAGTGGGTTGTTGCTCAATTCGGAACGGCAATGCTGAGGTTCTATTCCACGCAAAAATAAACCTATCTAAAAACTTGGGTGATATTGGCGAATCACCTGTCTTTCTATCGCCAAAGGATACCCTGGCATATTTCTTTAGTGCAAAAAGTCAGCTAAGGGATTTACCAGGAAATGAGTATTCTCAAAAAAAAAAAATTTGATAATAAGTAATAATAAACAGTAAAAAATAGAAACAACAATAATAAACACTTATAACAATGATAAAATAATGATAACAAATACCAACAGTAATGATAATAATAATGAACGATAATTAATAAAAATAAAATAAAAATAAACAACAAAAAAAAATCTTAAGAAACAATAATAAATAATAAAGATGAAAATAATTGATAAAAATCGATAATAACAAATAATCTTTAATAATCTTTAGAAAAATTTAAAAAATTTTTTCTAAATATTTAAATTTTTAAAAAAATATTTAAAAAATAATAACCTTTATAAATAATAAATATAATCATAACAGTGGATTATTAAGCGTTAACGATCAACGACGTACGAAAAAGTTAACGAGAATAAACCACTGATAACGTTGATAATTGTTAAAACGAAATAACACAAAAACTTTGAAAAATTTAGGTTATGTCTGTTTGAATTGTTTTCTTTTTTGTAGCTGTAAAATGTATTTATTCTATATAAAATGAAATAAGTTTCATAAAATTTTAAGAAAATAATAATTATTTTTAATAATTATATTATTTTAATTATAAATATAATATTATAAATAATATTATTTTATTTAAAATAATAATAATATTTTAATAATAATAATAATAATATTTTAAATAATAATAAAAAACAATAATATTTTATTTTATAAAAACTAAAGATATTCATAAAATTTATCGAACATTTAATATATAAATAACAATAAAAATAAAAACCCTAGACAAAAACAGTAAAATTTACAAGTTAAATAAATAAAAACAATTTTAAAAAATTGCTAAGCCAATAGAACAGCCGCGTCTGCTATTTATAAAAACTCGTACATCCTAAAAAACGGACAGACATAGAAATTCTAATAAATGTGTATTTTTGGTGTTCGATTTCGCCTTTTTTGCTTATTCTTTTAGGTTACATCTGTTTGTATTGTTTTCTTTTTTGTAACCCTAAAATGTATTTTTCTTATATAAAATGAATTAAGTTTCATAAATTTTTAAAAAAATAATTATTATTTTATTTAAAATAATATTTTAAATAATAATAAAAAGAAAATTATAACCATTTCATTTTATAAAAATTATAATTTTTCTGAATTTTAATCTAAGAAAAGAAGAATTTATTAATTATTAATTAAAATTATTAATTAAAAAACTTTATACTTTAAATTATGAAATTATGAAATGAAATTATGTAAATAATTTTTTTTGCTAAACTGTGTGACGGTTGGCGTCAAAAGCGAGGTGGGCCAATCAAGACCTGGACTGATACGGTGAGAAAAGATTTTGAACGTATAGGTGGACCAGCAATATATGGACTTAGACGATGGAAAAAGGAATGGCTTCCATTACTGTCGACGATGGCATCAGACCGCGCCGCTTGGAAGCGTCATATCCTTGTAGCTGTTGGAGCCAACCTAACCAGTAATGCTGAGAGCTGTTAGAAAAAGAAGAAAATAATTTTTTTTATGAAATCTAAGATTAATATTTTTTATATTTTATATTTTTATATTTTTAATGTTTTAATTTTTTATTTTTTTGCTTTTGTTTTATTTATTATTTTATTAAATTTATTATTTTATTATTTTATTAAACATCAAACTAATATTTAATATTTTTTATATTAAATATTTTATCGTATTTAATATTTATTATACTTTATATTTTTGTGTTTAATATTTATTATATTTTATATTTTATTATATTTTATATTTTTCCCCCTTTTTTTTATGATTATTTAATTAACTATTTTAATATTTCTCAGTATTAGCTTTTCAAAATAAGCGCAATAATAAATACACATTTGTTATTGTAATTATTATTATAATTATTGTAATTTATTATATTGTTATATCATTTATGTTTTATTTTATTTTATATTTATTTATTTATGTTTTTTTAGAATGGAAGATATTGGTTTGCCACGTATTCGTGATGATTTAATCGAGCCAAATGATGATTGTGATCTTATGGAAATTCTTAAAAAATATTGCGATGAAATTGGAAAAGAAGATGGTTGCATTGTGCGATTTCGTGCACCATTTTCACTTTTACCAAAACACGATGCACGAGGCGATGCGATAACAATTATTGTCGATTATTTATCTCAACGGTTATTTTTTTATATTATACTTTTATAATTACTTTTATCTTTTATTTTTATAAAAAAAATTCTAATCCTTTTTTTTGGAAAATTTGGAAAAATTCTAATCTTTTTTTAATAGACCGTTATATTGTTCGATAATCGAATAGCTTAGATTTGTTTGAACTGAAATGAAAAAATTCATAAAAAGTAAAATCCTAAAATAGAACCAACTAAATGAAAAATAATATTTGCTATTAGAAAAAGAATAGGAAGAAGATTTTCAGTGGAATACCTTTATGGGCTTCACATCAAATTTCTCGTTCAATAGCGGATACATATTCATCAGATTTAAGAACTGGATTCGTTCCATTTGTTGAGGATGTTATGGAAACTATTGATGCACAACGATGGTATCGTCATATTTTCAAATCGTTGAATGAGTATTTGATGAAAATAGTCTCAGGAGAAGTTGATTTTCCCAGTAAAATTTTTTAAATTATTTGTCATATCGAATATCTTATAATTTTTCTTTGGAAATATTGAGATTTTTAGAAATTGAAGAGAAACAATTGAATTGCATCTTTTCGAATCGATTCAAATCGATATTTGTTAGCGAATTAGTTTGAAAAATTAATTTATTTATAACTGAGTAAGTTTTTTGTAGAAAAACCAGAATCATGGGATAATATTCCTTTTTCTCATTGTGCACAGCGAAATGTTCGTTCAAAAATGGAAGATAAAGATATTGTTTTACCAACGTTATCTGTTGCAGAACCGACCAAGGTGAACTTTATTGAAATGCATATTGGTTGTTGCTCTCATTTTGGCACGCTAGAGTTGTATTCCCAGCAGAAGCGAGTAACGCTTGGAGTAATTTTCATGGAAAATAATTGAAAATTTATCCATAACAGAAAATTTGTCTGGTCGAAAAGACTAGTAGAATGAACCTAATTATAATGAATAATGAGAGAGTCCTCATCATTACTGCTTAAACTTACTTCACTGGCTTGTCATATTGGGCAATATGCCATGGAGTCTCTCTTGGCGATAGAAATACGGGTGAGTCGCTAGGATTTCGGATTTTTGTAAAGGTTTACTCCTAGAGTCGAACCTCAGTATCGGCGCTCCCAGTCGAACAACAACCCATTGAGCCATTCTATCCCCTAATTAGAACTTAGAACCTAATTAGAAGTGGTGAATGCTTTCATTAAAAAATCTTTAATTTTTCAATCATTTTTTCAGTTTTTTTCAAATTTCACTTTGTTTATGTATTGCATTTTCATATTTTTATTTTTTTTTTTGTTGCTATTTTCTTTTTTCAGTTCTTCGTGCTTATAGATTGAATTATATTAAATTATTTGAATATATTATTGCTTTTTGCCTTAAAGTTTATGAGGATTAGAAAAGATTTTTTTGCTTTAGCTTCACTTTTTTTAGCACGATGTCATAAAAGATGATGCATTTTTTGCTGTATTTGATGGACATAATGGTGTTGATTGTGCTTCTTATGCAAGTTCTCATTTTGTGAATTGCTTGCTAGACGATACGTATTATTGCGATGATGATGTTGAGGAAGTGTTGCGTAATGCATTTGATAAACTTGATAAAAGGATACGAGCCAGATGCAGAGTTAATGTAATAATTATCTATGATATTTCTAATTTCTATAATATTATGATAGAAGTGTCAGTATTTCGCTATTTTCGCCATTGCTTATATTTATAAATTAGGTTAGAAAATATAATATTTTCACGTTCATGCAAATATTTTCAATTGCATAAATTTTCTTTAGCGAATAAGAGGTGGTGCTGCAACAGTTTGTGCGCTTATACGTGGCAGAAAGAAATTATGTGTTGCTTGGTGTGGTGATGCTGCAGTTGCTGTTTTATATCCTAGTTCAGTAAAAACTTTATCAACACCTCATTTGCCTTCTAATCCAGTTCGTTTTATTAAATTATTGTGTTTTATTAAATTTACTTTGAAAATAGAAAAGCTATGCGCTTATTGCTTATTTTATCGTTTTGAATTAAAATAGAGATTTTTACTGTGAGATTCCGATAAAAATAAATTCAAAAAATCCTGATATCGCTGGTGATCCAACTTCTGTCATCATCTATTACCTTACAAAAATTCTTATTTTTAATTGCTATTGGAGCTATCCTGATTAAAAATAGTAATTGTGTTGCTAACCACTGACTTCACTAAATTTTTGGTTTTTTTTAGGTACATGTATATCATTTATGTGGTGAATTTTTTTTAGTCCTTTTATATTTATTGTGTTTTATGTTTTATTTTGCTATTTTACTTTATTAGAGACGTGGTTGAATGGTTTGTCGTTTTAGCTAAATTCACAAACCATGGATTTTTTGTCCGCAGTTCATGATTTCAGGATATAAAATTATTTCATCTAGAATTCATTTTATTTTTAGATGCATTTTTTCTTTGCTGGTATATTCTCAATTATAAATTCAGGAAGAAGCACGTCGAGTTGAAGAAGCTGGTGGTGTCATTGTTCAATTGCATGGTGATTTAAGGGTAAATGGTGTCCTAAATATTACTCGTTCAATTGGTTACTTTCAGTTCTATTTTCCTTTTCTTGGATTTAATATATTTTTATATATATATAAATTTTTATAGATATATTTTTAAATTAAAAATATGTATTGAATGCATTGTTTAAGGAGAATTGGATGGTCGCCCAATGATCTCTCATATGCCGGATACCTTATCCTTTGATTTGGATGGAAGTGAATATCTTTTAATACTGGCTTGTGATGGCGTTTGGGATGTATTTGACGAGGAGGAAGTTTATAATCACATCAGAAATTTTGTTCTAACTTCGAAGCCTTGTGGTAACTTTTCATTTGTCTACAAAAATTTACTAAAAATAAATATACCAAAAATAGGCTTTTGTTATTAGATATTCACAAGCTAAGAAAGTATCTTACATTTTTCCATATTTCCTTTGTATTTTTTCTATGGAAATCTTGTTGAAAACCTCAGAAGGTTGAATTTTTGCAGATTATAAAAATCTCGGACAATATATTGTTTCAAGAGCAAAGGATGCTGGCTCCACTGATAACCTTACGGCTATATGTGCCTTCCTTCGTCCAATCAATGATTTATGGGAGTTGCTTACAAACCAGGAAAAAGTTCCTGCTCAATGAATTATCAATATTCCTCATTTTCATCTTAATATTTCTTATTTGATGAGACCAAATTCTCTTTATTATTTATTTATATATTTATAGGATCATGAATTTTATATTTTTTCGTAAATTATTTCAAATTTTTATTCAAATTTAAAGTTGTAAATTTCAAATTTTATGCATTTTCTCGAAATGTATTTTTTCTCCTCTAAGTCTTATTTTTTAAGTTTTTGATTCTTTATATTTATTATTTTTATTTTATTTTTATAAATTTGTTTAGTAGTATTTAAAAAGTTTCATATTTTTATTTTATTTAAAATTTAATTACAAATTTAATAAGTTTTATTGTTTTATTTATTCAATTTCGGATTTTAAAGCAAATTCATGGAAGCGCATAATTTTACAAAACTTTTTCACTATTGTCATCGTCAATGATTATACAGGTAGGTGGAAAAAATTACAACTTTTGAAAAATCTGAATGAATTCTCAAATAATATTAGGTATTTAAATATTAAAATTCATCTTTTTTTATGGTTTAATTTTATTAATGGTTTGATAATATACCATATATTTAATTCTTTTATGCTCAGTGAGTTTTAATATTTATTATAAATATATTTATGAATTATAAGTATATTTTCGAAGTAATGATGTCTTATTTATGTTTTTTATTTTGTATTTTTAATATTTTTGTTTTAATTTAATTTAGTATTCTTTTTAATATTTTTATTTTATTATAATAGTATTCTTTTTGCAGTATTTATCTTTTCGTTCTCAATTTTTTTTTGAAGTAGTATATTTATCAAATAAATATGATAATAATGATAATGAAAATTTGATAAATTTCAAAATGCAATTCTCTGAATCGTCTTCAGTTTATTGTGGATTTTAGAATGATTTCCCATTTTTCCTCAATATTTCACTTTGATATATTTGTTGTATTAATGCTTTTTTTTCGATAATTCAACATTTCCGTAATTTTTTTCGTTTTTTTTTCTTTTTTTATAAAAGGAATTGCCTTTTACAATAATTATTATCGAGATTGCTTTTCAGTATAAAAGTCATTTTCTAGACTATTATTGATTTGAAATCTTTAAAATTAGTTATAATCGCTTATCTTATCTTTTATTGTGAATACTGGTTCATGCACATAAATGAATGTGATTATTCACATATGTTTAACTGAACGTGGAACTTCTCGGTCAAACATTTTAAGGACTTCATAATTATATGCTGAAAAAATATCTTTGACTTATTGCAATAGATGGCTAAAGGGCAATATCTTCTTTTGTATTTGTCAAAATGATATGATAGTGAAGATTTGCTATGATATGATGATGAAAATATTTTCGAAAGGTTTACATTTTCGTTGACGAATGAGTATGATAATCTGGAATTGATGGAATGCTACTGTAGCAGTATGAAACTTCTGAAGGAAGTATGAATAGGAAAAAAGACCTACAACCCAGAATTAACTGATAAATAGATAGTCGCTTAATGCTTCAACGAAGAAGAAAGAAAGTTGCTTTCTCAAATGGAAATAGATCAGTGGAACAAAAAATTTTCAAGCGATGAATTAATAAATTTCATTCTAAAATTCTATTTTTTTTAAAGAATTAAAAATAATATATTTTCTAAGAATATAAAAATATAAAAATTTAGATGAAATAAGTAAATTATAAAAAATTTTTTTATAAATAATTTTCTTTATAAATTATTCGAATTTCATTGAAATTTTCGCATGATTATTCAGCAATCAACAAAATTCTATTTTAAAAACGAAGCAATCGTCATTGAGAATTTATTTTTATCATTATTTATTTGTTAAAGAATAATTTTTAGGTTTCTGGTTTCATCGTTTTTTTTTTTCTTTGTCTATTTTTGAAATATTTTTCAAGAAAGAATTTATTGTTTTTTTTAGGAAATTTTCTATTTTTTCGCATTTTTTAAGATTTTTTCCACGAAAATATTTCTTATTTTTTGTAAAATTTTGTTTTTTTTTATTTTAATATTTTATATATATTTTTGTAAATTTTAATGTATTTTAATAAATTTATAAAAAAAATATTTATTCTAAATGCAAAGAAATAAATGCAAATTTGTGAAGATACAAAAAAAAAATTGCTGAAAATTCATTAAAATGCATATAATAAATAAAATTCAACTGATAACTGATGATTGGTAATTTTTTTGTTTTAACAGTACTCACCATTATTGGTTAAACTCGTTCCGCTGGCTTGTCGCATTGGGCGAATATGCTAGGAGTCCCTTGGCGATAGAAATACAGTCGCCAGCACCACCCGGGACTTTTGTGCAGGCTTACTCCTGCGGGCAATTGAACGTGCTTTTTCGTTACCAACATATAATTATTGACAATTATTAGTTACTGATTAAGTATTAAAATTTATTAATAGTATTTGCGGATTGCCAGAGAGAATTTCTTGAAGATGTAGGTGTGTTCCCATTCCAGCAGCAGCAATCATATCATTCTCACTTTTACTAGCAATCCTTATATCCTTCGATCCTTTCAGGAACAAACCTATGCAGCTTTTTGCAGTTGGCTGAGGCAAACAAATACGACTGAATCGCCATATTCATAAAGAAAATAAAAATATTTTGGTGAATGCAACAAAATCATGTTATCATTATCACTATTATCACTATTAATATTAAAATTATCAATAGCATATGATGGAAACACGGAATATTTTAGTTTTTCATATGGTTTGTGCCTTCAACGATAAACCAAAAAAATTTTTAACAATAGCCTATGCTAACGTGGAATAAAAAATTCGAAAAAAAAATTTTCATGATATTTCCATGAAATTAAAAGAAAAAAAAACTAAATTTACATAAATTTAAATGAAAAAAGAAATTAATAGATGATTTTATATTTTTTTTTCGAAACGAACAATTTTTCAAAAATATTCGAATTTGAATATTATTTTTCTTTTTATTTTGATATAATAAATTTAGTAATATACTATTATATAAATATAATAATATAATATATAATAATATTTTTATTATTTGAATAATCGACGGTAAAATTTGAAGATGAAGCGAATCTCGTTGAGTACGGTCCACAGGCTGGTGATGCAGATATAAGTACCAACCAGCAAGCTAATGGAATGACAATAAGGCTTTATCAATTTTTCCCATTTTACGGCGCGAAATATAATTATACAATGGTATAAATCCAATGGTTGAAGTAATTCGAATGTTTTTATTGAGAATTATAATAATTAATTAAATAAATAGTTTTTTATCATATTATCTAAGAATTCATCATTTCTATTGTTATCAAGAAGAACTCATCATTTTTGGTTATATTCGCTTCGCTGGCTTAGATAAATCAGATAAATTTGATCATAAAACCGCTTGATAACAATAAAGTATAAATGAATTGCAAGCGTAACCTGGATTTTCGAGAACCACATTTCTATTCCGATAGCCAATTCATTAGAAGAAGCCTTCGAAATTAATGAAGATTTCAACAAATCGTTATATTAATTTGGGTTATTCTTCAGATAATAATAGTTAATCCTTACATCTTATAACATTTCATTCTGATTCATTGCAGTTTATTTGTTTATTTATTATTATTACTATTATTATTACTATTATTATTATATTATTATTATTATATTATTATTGTGTTATTTTTACTACTTGTTTTTTATTATTAATAATTATTGTTATTATTCTACTATATTAATTTTGATTTTACATTTCCTTATTATAATTTTATATATATTTATTATATTGTATATTATATTATATATTATTATTGTTATAATTAATTATAAAACACGTTCAAGTTTTGATTGATTCTCCTAGCTTTTCATGCTATTATTAAATCTTTATAGAAATGTAAAATATAAATATATAATATATAATATAATAAATATGAAATTATAATAAGAAAATATAAAATTAAAATAAAGAGATAATTTTTAAAAATTTAAATAAATGGTTTCCAATTGATAAATTTTTAACTTATATTTTATAAAATATTTTAATTTTTTATTTTTACGAATTAATTTTATATAGAGAATAAGAAGATTGATTTCGATTTCAGTTTAGAAAATTTTAAAAAAGTTTTAAATCATTAAAGATTTCAACCAATGGTTATATTGGTTTCGGGCATTTCTCAGACAACGATCACGATTTTCGCGTTGGCTCCGAAACAAATTGGCCAAGAGAGTCCGATCCGGCGCTTATCGCTCCATATTTATGCAAGTAACATTCATATTCATCCATTCATTTCTTTCATATTTTTAAAATTTCTTTCTTATAAGTATTTTCCTTCAAATTTCCAAAAATATTTTTAAAAATCATCTTTCAACGATCAATTTTATAAGAGAAAATTATTGAAATTTACTAAAATTTTGAAAGAAAGAAATTTTCGCATTTTTTAACGCATTATGCCATAAATAAGCAGCTAAGGCTAAATTTCTTATAATGGCAAACCGAAGGCTTAGGCTTAGTACCCAATATTTCGGCTCCATTTTTTGGCTGTTACGGTAGTTTTATGTTTTTTATTAATTTAGCTTTCTCTTTTGGCCACAAAAACAATTTTATATTATTTATTTATATATAATTATAATTAAAATTATATATGATTATTATATATGATTATTTATACATAATTATTTATATATAATTATATTTATAATTTTATATTTTATAACAATTTTAATTTTATATTATTAGCTCAGTTTCGCCTATTAATTTTATAATTTAAAATAAATTCAAGAAATTTTTTATAATTTCCATCTTTAATTTAAAAATATTTCAAAATTACAGGCAAAGAATTGATATTTCAACAAATAGTCGAATATATTATCGAATGGAAATGCGATCACATATTGCTTTATCGTCAGGTTTTTTTTCTGATTAGAGTTCATTAGGCTCATGTCATTGGCTTATTTGCACTTTGCTAGGCAATAGAAATATGGGGTTGTATCATCTGGATTTTTTAGAAATTATATATCGCTAATCAACGGACCAAAAAACTATTTGAAATTATTTGAGATCTAAGAAATCAAAATCCAAAAAGAGGAATCGGTTTAAAAAATCATAAATTCAAGAAAGATCAATTAGTGCTGATAAGTCAATAGAAGTGAGTGAGAATAATAGATCATTTCACAAAGAAGTTTTTGAATTGCCATAATAAGCATACTTTTACCTAGAGTAAAACTCCACAATCAACTCAATAACCAACTAAGCCATTCTATCTCCTTATCACTGTGTATCTCCTTATCATTACTCTATTTCTTTATTAATTTCTTTAGAGTAAATAAATTTGCAGAAACAACATATCTGACAAGGTCGAAATGTCGAGGCAAATTACCTTACGTTTATTGTAATCAACAATCAAATGAATTTCTAGATAAGATGCAAAATATTCTTCAAGGTTAAATTTCATAAAACTTATATTGCAGTACAATTTCATTAAATTAATAAATAAATTTGTATAGAAGGTGCTGCTGGTGGAAATACCTTTCGAGCTGAAGCTGCTCTTATTGTTACGTGGCATAATTTGCGACCAAATATTGGTAAAGAACGCTCGTTCTCAACCTATCAGCTTATCTGGATGACTGATGCTTTAGGAACTCTTGCATATACGATAATTAATTATGATAAACTTGCTTATGATGCCGCTGATTTAAACGGAAATACAGTAACTGGTCGTTGCCAGGTTTTTTATAAAATGTTTATTTATTTATTTAAAATATTAAAATATTTATTTATATATATTTATTTCATTTTTCATTTCATTTAAATTGAATTTTTTTTCAATAATAAGTTCAAAAATTTTTAAGGCCATATTTAACGGTGGTAATCACACTGGTTTCGTGCTAGTTGATGCATCGTTGGTGACAAAAGAGCGACCATCATCGCTGATGGAGCGTTCAGCTGTGCCACATGTTGTACGTGGTCGCTATCTTCATCGTGTTGATGATATTGTACGACCTGTCGGTTGTTCCAATAAAACTGGTGGAACTTGTGAGGAACTTATTATTTGTTGTCATTAACACTATTGCTGTTCTTTATTATTTATTTGACGGTTTTCTAATCTGGATGGAATTTTGTTTAATTCTTTCTTAGGTTGTAATACTAAGTTGGAAATGTCAAATTGTCTACTTTACTATTTCTAAAATATTATTGAAATTATTTCAATTATCTGAATAGCCTATCTGAATAATTCCAGTTTTGCTAAATATTTATCCAAATATTGTTAATATGCTTGGTGAAAAAACAGTGGAAGTCAATGGAATGTGCCTTAATCCTTCAACGACATATGTACTTATGATTGAACAACGAGAGGTTGAGAATTTTCTAATTTATCTCGGTTTTTTTATTAAGAGCCCTCGCCATCACTGGTGCGATCCGCTGGCTTGTCGTACTAGACAAATAGGCTGAGTCCTTTGGTGATAAAGCTACACGTGGATCGCCACTCTGATTTTCGCGCAGACTTACTACAACTACAACATTAGCATCGGCGCTCTGGATTGAGCAACTACCCATTAAGCCATTCTACTCACCATTTATCTCATTTATTTACCTATAAACGAGTTATTATAGTAAGAAATAGAAATAGAAATAAAAAATAAAAATTTATTATTTTAAAATAATAACAAAAATAATAAATTTAAAAAATAAGGTCAAAGAAATAACAAATAATAAATTCAGATAGCTCCATGCCATGTCCTGAATCCTTCAATTGCTCGATGCTATCTTCCAAAGATTCTAGATTGGGGCACTAAAAATGTTTATTTTCAACCACAATCCGGCTTGGCTAATGATGAAAAGGCTTATATTGGCCATATCTATTTTGGTAATAAATATTTTTTGGCCGAAAATTTTATTGACGATTTATAAATTTACTTTTTATAAAATATTCCGTCTATAATAATCTATTATTCCTAAATTTTTTTTAGTTGTTTGCAAATATTTATGTATTTCAAATGTGTGATTCTTGTAAAATTTTAGTACCACCAACCATCGATCCATTACGACTTGACATTGGAAATATTTACGACTGGTTTCGTATCATTGTTAACAATAATAAGCATGTTGTTTGGTATCCAAGGTTATTTCATGAAAATTTTATCTGCTGTACAAGAATATTTCTATATTAAATGATAAATAAATGATAAAAATTTTATAAATTTAATAAATATAAATTTAATAAAAGCTAAAATTAGATAATAAAAATTTAATTAAATTCTTTTTATTATTTATATTATCATCAAATCCCTTACTCAATAAAATTCAAAAACTCAAAAATAAATGTATAAAAAATAAAAATTTATTATTTTAAAATTATTTTAAAATAATTATTTTAAAATAATAACAAAAATAATAAATTTAAAAAATAAGGTCAAAGATATTGGGATAAAAATTAAAATAAGAGTATTTGAAAGTAATTTTGAATAAAATTATTGATATTTTTTAATATTAATAAAATTAATTAATATCATCGAAACGATCTTAAGGGATTGAATTGTTTTTTCTAAAAATTATAATTTTCTAAAATTATTATAATATTATAATTTTCTAAAAATTTATAATTTTCTCGAAGGAATTTCACAAATCCACGGCTACACGATCGAATGTTCGATAAAAATGATCGATCCTTGTATGAAACCCAACTTGGCTTATATGTTATTGGATATAAAGAATCACGAGATGATTTAGCTAAAAAATTTAAACCAATGCACCGAGTTCTTGCAAGGTTTTATAGGAATTTTGAAATTCACTATTTTTTTAAAATTTATTTTAAGAGTAGAATAATGCAATGCATAATAGATCACTTAGTATGCTGGTAGGAAAGTGTTCAGATTTCTATGGGAGTAAATCTATCTATAAAAATTCGGATAGTGTTGGCGATCCGACTGCACATCCAGCCAGGTGAATCCATGGTGAAACTCTGTAATTGCAGCCTCCGGTGTTGGCCTAATCAGTGGTGTTCAGTGTTAATGTTAATGTTAATGCTAAGATAAGATAAAACTTAGAAATGATATAATGATATATTTTTCATATTGGCTACTTATCAAAATCTTGCTGATGAAAAATATCGATGGACACCTCAAAAAGCGCAAATTAATCTCGAACATGTCGAACAGTGGTACATAGATGAAAAGGAAAACGAAAATGAATTATTCACATATAGGCTTGGCTATCTGAAACTTGCACCAATCGCCATCACTGAACACAATTCCAATCAAATTCCAATTGAATTACCTACAGGGTACATTAAAATTAATATTAGTTGGAAAAAAAATTACCAGATTGTCAAAAGGTCCAAGCAAATTTATTTCAGTTTCCAAGTTTCTTTTGATTTTTTTGATTAAATATTATTATCATTATGAATAGTATTTTCATTAATTATTATTATTATTATTAATTATTATTATAATAATTATTATTATTATTTTTCTTATTATTATTATCGATTTTATTATTTTCATATTATTTTTATTATTGTTTTATTATTTACTCTTATAATTATTATTAACTACTATAATTATTTTTATTGTTTAATTATATTACTTTTATTAATATTATTATTATCAATTATTATATTACAGAATAATAAGTGCACCAATATCGATCCACTGGCTTTGGCCATTGCGATTCGATGAAAATAAAGATGATCTCGAAGAAAGGAAAAAATTTATTAAAGAAAAAGCTACGGATATTTGCGAGTACTGGTAAAAAACTTCGAAGAGATTCGCAATCCATAAATAATTTAGAAATCTTTGTTGCTGAAAGCTAAGAATGAGAAAATAATATGGTGAAATGAAAATCTATAGTCGAAAACCCTAAAACAACATTCACCATTTCGCTTATACTAGGCTCCACTTGGCCAAAAAATTAAGAAGCCCTCTCTCGCAAACGCATCTTTTTTTTCCCATAAACAGCCTATAAATATAAAATCTCTTTAGCCGAGACAAATCTTAATTAGGGTCACTTGTTGCCGGCCATTAGAATTAAGGCTAAAAAAATAGAGTGGAATAAAATAGGCAAAGTTCTTGTCAATTCCTGTAATTGTTGATGAACAACATAGTGATTGTGTAAATAGTGATGTTGATGCTGTATGGCGATAGATTATAATTACTGCATGTAGAGCGAAGCAAAAATGTGAATTAATTTTGGCCATTATATGTATATTCATGACCATATTTCTCCGATAGCATGAATCGTTTACGCTTGAATCTCTTCAAATGATGATTCCCTTAATCAATCGCTTTTGCAAATCGCGTGTAACCTAGCCGATAGTTTCAATTTTGAAGCAAGTATGATCATTACTGTGGGCCTGGAATTAATAACTTCCAAAAGATTAGCTTCGCAAATAGATAATATACGAAAGACTTTTTAAGGTTCGATGAAGATGGCATTTTACCGAATTTTATTCGCCAAACTGAAACGAATGCTTCATGCCCTTGTAAAGAAAATCAAGCATCACTCGACATTGGCCGTTTCATGCCGCATCCTCGATGTTCCCAAGTTATTTTTTCTTTACAAATATCCCATAATTCTTTTCCATAAATTATTGATAGAACAGAAGGTATCAAAACTATTTGTAAAAATATTATTTAAAATTTTATTAAATATTAAATATTATTTCCTATGGAAATAGCCGTAATTCGTTCGATCTTGCTATATGGCTCTGAAATATGGCCAATGAAGATGGAGGATACTAAGAAGCTATTTACCTTTGACCACTCTTGTCTAAGGTGCATTTTACGGGTCCATTGAGCAGATAAAATATCACATGATCGCATCCATTTTTGTTCAAATACCACTTGCATTAGTAATGTTATCACAGAGCGTCGCCTTCTCTGGTTAAGACACGTCCTCCGTCGTCCACCGTAGCAGTTGACGCATATTTCATTACTTGCTAAACTGTGTGATGGATGGCATCAAAAAGCAAGGTGGGCCACTCAAGACCTGGATTGATACGGTCAGAAAAGATTTTGAACGTATAGGTGGACCAGTAATATATGGACTTAGACGATGGAAAAAAGAATGGCTTCTATTACTGTCGACGATGGCATCTGATCGCTGCTTGGAAACATCTTACCCTTTTAGTTCTTGGAGCAAGTCCAACCAGTAATGGTGAAAGCTATTAGAAAAAGAATAAAAAAGGAAATAAAAAATAGCAAAAAGCTTAATTAATTCATTGCTCGATTAGCAAATTATTTGTTGTATTTTCTGCGATAGCAATATTAGAAGAGCAAAATTACGATAATAGAAGTTCTCAAATTTTGATTTTACGAACGCTTAAAACTGTGCCAAACATATTATATTACCAACATAATAGTTGGAGGTAAAGAAGTGCGAAATTTAAGGAACATGAAGGAAGATCTCGAAGTTTGAGTTGGAAGAGAACGAGTATAAGAAAAAAGTCTAAGAGAGGCCTTAGAAATATATATATATATATAAAGATTTACCAAAATGATAGGAAAATAAATAAATATATAAAATAAATAAATAAATATATAAAACAAATAAATAAATAGATTAAGAACAAATATACAATTATTTTTCATTCTTAATGATTGTAATAATTATAAATTACCCCTTCCCCCAAAACAAAAAAAAGGTGGAAATAATTTATAATTTCAAAAAATTTGAATTTTTCTCAGAATTTTTTTTATATTTCGATGAATTCACTCCTTATAATCCTGGATTTCCTATGCGTGCCTATGAATTCGGAACGCCACCTTTTCAGGGAATGTTTGAAGTAAAAATTTTGTCTTAAAAATATAAGTTTTAAGTAACAAAAACTATTATTAAAATAATGAAAATAATTTAGGCCATATGAGCAACAAAATTTCATTTTTAAAAATAAATATTTTAAATTTTTATAAATTTTTTTCTTCCTAATTTTTTTTGTTTTTGTTTAAAATTTTTGTAAAATTTTAATTCATTAAAATTTTTCAATTTTAGACATTTAGAGATATTGTTTGTACAGAAATTATTGGCTCAAAAAACTGCTATATAACAGCACAAAATATTCGTGGTTCACATTATGATAAAAATGAGAACAATAAAATAGGTTTTCAAACGAAGTAAATATCTTATTAATTAATTTATAAATTTAGTCGTAAAATTTTTTGCTATATTCCCTTATTATACTTATTATTCTTCATATCAATAATTACGAGACCATTCTCTTCTTATCGATATCCCTTTATCATAGCCTTTATTCGACACACTATGGACAAGTTTGTTGCTATGATGATCAAGGCTTTTTGATGCAAACCAGTTATCAACCAGTCATTAAAATCGATGAATTCACTCCTTATAATCCTGGATTTCCTATGCGTGCCTATGAATTCGGAACGCCACCTTTTCAGGGAATGTTTGAAGTAAAAATTTTGTCTTAAAAATATAAGTTTTAAGTAAATTTAAATAAATTTAAAAATTTTAATAAAAAAATTCGAAATTATCTTAAAAATTATCGAAATTCATTGATATTATTTTTCAATGCAATAATGCATTATGATATGATTTGATATGTGATATGATAAAGGAATTACTACTAAAAAAATATTTAAAAATTTGAGATTCCTGATCTTAGTACATTTTATCATGATCTGATGCCATATTATTTTTGTTGCAAATTTGCGGATTTTCGCTGTCAATTATTTTATTGGCGAAGACCTTCAAGTGCATGTCAACATTATATTCCACCATTAATTGGTACTTATTGTTCTATATAGTTTTTTCAGATTAGAAATTTCAATTTTTAAAAAGATTCTTTTAAAGGTACATTAATGGGTTCGGGTATTATAACAACACTACAAAATGAAAAATTCGTTTTTAATGATGCCGGAATCTATAAATTTCTTTATGTCGAGCGAACAACATTGATGCCTGAAGTTAATATTCAAATTCGAATGGAACGTTTCCCCTATCGTAATGTTGATTTTAGTAAGTCACAGTATTAACTTTTAAATGAGTTGTGATATGATAAAGTAGACTATGATAAAATGATAATTTTTAATAATTCAATTTATGGGCGTATATTAACAGTAAATCAACTTAAAATAATAATATTTATATAAACCAGTGATCATGAAACTGGCTTCTTTGTATTTTCGAGAGTCTTATTGGGTTCTTGAAAGCCATCATTCATATCTAAATAATAAGATACGATTATTTTATGCTATTCATTGAAATCCGAATGGTGAGAGAAAAATGACAGCTTTTCTGGCAGGTCCGCTTCCACTCTTTTTGAGCTTTGCCCATAAGGTCTCCTTCACTGGGCCATCGGCCATTAGTCGACATCGTCCTATCATTTTTCTTGTTTCTTCGTATTTCCTCTAGCACTCCTCCAATGTTCCTCTTGTTTTCTTTGTGGACGCTGTCGTCTCATTTTATTTTTTTGTTGATTCGCTATTTAGATGTCAATAAACTTCAATGTGCCACTCTATTTAGATGAAAAATTTATCAACCTTCTCTTCACTGATGTTTTTGATAGTAATTGTTGAAGTTTTGAATGAAGCAAATTGCTGGTTCGAATCCATTTTCCATTTTTACGATCCCCATAGTAAGCTCTTTTGCTTTCGCGATACTTGGATGATACGATCACTGGCTTTAATCAAAAATTATCGGAATAAATGAATGCTGATATTTGATATCACTTAAATAATAAATTGCATGATAAATGGAACTTATATATTTATTTAGGTGGATATAATCAAGAACAATTTAAACTCGTACAACCATCAAATGCAACTGTGGTGACAGGTGTTGCTTTAGAGAGTGGCGATTCGGATCGTGTTCATGTCATATTAAGAAAGGATACTCGACGAATGAGGTATCGAACAACGATTCTTGTCAATGATATTGTTCGATATTTTGATAATATGCAATTGCAACGATATAAAGGTTATTTTTAATTTGATTTTTTGATTCGGCCTCATCCCACTTGCTATTCTTCCTAGTAGGCAGAACCCTTATTTTGGCTATAGTGGAACAAGGTGAATCGCCGCACTGCTCAGATTTTTGAAAGAGTGTTTTACTGCTACGAGAGTATTTTATAATATATGTTCAATATTGGGAGAAGAAAGGAGAGAGGTTGGGGGAGGGAATTCAATTTCACCATGAAATTCAAGGAATAATTTTTTTTTGTTTTTTCTGGATTTTCTCGATATATGTTCTAATACACAAATGGCGACATTGAAAATTATTCATTCAATTCAGGTGTTTCGATTTATATAAATAATGTGCAACAAGGTCAAGCAGAAGTATATGTCGTACTGCATGAAGCACAAATCGGTGTTCGCATACGAGAATCTTACGCTCTTGATATGGACCGATTTCCTACTTATATGGAGAGCTTCGGCTTTCTGGATTTACTTATTTCGGTACCGTCGCAATATATCTCGGTATTGTCTCAATAAATCTCAACTTGATGCAAAAATGTATAAAAGTGCCGCTGGACTTCTTTATTTGTAGGGTTCGAATGAACTCAATGGTGTTCGGATGTATGGCCTAATACATCCAATCGATCATGGATCCTTTTCAAATCGAGATTCAGGACTAACATGGAATGATATTAACAATCCGTCGCTAAGAGACAATCTAATCGAGAAATGTATTTGTTAAACTTTTTTTATAGCAAAATAATTAAAAAATTCTTAAAAAAATTTTTTAAATTCTGTCTAAAATTTTCTGTTTCTTTTAATACTTTCTTTTTTTATAGATCGCATAAAGGGTGAAACATATATGGAAATCTCTAGAAAACTTTCCAGTTCAATCGATATGTTTGAAGTACCATCCGATTTTGTTTTTAGCGCATTACCTGATATTAATCTTAAGAAACCAGTTTATGTATCTGATATTCGATACTATTCGTAAGCGATTGAACAATTTTTACTAATATCAAAAATTTTGATATAATTTTTTAAGCTTTTCTTCTTCGAACATCTCATACTGGCTGTATTGGCAGCTAAAAATAAAACTTTCCAAAGATCTCGATACTTGAAAACAATTGAAGCCACTCGTTTTTCCATTATCTAAAGTTAATATGTATCACTGGGCTACTTAGCATACACAATTTCACCTTAAAATCCAGGCTTCTGTTGTTTTTGAGTCATTTATCATACAAAAGTTTAGTATTTCTGTTAGTTCTTATGATGAACGTGTGGTGAAGAAAGTGGTCTTAGCAAATCTTTACATATAGTATAAAAGCCAAGACGAACATACAAATAAATCATACGGCATAATTATCAAGCTGGATATATCTTAGTGAGGCATGGTTAAAGGTGGACAGCTTTTTCATCCACTCTCATTTATCATGTTTCTCAACCATATGTTATTTGTCACCAAGTTAGGAAAGTGTGTCGGACTTCGCATGCTCTATTTAAGAGTTATTTGGTCATTTCGATAAATGAAAATATAAAAACATAAAAAAATAAAAATAAGAAAATAATCGCTCTTCATGAAATCACTTTTGCTTCTATTGTATTTTCGACAATTTTAATTTTTCCAAATTTGCAAATATGTAGATTTCGTCGAACCGAGAAAACCAAGGGAAGTAGAATGACTCTGTGGGTTGTTACTCAATTCGGAGCACCTATTCTGAAATTCTATTCCCCGTAGGAATAAACTCGTTTATAAATCCGGCTGATGCTGGAGACTTACCTGCACTTCTATCGCCAGGTGATTCCATGGCATATTTGTTCAGTGCAATAAGAAGTAGAGCAAATAATGGTGAAGACTTTTAGCACCAAATAAACCATATTTTTCATTTTTCTCCTTTTTTTCTTTGAATATTCAAGCGATACTTCACTTCATCAACTCAAGGCAAACAGTTTAGATTCGATTCTTATAATTATATAATAGCTTCTAAAAAAAGAAAAAAAAATTGATTTCAGGGGACAATATTTATTCGTTCCGCAAACTTTGGAATCGATTAACAGATTTAAAGAAATTTGCACAAATTATTTCGTTGGTGAATATTTTTGTTGCCGTAATAATATAATAACGATAATAAACAATAAATATACAAAATGAAATAATGAAAAATAGTAATATTGATATAATGATAAGTAATATTGATAATATTAATTAATAATAATTAATAATAATGGTATTGGATAATAGCAATAACAGCTCTAATAATCTAATAATTTAAATAAAAACTGATAATAAATAGTAATAATAATAATAAATAATAATATAATATTAATATACCAATAATCAAAAATAAAATAATATTAATATTAATAAAACAATAATTGGTAAACAATAATATTTATAATTATTTAATCGTGATCCTTGTAAGTCTACTGTTACATCTAGTAACAGTAGATTATGAAATATGTTCAAAATTGTATTTCACATGGTTACCTTAAGAAAGATTTGAACATTCAGATTTCTGGCTCCATGATTAGTCTATGTCATTCAGTCATGGCCAAGTGAGTATAGTTATTTATCGAGATTTGAGACCATTTCATTTTTAATAGATTTAATAGACTCGTTATGACTATTCAAGAATATATAGTATTAATGGTAATTTATTAAATTTCTTTTTTGAATATCTAAGTGATAGCTATTATAAGGCTAATATATAATGCTGAAAATGTTATTTTAACCACATGCCTTGAAATATTTGTACTGATTTTCTATTCTTTTTTTAACATATGTTAGTGATTAGTTATAATTCTAATCAATCTCTAATGAATTCATTTATATGGTTGATTAATGACTGCAAAATTTATCTTTTGTTTGAATTGATTGGAGAATTTGAATTTGAACGCTCTTCAAAAATGATATGAATAATTTTGAGGATAAATTGATTTTAGTTATTTTTCATCAAATAACTATATGAATATTAATTAAAAAAATGTTAATATTAATAATAAATGACAATAAACATAATTCCCAGTGATGCTGGCAATTAATTTCTATTACCCTCTGGCAAATTTGCCTGGTGTAACAAGCCAGAAGAGCGAATCTAACGAATAACGAATAATAATGAATACTTTAAAAAAGAAAATACTTTAAAAAGAAAAATCATAATAAAGAATAATAAATAATAATTATTTTCATTAATTTTCAATATTTATGTTTTTTTTTTTACTTCAGATGAAGATTTAATGGATCCAAATACAAATCTTGAACTAAGAAGATGTCCTTCGTTCATGGAACTCATCCAGAGCGATTGCAATAAAGATATTGTATGCGAATTAGATTCGATACTTCTTCAGGCGAAAATTATTGGTGAAAAAACGAGGGACGAATATTATTCCTATCTTGAACATCAACAATTGGCTTCAATTCGATGTAAATTTTTTTATAATAATTTTAGCAATTTTTTTTTTAAAATAGATCATCGAAAAAAAAAATTTTTCTTTAAATCACGAAGCCTTTGATTGTTAATTTGTTAATTCAAAAAGGGTTTTTGATTGTTAGTGAAAAACAAATCAACTAATATAGAGTTAAAAGTTTTAAAAATTATTTTAAACAATAATAATTTAAAAAAATAAATAATAAATAATAAAAATTATAAAATTATAAAATAATAAAAATAAATAAAATTAAACATAAAACAATAAAAATATGAAATATATTAAATATTAAATATAAAATAATAATTTTCAGATAATAGCTGCGGTGCAATAACGCTAGAATATCCGGACTATATGATGAAGGGACCATCTAGTTCAATGCCTGGTTATTTAGAAGGCGATACTGTTATTTTTAGTTGTTTTCAAGATCATATCACTAAAGGCGACACTGATTATCAATGTTTATTTTCAATAAATTTATCAAAATCAATTAAATTTTGATTTTAATTAATGTCACGATTTCATTATTAAAGGCGATAATAAAGAAAAACACTCTTCTAGTCGTTTTTTATTTCTAAGACTTAATTCATATTATATTTTTGGGTTTCTCTTTAAAATTACACTAAAATCAAAATATTTATCATAATCAACAGGTACGCGAAGATATGATAAAGATAATGTTAATAATTATGAAATGCGATGGAATGAAGGTTCGCAACCATGGTGCCGTTCCCGGTAATTAATTTTTTTTCTCTAATTATTGATAAAATTAAGCGAAAAGAGCCTTGCCTTAACTAAATATTCAAAAAGGGTTTTTATCAGCTGATGTTTGGTTAGATTTTAGCCAAGCGGAAGATATAATTGTATGGACAATTTGGAGTCTAATTTTAATTGGCAAACTCGCATTAATAATTCTCATTTTCTTATTCTGTTGGATTATCAAACAAAATCACCTATCATTGGAACGTAACGCTATACGTGATAATGTGACTATTATTTGCCTTTTATAAATTTATTACTTGCTTTCTTCTAAAAAACTTGCTGAAAAGAATGGACTTGCTTTTCCTGATAAGTAATAATTAGTGATTATTGATAAAAAATTTTCGTTTTCTCATAAATTTTATTTTTCAGACAAAGACGATAAAAGCTTCGAATCAAATACCTCTTGACAACGATTTTAGTTTACGAATTATGGAAAAACCACCAGTTAATCACGCTTCAGTTATATCAAGGTCATAATTGTTTTATAACAGATAAAGAAAAAGAATATGAGATGATAAGGAAGAGAGGAAATCGCATGGGATCCTCCTTCGTGGTCTGCTATATGTCCTTTGATAGGAATAAAATCGGTGATTCAATCTGAGTAATGCTAACTAATCCTATGTGCACCCATCTAATGGCCAAATAACTCCATGGCAAAAAGTTATCTATTATCTATAATGAAACCAGCCAAGCCAGAAATGATAAGCTCTCTCAATAGAAGAACAACTAGAAATACATTTAAAAAAAAAAAAGTGGAATTATTCAAATCACTAAATCTTTTTGGAAGGTAATACATCTTTATATTTTAGTAGTTTTGTATCGAACAAGAAGAAACCAAATGAATCAATTTCGTCCATCCAATCGGAAAGATATGCAAAATTAGCTGGCTTGACAACTGGTGTCTAATAAATTTCAGGTGATAAACATTCCTAGTTTATTCGAAATTAATTTTCAATAAAAATATGAAAAATATGCTTCTAATTAACAATAGATAAATAAAAGAAAATAAAAAGAAAAATTTTTAAAATAGAAAAAAAATAACAACAATAAAAATGGCAATAAATAAATGAAATGGAAATAATGGAAGAATAAATAATAGCTGAAATTTTATATATAAATATATATATATATATTTTATACATAAATTTTACATATAATAATTATATAAATATAATAAGTATAATTATTTTAAAAGCAAAATGGATAAATTTTGCTATTTTGTATTTTGCTATTTTGTAATAAATAATTTTCGCAATTGCGAATTTATTTATAATTTTTTTTGTATATCTATATATGACTTTAATCTTATATTAATATGCTAAGGACTAAAAGTGAAACTATGGAAGATCTGCAAAATTCACAGGCTTGAAAACTAGCGAAGATATGAAAAATGAAGGCCCAAGTTAATTCCAGTGATAAATGGAGCACTTGGAAAAGGCTTTAATAGATTTCAGGAAAAACATCCGAGGTCTCTATGCAGGATAGCGCACTATTAGGGAAGAACCCTCAATGTCCCAGGCTCCTGGTAGAGGACTCGAGGTTTAGAACCACAAGGGATTATATATGTACCTAGGCAATGGGTACATATTATATTTTAAATATAATATATACAAAGAGAAAAATAATTCAAACATTATAAAAGGGTGATGCAGCAGATGTTTGCAATTCAATCTGTGATATTTTATATCGAACACCTTTTAACCATTGTGATAATGATTGTAAATGCAATGATGGTTGATTTTCGCAGGAATCCAATTTCATTCGTAGTTGGCTTGGTATTTGTCCGTGATAAGCTGTTAATATTGGCTGCCACATTGCGCTTAACTGACATAGCACTGCTGAATTACATTGTTGCAATGCTTGCATTGTATTTAAAAAATGTAGATTTACCATATCGGCTAACTAAAATCATTTTATTTCAACCATATTTTTATTAATTAATTATTTTTATTTAAATAATTTTAGTAATTTTAATTCTTATTAATAATATTTTAACAAAAAATACTAAATAAAAAGTGAATTTTTTCAAGTGAATTAAAAATTTTTAGAAGAAGAAATTAAAAAAATATTTTAAAAATTTCATTTCGAAAATTTAAAATATTTTATAAATCTGCTATATTTATAAAAAATACAAAAGTGCAAAAATATTTTTTAATGCTTACCACTTTAGAATGTGAAAGAAGTTGAAGTATTGCAGGCGTTACACGAGCCCAAAAATCGAGAATATTAGCGAAAATTTTATAAGCGAATTCATTCGATGTTAGCGCAGCTTGTTCACAATAAACTGTCCATAATTGGCATAAATGAAAGGCATGAAATAATGCTGACATATGTACGACGGATTGCTATAATATAATTATATATTTCTTTATCGTTATCAGCTTATCAGTTCAACAATTTAAGCATTCAAAATTGAAATATTCCAGTATTTTATAGCAGAATAATTTTCTTCCCTGCTCTGAATTTAATCACTAAGTAAATAGACGTTTCAAGCGATTTTAATGGCCTTAATAGCTTTAAAGCCTAAATTATCTTTAAGAGCCTTTTTTAATTTTTTGATAGGAGTAGATATATAATAAAAACCTAAAATTCAAATGGCTTCTAAAAATCTGTTTTTATATTTACACATAAATTTTCCTATGGTGAAAGCGTGTGGCTATATGGCGTCCATATTTTACAATGTTCATGATACTACGTTAATAACGATAGTAAGAATTTATAATAGAAGAAATTCTCCAGCAGTAATTAGTGCTAAAAATTTATTAACGAAGCTTTCTAGAGAAGTCAGCCTATATAACCAGATTTTGCACTAATGTAAAACTTATACGAGAATGTGGATGTTTGGAGTAAAATAACTGTTGACAACCGCCAATATCTTATCCAAATACATGGATATCGCTTGCCTATTCTCTTTTCTTCAATGCTCAGCAATCCTAACTAATTTAAAACAAAGATATTGGCCCGAATCTAACAAGTAATTATATGAGCTTTTAGAAAAAGAAAAGTACCAAAGGATATTATTATTTACCCTAACCTTGGATTGATCTGCAAATCCAGCAAGCACAAAATGAATATAATCAGCCATATATTGCGAACATTCAATAGGCACTGGCATACAAGGTTGAGTGGCATGTAGCGCTCCAAGAAGTAACCAAGACAAAAGGCGAACATTAGTAACTGCTTCAGCAAAAGTTCCAGGAGACGATTGAGTAACTGAAGGTGGCGATATTAGCCAAGGAATGAAGCGATTCTAAAGAAAGAAATTTATGAAAAATATATAAACATTACATTGAATTCAATTGATTTTTTAAAACTATATTTGAAAAAGTAAAATTTTTATTGGTACCACATTTCTCGCATCTTTAACGCGACTCATTTCTATAGCCACGACTTGCGCCAATGACGCTTTTATATCGCCACCGATATTGTCTGAGCTTGTTATCTTCTGCAACATTTCATTTTTATTCAAAAAAATTTACCGAATTTTAAGAAAAATCTACCAAGAGGAATTAATTATACCCACTTTAAGTTTCGCAAGAACATGTAGATCCGATATAAATTCAATAATATCCATAATATACGGTCGTATCGCTTCACATGCAGATGTATTGAACTGAAAATTGTAAGGTTTTTGCTACTAATGGTAGTTCATGAATTTTTATGAAACCAATCTGAGAATGAATTTTTATGGTACCATCTTAAGGGTGAATCATGGCACCATCCCGAGGATGAATTTTTATGGTATTTTCATAAGAATTGGTGGAAAAAGAAAAATTTGACTGGCATCGATTTTATAAATGCTCGATCAAATTATTTAGGTTATATGATTTGTTGTCATATAATAAATCGAAACCTGGTCGTCTACAGTTTCCTCAGAAATATTTTCTCCAGCATCCTGAAGTATAAACGCTATGATCGTTACATAATTATGCTCATTCATATCACATTTAAATTTTATTGCTTGTATCAATTCCGATACAATTGCCTTTGTTAAGCATTGCTTATCACGTTCCTATAAAATTCATTTTAAAAATCATTCTTCAATATTTCTCTCTAATAAAATAATTTATTTAAATTATTTCGAAATGTAAATTTAAAAAAAGATTAAAAAAGGTGAAAAAAATTTTTTTACGCAAAAAATTTCAATTCAATTTCAAATTTTGCAAGAAATTAAAATTAAAAATATTATTTTATTACCATTTTATTGTTATTATTTCAAATTTATTAAAAAATCAACAAAATTATAAGTTTTAAATCTAAAAATTTCAAAATTTTTTAAATTTCATTCATCTTCAAAATTTTTTTCTTGCCACCATCGAGTCATCGAGATTTATTTTAGGAATTAAAGAATTTAAAAAAGAAAATTGATTTTTAAAATTGATGCTTAAAGGAGAAATTTGCAAAAAACTCTCGATGATGATTTTTTTCTTAAATTATGGAGTATAAATTTTTATAAAATTTTTATAAAATTTTTACAAAAAATTCATATGCTAATCGAAATTAATTAGCTTACTCGAACTAAAGCTCGATTGCAAGCTGTACATATAGCTAATAAATCCAATAAATCTGCCTTACATTCATGCATTGCTTCCGTCATCCATTTCGAAAATCCTTCGACAAGTGATATTGAGCCCTAAAAAAAAATCTCCGTAATATTTACTGTGGTACACATTTGTCTATACTACAATTCTTCCATAAAAGTTAAATAAAAAGTTAAATTTTGAAGGTAGGCTCAGTGGAAGTTCGTTTGGGTTCGTTGGAAGTGAGTGCTGTCTAATAGAGAAAAACAAAGAATAGAAAAGTTTAGTGGGTTGTTGTTCAGTTCAGAAGTGTAGAGCTGAGGTTCTAATCCCGTATGAATAAACCTATCCAAAGATTCAAGTGATGCTGACGACTCACCTATACTTCTATCGTTAAGCGACTTTCTAGCATATCTGTATAGTGCGATAAGCAGTCTAATCAGTAATGATAAGTAATGATAAAAATTCTTAGAAAGAAAAAAACCTTGAATGTTGCAAAATTTTGTACTCGTAAAAGTGAAACCATTATTGCCACTGAACTTTTAAGTTCTGTTCGAATAGAACTACGATTAGTCTCTGTTTGTGGCTATAAAATAAATAAATAAAAAATTTGCTAAAAAAAATGAAAAATGAAAAATTTGCTGAAACTTTATAATTTATACAAATTATTTTTATGAAATTAATACCTGTAGTAAACGTCGGAAAAATGTATCGAACATTGATACAACATTGTTCCATTGTAAAAAATATGCATCGGCCGGAACGTGTTGAATATATTCTGCTAAATTAAATAATATTCGTGATAAGCGCATCGGCCAATCATCGATGATATCCTCAAATTTTAAAATAATATTATTATATATTAAATATTACTAAGTATTAAACTTTGAAATATTTTAAATGTCATTATTTATTTATTTGTATTTTTTTTAAAAACGAAAGATATTTTTCATATTTTAAAATATTTTTTCCAAATATTATTATATATACAAATTTTTATGGTGCCATTTTATTATTGTGTTATAATTTTCAATTCTAATATAATATAATACAACTTTTAATTTTAATATAATACAATATAATTTAATATAACATAATATAATTTCATAAATATAATTTCACAGTTTCATAAAGATTTATAATCATATAATGAATATAAAATTTCGAAGAAAAAAGTCGTTAGTACGGGATTTAATCAAAAAATTCAAACCTCTAAGAGATTTTGGATCACAGATACAGGATTGAGTTCCTGAAAGTCAGCAAGTGAAAACGAGATAATTGGCCAAAAAGTATGTGGATCTTCAATATTTGTATTAAATAATTGAAGGCAAATACCGCTTGAGGACATCTGCAAAAAAAAGAGTTGAAATAGAAAAACAGTTAAAAAATAAAAATAAGTATAAAATAAGAATAAAAAAATAAGTATAAAAACGAAAAATAAGAAAAATAAAAGTGAAATGAAAAGTGAAAAAGTGAAATGAATTGTATAAAAAAATTTTTAAAATATATATAAAAAAATAATATAAAAATAATTTTTTACAATATAAAAAATTCTTCATTTTAATGCGACCTGCTGCAAAAGAACGCGTAATAATTGTTTTGCTACACTTCGAGAATTTCCAGAAATAAAAATTGGCGTATCGTGCCAAGGATAAACGGCTTTATCAATAAGCCTTAAAATAAATAAAATATTGAATTAGCCGTCAAAAATTCATTTAAAAAAAGTGAACCAGGCCTCAGAAATAAATAAAAACGGTAGGCTATGCGTCACAATTTACACAAAATAGGCCTAACAAGTTTTTTTTTGCAAAAAAAACGATAATCAAAAAATTTCTTAAAATTATAACTAAAAATTAAAAAATTAATGATTTTTGAAATGATTAATGATAAATTTTTATTGTCAAAAGAAAAGATTTTTAAAAATTATTTTAGATAAAAAAATTTTTTTTCTAAAAAAATGATAATAAAAAGATAAGAAAGATAAGATAAAGATATGAAGAATAATCGAACTTGGTGACTGCATCAATTATTCTAAAAAGTAGTGGTGCAGCCATAGTTGGTTCACGATGTACGAATGTTTCGATAGCAATGAAGCATAGAGAAAGACTTTCTTCATCAACGTTCTCCAAAATTCCATTACAATAACCACAACGTAATTGTCCTCGTCTTTGACTATGATCAATAGCTAAATTTATTTTTAGATTAGAACCAATTAAGAACCAATCGAGATGAATTAGCACATTAGGATCGCTCCTCTGGTCTGTTGGAGTAGACAAATTTTGGTTCGGACAAATTTTTACTAAGGAATCACTTGGCGATAGAGGAGTCGTCAGAATTACTCGAAATTACTGTATTTAGTTGAGAAAATAACTAACTAACATTTCTTTCGATTTTTCCTTCTATTCTTCTTTTTATAATTTTGCTTTGCTGCATTATTCGCACCTTCTTCGCTAATCGACTCAAGTTTTTTATTATTATCTAACTGAAATAAAATATAGCAAAATTATTGAAAAAGATAAAGTGATATAATTGATAAGAAGCACAATTGATAATTGATAATTGATAAATACTTCGTCCATAGTTGCAATAATTGTAGGCATCATAACAGTAGTTGTTTCGGTTATACAAACACCTTTCTCCTGGAATTTTTTTAGCGTAGAAAAGATTTCATTTTCATGAAACCTCCTAATATTTAATAATAATAATAATAATTTATTAAGAAAATTAAACAAAAATTATTATACATTAACAATAGTAAAAGCTTGAGGTGTAGCTATAGCTTTGTGAAGTGTTGTTTGATTTTGAACAGAGATTTCAGCTAATTTAGGAATATCTTCTTCGCTATCTGATAATTCTAAGAATGGTTTATAATCGATTTTCGTTGGTGATGAAATTATTTTTCCACAAATATGCACCTTAAAAAAAAAAAACGACAATATTTTTATAAAAATGGCTATTTCTTTTAAATATTTTGCTAGAGGGTAATTTGAATGAACATGAATATGAATGCCGAGTCCAAGATAATTAAACATATGGAGGAAAAATTAAAAATTTGCAAATATTCTTTCTTATATTCTTACTTATATGTCTGAAATTAGACTAAAACAAAATCAGCGGAACCATTACAGCCTCAAGCACCACATTAATGGAAGTAGAATGATTCTCGGAGCGCCATTGCTATAAATTCTACTTCCAACAAGAGTAAACCTGTTACCTATATTTTCACCCAAATGATTTCCTAATAGAATTTCTCTTATCCCAGGAAATTTTAACAAAAATTAGTGAGTGCATTTAGAAAAAAAAAAAAAAATGAGGCTCTAACCTGTGTTTCAAGTGTACAAAGTACAATAAGTATTAATTTACGAATATATTCACTCATCGGTGGTGCATCGTAACGATACTAAATACATTTATTTATTCATTTATTTGTGGTGAAATAGAAGGGCTCAGGAGGTTGTTTCTCCTCAGTTCGGATCGCCAATTCTGAGATCCGATTCACCGCAGGAGAAAAACCTGTCCAGAAATTCGGATGATGTTGACGATTCATCTATACTTCTATCGCCAATGGATTCCCTGGCATATTTGTCTTATGCGACAAGCCAGCGAATCGAATCTAATCAGTAATGGTGAGATCTCTCAAAAAAAAATTTATTTTACTTATTCAAATTTTTTAAAAATTCCACTAGCAAATAAAAATAAATAATAGTATTAAATAAAAATTAAATTAATTTAATTTGATTTTATAAAACAGAAAAAATTAAGTTTTTTAATTTTTTAAATTAAATTTTATTCGTTTGTATTCCGATTTAAATTTTTTAATTTAAAATTTTTTAAAAAATTTTGAAATAAATAAATAAATATATATATAAATTTTAAAATAAAACTATATGGCATAATTTTAACGGTAAATAATTACTTTGTATAAAATAAGAATTAACGAATTCAGCCAAGAATGGCGAAGAAGAATTTGTAGTGACGCTAAAGAATATTCCTTTGTTGGTTGATCACTTGCAAATCTTTGCGGTGATGGCAAATGAATAAGTAATTGTAAACTAAGCGTAATAATCTACAAAAAATAAATTGAATTTTTTTTAAAATTTAAAAATTTAATTATATTAATTAATTATTCTAACAAAAATTAAAAATTATTATAACTTTAATTATAAAATAATTATAAAATTATAATTAAATTATTATAATTTTATCTATAAAGATTTAATTAAATTTAATTTAATTAAAAATTATTTAAATAAAATTAAATTTAAAGATTTTAAAGGAATTTATAGATTAAATTTTTTTTTTTTTTTTAATCAATTGAAATGCGCAGATAATATCTACTTGATTTGCTATAAGAAGATTGCAGTCAAGAATTTCAGGAAGTCCAGCCAAGAAAGCATTGCAAATTGCTGATTTTCTATAAAAAACAATATGGTAAGATAGAGACGAAAAGTTATTTATTACAAAAATTATTTTGATGAATAAATAAATTAATAAATAAATATTTGCTAAAATATTGAGATGTTTGTTTTGGGAGATAAAATGGCTCATTCGATTATATTGTTGCTTTTACCGATCTTCGAGTCCCCATAGGAATCCGCTTTTCAAAAATCTAGATTATGCTGACAATCTAAATTATGATTAGCCCACTTTCCATATACTTCTGGCTTTGTGATTTGTTGGAATAGCAAAATTTGTCAAGTGCTATAAGCTAATGAAGCGAGTATAATTACAAAAATTATTTAATAAATATAAAATAAAAATTTAAAAAATCTTAAAAGAATATTTTACTGTAATCGTTTCGGTGGAATTGTAAAGCATTTTTCTGAATTACTATAACCAATAAGTGTATTAAAATGCCTAAGCAATAGGCTTTGTTTCTTGGCCGTTGCTTTATCCTCACCGGCCTTTTTAGTTCTACGAAGGAAGCTAACAAAAAGTGAAATAGTCATATAAACGATATGCCGTTCGGAATTTTCCATATCAACAACTCGATTGAATAATAGACACGCATTACTTTCTTCATCCGTAAATTCACGTAAGCGACCATATGACCCTAAAGAAAATATAAGAGAAAGATAAATACTGGTTATAATTCATTAAAATTTTAACCCAACTAGCCCATTTCTTTTTATTTACACAGCACCATAGTTTATTAGGAAGTGCAACCACAGCAATAGCACTCCGACACGAGCAATAATTAAGCTATCCTATTCTCCTTTGCTTTTTCCGTAAGGCGATACTTAACATGGTGAGTCGGTGAGGTGCGTTAGGATTCAAACTCAAGTCTCGATTTTCGGTGACAATTGTTCGACGATTGAGCCATCGATGCACCAATAATACAATGAAATCAATGAAAATAATCCGATATATTTTAGGATTTACTGGATCTCTCTCATAAATAATTATCTCTACTGCAGGAGGACCTCAACAGAATAGCCAGCTGACTATATGATAGGCAAATTATCCTTTCCTTTCAAAAATGTAGCGTTCTTCATATCAATTCTAAAGGTTTCGATTTTCGTAATCTTATTACTAATGGCAATGTAATGGCAATGAGATATCGTAAATCAAGTAAAATAATTGAAGGACTCCAAAAATATTTTATACGGCGCCTCTCTCCTAATTGCAGTTTTAATTATAAAAGAAAACTTCTACAGTATAACCTGGATTTTCTGTCAGTGCGTTGTATTAAACAAAATTTAATTTATACTTATAAGATTCTGTATAGTTATATCAAACTGGATTGTTCAAAATATTATAATTTTAGATTAAATTTAAATCCAACAAGAACTAATGGTTTAAAATAGGCTTACTAAACCTATGTGTAAAACTAAACTAAGGACTCATGATTTCTTTATTCGTAATATTAATTTCTGGAATAAATTACCGAACGATAGAGCTTGTGTGCCATCCCTAGCTATCTTTAAAAAAAGAATAGATAATATCATTTATAACATTATTTAAAAAATTTACATCATGAAAGAAGTGTGAAATCTCGATTTTTACCATCCCCGATTATAGTTATTTCGAATTGTACTATGTTATATCATTTTATAATTTCCTCTTTATTTCATCTTTAATTTGTTTATTTTATTTTTTATTTTTTTCATTAATTCTTATTATTTATTAATTATACCTGTTGTTATTAATAGAAGCACATGGCGCTTGCGCCCTGCTTGGCTAGTTTTCAATAAATTAAATTAATTTCACAAAATTAAATTAATTAAACAAAACCAAATTAATTTCATAAAAAAATAATTCAAAAAATTTCAAATTTATGGAATGAAGTTTCCGAGTTTTCATGCAAATTAAAGATTTCGATTTTTTTTAAATAAAAGGAAGGCTGATTATATTTGATATTTAGAAATGGAACATTTATAAATTATCACTGTATTTTACTTTGACAGCCTTTATAATATATATATAAAAAATTTATTTACTTGAGATTTTAGGTGAATGACGATTCAAATCATTTTCATTTTTGTCGTTTTCTGAAAGAAATGAATGATCATATTTAATAATTTCCTTTGTTTTAATTACATTAAATTATTTAAATTGTTGCTTATTACTATTGCTGAAAAATTACTGATTATTACCATTGATAAAAAGAAATCACTGATAAAAGATATATGAAAGGGGCATTCTTGTTAACTTTTATAATTCTTATAAGTTATAAATAAAATTCTAAGATAATAATAGTAATAATAATAGTTCAGCAACAATAATGGGTTGTTGCGCTAATGCTAAGATTTTCTCTCTTTCTCGATAGCAGTTTGCTTTTCGAAAATCCGATTGTGTTTGGCGATTCATTTATTGCCAAATGACTGACTAACCCAGCAAAATTTGCTTCATCTAACAAAATTAACCCAACCAAAAGTAAGCATCAAAATAATTAATAATGCAAAATTTTAGTTTATCGCTTATGAAAAAAATTAAAAAATATTAAAAAAATTTATAATTTGCCGATTTTGAATTATCAAAATAAGTGCTAAATTATTATAAATTTAATTTTAATATATTTTAAATATTTTAATATATAATAAATTCGATAAATGAAAATAAAAGTAAGCAAACAACGATTCATTTTTCTTTTGTAATAATTTTTAAAAAATTCTTCTATCTAAAATTTTTTTAAGATTAATTTTTTTATAAGAAAAACTAAAAAAAAATATTTTTATTTTTTTAGTTTTCTTGACCTTAAAAAAACAACTCAAAAAAAGTTATTTCGAATTTTTCTGGATAAAAAATAATTTACTTATATTTGTAGTAGTACTTCTCATATCCATATGATGCCGCAATGTATTTTCTCGCAAACTACGTACTATCGAATGTACCGTTAATGTATTGTCGATGACTTGACGAGCACGTGATAATCGCCGTTGATAAATTTCACTCATCGGATCAGAATGCATTAAATCTTTAAATATATAATAAAATTATAAATAAATTCGATAATTTTCGTATAAGCAGTAGTTTTTTTTTCTTATAATTTTTTCCTTATAAATTAATGGTCGATTGGAGAGGACACCAATTTGCACCATTGTCCTCAAGTAATTATTACAGAAGGAAATCTATAAATGGTCCAGGAAGCACCGAAGGTCGAAAATTCTTGATCAAGATGCTTCAAAATTAAGATTGAAAATATTTGACTTTTTTTTTCGAATTGTTCTACTGATATGATATCTAATAATTATTCTAGTGATATGATAAGATTTTTGAATATTAACCATGAACATAGGTTGAATCTGCCGTTCCTCGTAATTGCAATTGACTCTCAATTGTGAGACTTTCAAATCGCTGAATGAAAAAATCCCATGAAAGAATTTCTTGATCAGGTAAAACTTGCGTTAGAATTTGTATTCGATTTATTATCAAAGCTCGATCTGTTATTGACGTATCGAATTGTGATTCCAAACATAAACACATCAACTAAAATATAAAATATATCCTAAATTGGAAATCTATAAAAGGCTATCAAAAAACCAAATAGTGGAAATTCCATAAATCCATAAAAAATTCCATAAATAAAAGAAATGAAGCTTAAACCTTAAGTGAAGCGGATGGCATAGCTCGAAGAGAAAGAATGGCACGTTGAGCTACAGCAGCATTTGGATCGTTCACAGATGAAATGAGAAGTGCTACACCACAGCTTAGTGATGTTTGTATAACTAAGTTTGAACTAATTGGTACTGCATTAGCAAGCTGACAAAGTACGCTCATATGCTCCACTAAAAAAATAGCTATAATTTTTGTATGGACATAAAAAATAACAGATAACTGCAAATATTTATTCTATACCCCTCCTCTCCTCCCTCTCTCCACCATTCGCTAGCAAATTTATAGTTGGTTTATTTTCGTTCAATAAGCCACTCGTTGCTTAAAATAAAGTTAATCTGAAGTTCTAACCAGCAATAAAACGCTGCTGCCAAGAATCACTAATGAACTGATTGACGACGGTTTTCCAAAAGACTTCTTCACCACAAGGTATTGTTAAACAATGCATAATTAGTGGTATTGCTAATTCAGCCAGCTGAAAATAATCGTAAAAAATTAAAATCAAGATGGAACTAATAAATTCTATGAGAAAAATTTAAATAAAATATAAATATTAACCTGAGATTTATTGATACGAAGTGCTTCCCACAGCTTTGGAATTAATAAATTTTCTTGAGCCCAAATTAAAAATCCGCGATGTTCACGACGTGCATTAACCAGTGCTTCACAATGAAGGCAAATATATTTCAATATTGATAGCATATAAAATTGCACATCAACATCTCGTTCCAAATCGAAATTCTACAAATTTCAACTATTCTTAAACCATTGCACCATTTTCGCTTTGGTTATTTCTATTGGCTAAGTTGAGGTGTTGAGGTATATTTTCCTCAGGAATAGAGTCAAATGACTCTATAAATCTTTAAATCACCATTTAAATCATTGGGAATATTTCTTTGAGCGTTTTATAAAAAAAATTTCAATGTTGCCACAAATCATATGGCCGAAAAGGAATTCAGTGGCAATATAATCATATATTGCCTAGATTTCTAATACAATTGTTCAGCCCTTGTCCAATAACTAAATAAAATCCAAGCGGCCTTAGAGGCCCATCTGTATTTTCAAGTAGTTCTCTGGCTTCTCATTCTACGAATTACCAATTGGAACCTAGCAAGCCTAACCGAAAATGGTAAGCATCAATCATTTCTTTATAGAAAACATTCATGAAGAAACCGTTAATATGGAGTGAATTAATCGAAGCTGAGGTGGTAATTTGTCGATTGTGAATCTGAATCGACCAACTGATGTGTCCCAGAACTCAGACTGAACTTTAAGTGGAGCTTGTTCCGGTACTCCTTTAACACTATCAACTAACGTTGATGTCACTACATGACATGATTCATGTCCAACATCGATTTCAGTCAACGTAGTAGCTGCAGCCACGCCGATTTCCAACTGAAAGATCTTTTTTTTTTACAATACTATAATATAATATAATGTTATTATATTATATAAAATATATTTTTATATATTACAATAATATTATGAAATTTGAACATTAAAATATTATATTTTTATGCTAAATCACCTCTTCACTCGGCAAAACTCCTACAAATTCCATATCTTCTATTCCTTCATGAACTTTAGCTGTTTGATATTGAAGTATGTTGGCTTTTGGCGTTTCGTCTTTGCATTGCAAAACATCGGGACTCTCGGGAATTCCGATAAGAGACAACGATTTAACGGAACTAAACGACTGGTGAACTGATGCTATATCTGTTGTAAATTGATCCGTCCAATTAGTAATAATCTAAATATACTTTGAGTTTTTCTTTTCAGTGAAATAATAATATTGTAAAATTTAGCTTTAAAATGTTTTACTTCATCTTTTTCCGTAACGATTCGCATTTGTTGCTTTGGACAAAGTTGTTCAACAAGTTGTGATACTGTCTGATAAACAAATGCTGATTGTTGACATGGTGAACAATCCAAAAATTCGTCAGCTTCTGGATTCGTACAAGAATGTTCACCACGAGCGAATGGCTTTTTTAATAAATATGCACATGTCGAGAAAATCTCTTCGGCTACATTTGCAATTTCATGAACGCCTATATCATTCAATTTCATCTGAAAAAAAAAGAGCCCTCACCACTATTGATTAGACTCGTTCTTTTGACTTGTCGCGCACTAGCTAGGAAGTCTCTTGGCGATAGAAGTATAGATGACTCGCCAGCATCACCCGGATTTCCGGGAAGATTTACTCCTGGCGGATAGTAGAATTTCAGCATCGGTGCTTCGAACTGAGCAACAAGCCGTTGGGGCATTCTGCAGGCATATTTTTTCCCTATATTTTTCTATTATTATTGCTATTATAATAAGAAATTTTTAAAAAAAAAAAGAAATTAGTTTTACCTGTAATGCTATTATATCAATTAATGTTACATGAACAGCGATTCGTCCATCTTCTAAATCATTTTCATTATTATCATCCGAAATTTTCTCTATTTCTGCTAAGCGAATTGCACACTTCGAAAATGCTTCAAGTAAAAGATTTAAAGGAATTGAAATATCCATGCGAGATAATGCCTATAATTTTTATTAATACATTAAATTTATATTAATAATTTAGATTTATTTATAATTTATATAATTTATAATTTATATAATTTATATTAAAATAATTTATAATTTATATAAAAATTATAATAAAATAATTTATAATTTATTTAATTTATAACAAAAATTCATTTGAATAATTTATATTTATAATTTATATAATTATGATTTATATTTATAATAAAGAAATGATTTATATTGGAAAAATTTTAAAAATTTATAAAAAAAAAAAAATTTATTAAATATTTTAGAAATTAAAAGAAAAGCCATTATAACATGAAGCCATTCGAGAGCATTTGCAATATCATTTTCATCACCCATAATTAATCGTTCAGTTATAAATTCATATATTTGATTGGAATCAAATGGAAGTGGACATAAATCAGGTTCAAAAATTTTGCTAAAATTATCATTATCGCTTATCATTTTATGATTAAATAATCTTTGTTTTTAATAATAATATAATAATATTTTCTTCTTTTATTTTCATGTTTATTCATTTTTGATAAACACTGATAAACACATAAACATATTTGAGTTTTTTGTTTATATCTCTTAAATTTTTGCATCATTTTTTATTTTGGTCGTTTTTATTGGCTACTAAGTTTTTCTCAGAAAGATCAAATCGTTCTTTATCAAATCGTTCTAAGATCAAATTTTTTTGCCAACCATTAAGTACCAATAGCTATCAAAAAATAAAAAAAAAATAATTCGATAATGATAAAGAGACTAACGATAATAAAATTTTTATATCTGAACATTCGTCAGATTCCATTTGCTCACAAATACTTTTTAACCAGAAAGGCATTATTTTATTCCATGTAGCCAATGTAATAATATCATAAGGCATAATTGAGAGAAGTTTATTAAGTCCTTCTCGCATTTGTTCTTTTTTTGTTGAAAGTTTATCCCAAACACCACCAACCTAAATTAAACTTCACCTTCTCAATTTATTTATCACTTTTCTTATTCTTGATTATTATCATTATCATTTTTTTTTATTTTTTATTTAATAATTTTGTTTAATAAAAAAATTAAATTATCAGAATATAATTTCAATAATAATAAGTAAATTTGCATAAGGGAAATCTTTTATGTAACTATTTGTATTATCGTAGATCCATTTTAAATTAAACCTGCGCATATTCCGGTGGATATGGCATAAGTGTTTCGATATATATATCATAATGGTTCGATATACCACGATTAATCCAATCTGAGACGAACTGAAAAAATAAAGAATGAACCATCTCTACCCTTGGGCTTTTTTTCTGAGCCATTGTCATTCAAAGATAAAGATGGCTTTCTAAGGTTTTCTCTTTTATTATTGGCTCTCATTATTCTTCTCCTTTTGCTTAGCTTTGTCATGTGAATCTGTGGACTCCTTCTTCACTCATTTGTGAATACGTCGATTCATTTTCCCCTAAATCACCGACACATGCATCATTGAACTGATGAAAACTACCTTATCAACTTTTTATTCAACCTTCCTTGACCATTAAAATCCAGATTCCAACCTTATAAAATTTCTATAAATTCATATTTTCTTAGAAAACGAATAAAATAATTACATCAGTTTTGAGCTGTTCTAAAGCAGCACCCATCGCATCATTCGGTAAAAGTGCAGTCGTAGCAAACCATTGAAATAACATTGACATTATATATCCAACTGATTGCTAAAATAATCACATCGCTTATAAAAACTTTTTTCCCATTCCCTGTGGATGATCATTATCATCCTCAAGTCAATCAGAGCAACTCCTCAATTAGCTATTTCTAGTGCTCTTCTGGATAAAGATCTCTAATATCGTTCCATTCCTGGAATCTGCTGAAGCCATTTTTCTAGTTTAGAAATAACAATTTCAAGAGCTTCAATTATTACTGGAATTACTTTGGCTTTTATTCTCCACATCTTCTCTAGTTCCTCTTTTAGCACTTGAATATTAAAGCTGTAAAATAAAAATTGAATTCTAACTGGATCTGCGTCAGGAGTTGGTGAGCATAATGAAGACATAAGCCATATACCAAAACGACTAAGCATACGTCTTTCATCAGCCATTTTATCAATATCACGACCAATATTATGGCCACTTTCAAGTTGTCGCAACCATTTTGGTCGCTTACCCTCACTTTCACTTCCTTAAATTCTTATAAAATTATAATAATAAAAATATTTTTAAGAAATTATAATTCTTCTATTATTAAAATATATTAAGTAAATAGATAAAAATAAATTTTAAATTTTTTTATTTAATAAAATAAATTATATAATTATATAATTATATAATTATTAATAAATTATCTTTAGCCAATGATAACTTATAAAAATTTTTTAAAAAATTTAATTTTTTTTGACTTTGAATTTTAATTTAATTTTTTTGATATTTTAAAATTTTGATATTTGATATTCTTTTGATATTTTGATATTTGGTATTTTGATATTTTACATAATTTTATTTATTCACAATATTAATAAAATCAAATTATATTATTAAAATTAAAATTATTATATAAATAAAATTATAAAATTATATTATTATTATATTATAAATTATATTAAAACTATATAAATTATAAAATCATTTTAAAAGTCATTTTTTAAAAAAGTCTCTTTATTTTTTAATTTTAATTTTTTAATTACTTAATATGAAAAAAGAAAAGAAACCTTCAAGATTTCCTGATGTTTCCTTCAAAAGTTTTACGATAGCTTCAACTAAATCTCTTTCCAGCGTTGAATTCCATGCTGATTTAATGCTTATATGTCGAATATGTTCTTTTGATGTTTCTCGGTGCAAATCATTAAAGCATTCCTAATATGAAAAATATAAATATATTAAGTAAATAGATAAAAATAAATTTTAAATTTTTTTTATTTATTTTATATTTTTAACCTATTTTTATGGATTCATTAAATATTTTTTTTTTATAAAATCTTCTAAAAATTATGGAAAAGTTACAAAAATTATATATAAATATTAAAAATATTGTGCAACATTCATTTTCTAAATAGATTTTTAAAAAAATTTAGACTTTAAAAGAAAAAAAAAAGAATTAATTACCTCACAAAGACGAAGTGGAACATAATGATGCGATCGTATACAATCCTCATCAAAACAAGTACCAACTACGAGACGATTATTTGATTCACATCCCTTAAAAATTTATGAAAAATTTTTAATAAAAAAAAAAGAAATAATAAGAATTTTTGACTTTTCTATAAATTAAAAAAACTAAATTAAAAATTAAAAAGTAAAAAGTAAATTTATAGAAAAAATTATTCTTATACTACATTTTTCGCCTTAATAATCACTACATTTTTGCTTATTTATTTATTTCAAATATTAGCAAAAAAAAAAAAAATTTATTAAAATAAATTTATCGCTCAAATAGCTCAATAAATTTATAAAATCGGAAATAAACTAGGATATTTAATAAAAAATGATTTATCGTTATTCATAACTTAAAGCTTAATATAGAAAATGGCAATGGCATACTTCGCTACCAATTCAGCATATTTAGCTTATAAAAATTTATCCAAGAAAATTTGAAGAAAACCATTTTTGCAAATGAAATTTTTATTTTTATCATAAATATCGAAATATGAACAAATGACAAATTATTTTGAAAATATTTTCATAAATTTTTCATATCTTCATAATTTATTAAATAAATAAGTATAACATAACAATTAAAAAAAAATTTATATAAAAAAAGTTTTTTTTTCATCCCCATGGATGGTTGCGATAATTCTTAACTTCGGGCCCTTTATCAAAGGCCTGGGAGATTAAGGACTATGCGTAGTACCTTAGTTATGTTTTTGTGCTCATCTGGATAGAGATGTTGTTTCCTAGCTTTTCTACAATTCCAAGTGTTCCAATTATAATATTATGATTATAACATCAGTGGAATTTTATATTGTTATTCTTTATTGTTTATAATATCCATATCTCTACTGTCAAGTGATTCATTGGCATAATTTGCCTGGTCCAATAAACCAGCGGAATTATCTTAACGAGAGTAGTGAACGTTAGAAAACAAATTGCTTATAATACAGTTTTTAATTACGCCAATTAACCAATTCATTATCAAAAATTTGAAATTTAAGGGAAGAAAAGGGGAAAGACGGGGAAAGGAGGAGGTGAGGAAAGGAACGAATTGAGTCAAGTTAAGAAGAGATTTATGAATTGTATTTTAATCTGAATTTTAATTATATTTATTTATTGATATAAAAATATTTTTCTTCCTTTCACTATTTTTAGCCATGTCCACTCCACTGGCTTGTCGGGGAATAGACAAATTTTGCTAGGCAATCACTTGAAGATGAACAAATGGTTCGCTAATGTTATTCGCATTTTTCAAAAATAGGCAAGTTTAAGCCAAACGGAAATATAGAATTTCAAATATAGAATATCTTCGAAATGTGGTCAACACAAAATACCGAACGAACTATTCCATCTCTAACCATAATTATTTAAAATTAATTTTATAAAGCTTCAAAACATATGCAAATAAATTTTTTCAAAAACTAAAATTTTAAGTTTTTTTTAGAAATAATTTTTGTATGATAAATATGAAAATAAAATTTTTAGTCGATTTTTTCTATTAAATTAAATTCTAAAAATTTTATTTCAAAAAATTCTCTATTAGATAATTCAAAATTCTAAAATTTAAAAATAAATAAATAAGAAAATTTAAGATTTAAAAAAAATTTTAAATTATTATTATTATTAGTTACTTTATTTTGGCACATAAGATTATTCATTGCTGCTAACGGATTGCACATCGTTTTAATTTTACAATCGCTTTGTAAACTATCAGAACACGTTTTACATAGTAATATTGGTGGTGTTGTTTCTGCATATTCGATTGATATCGATAAATTATAACATTTTCTTGAACTAAAATTTATGCTCCATAATATTATTGAATTAAAAACTAAAGAAATATAATAAATTCTAAAAAATTTAAAATTTTTTATCTTCAATTAAGCAATATTTTTCCAAGTAATTATCAGAGAAATAAAAAAAAAATCATTCAATAAACTATTATTATAACAATTATTTTTTAAAATATTCGAAAATATTGCTCTAAAATAGTTTTAAATCATTAATTAAATTATTTTAATTAATTAATTTATTCTTATTAATTTTTAATTTTATTAATTTTTAATTTTTTAGATTTTAATTTAATTATTTAATTTAATAATTAAAAAATTATTAACATTATTTATTGATATTAAAAACTAATTAATTTTTAATTAATTTATAATATTTGCTAATTATTTAAAGAAAAGTGCAAATTGGCAAATTGTAAATATGCATTTGTCCATAATTTTTATATAACGATATATAAATGTATAATAATAAATGTAAAAATAAAAAAATACAAATACAGTATATCCCAAATCCCAATATAACAAAATATAAAAAATTTTATGATAAGAGTGGAAATAAATCACATAAAAAGCTTTGCCCATTAAATAATAAAAGGTGTTCAGGGAAATATTTAAGCAGAAAGAATTTCAATAATATGATAAAAATTTCGCCGAATTTCGTAAAGTATTTTAAATGCCGATGCTGGAGTTCTACTCTCAGCGAAAATAGAGTGTCCCTTTCAAAAATTCGAATGGCTAATTAACTTACGATTCATTTATATTTTTATCATACCAAATGATTTTTTTTTGATAAAATTTATTTATCTGAGAGTTCTGATAAAAGCCGAAGAAGCAAATTCATTAAAATTTTTTAAAAATATTTCGAAAAAAAAGAAAATTCTAGAAATGATCGCTAAATGGTGAATATAAAATTATAATTATATTATAGCTGCCGAGAAATAAAATTAGATTCAATTTAGAAGTTTCGATTTTTCAAGATTTTCTTGAATTTTAACTTTCTATGCAAATTAGAACATAACTGAAGAAAAAAAAATTTCACCGAATTATTTGATATGCAAATATTTTAGGCATAGAAAATTTCGGAAATTGACTTTCGAAATTATTATTTAAAAAAAAAAAAAAATGAAAATTTTAGCGAAAATCAAATAGATGAAAATGAAAAGAAAGGTCCATACCTTGGACCTTTTTCAGGACAATTTGGATTCTGGCAAGGTGAACAATTCCACGCTGAAAAAAAACTATTTGCATTAAAAAAAATCACATTAACCGAGAAGTAAATTGGTAAATTATAATACTTGGCCAGGATAATAAATAAGCAGTCGCAAAGTAAACCTTGAACACGATACTGTATCGGCCTTCTCTGAAGAATTTGTCCACTATATATTGGCCAATAATGGAATAGTAAATTGGCAGCTGCGATTCGAGCTTCACTTGTTCCTCTAGCTAGGACTTGCACTATATCCTAAACAGTAATAATAATGTTTCAATAGGCATTGCTTTCGTTGCTCTCATAACAGAGCGTCGATGCTAGAGTTCTACTCTCAGCAGGAGATAACTATCATTCAGAAATTAAGAATAATAGTGAGTTTTCCTTTCACCTTTCAAATGATTCCCCGCCTGGTTTGCCCGGTCATAAACAAGAAAATTTTCTGCGGCCAGCAAGTCTAACAAGAAAATTGTGAAACTGCTTACACTAAAAAAAATTCTATCTCAGAAAAAATTATGAAAAAAGTTTGAGAAAATAAAAACTTAAATGTTCTCAGTTCTATATAATAAAATGGAATTTTATTTACCTTATAAACATTTTGTTTTTGTGCCATTAAACTTTCGACAAATAATGTATGCAAACCTGAAAATTACAAGCATACAAGAAATTGCAAATGTAATAATTATTTTAAGTGCTCTCGTTCAAATTCGCTGACTTCCATAGATCGCATTCGGCTCAAGTCTTCTCTTCTAAATTTATAGTAAAAAAAATGACAAATGGCAAATAAAGGGGATTTTTTTACTCATTTTTATTTGAGTTCCATTGTTGAGCTCTTTTTTTTCACTCAATGAAAGCCAGCAAAGCTACAATGTTGGCAAAAATTCTAAGCAAAAATTTTATATTAAAAATATTATAAAACTGAAAGCATTAGACATTTCATGGAGATTTTAATTTTTTTTATTTTTATTTTTTATTATTATTTTTTTAAATAATACCGTTAGCCGAAGATGAAATCTAAAAAATTCTCTTAAAATTTAACTCGAATAAAGGATAAAAAAATTATCGTAAAAACGATATTAAAATTTTAGCGAAAAGAATGGTGCAAAGAAAAAAAATTAGTTTATAAGATTGGTATTACTTGGATCCGATGAATGTTGAAAAACCAGCATCATTATTGCGGGAATTGAAAGCCATTCATCTGTCGATGTTATAATAAATGGTATTAAGCAATCGCAAAGAAGATGAAGTAATTTTTTATCAAGTTCATTTGGAAAAACACCAAGTTGACAAGCAATTAAATATGGTAATTTTTCAACCGAATCTCTTTGTAAAAATAAATAAAGTGCTTTAATCATATCTAAAATTGCATCCGCAATTGCTGAAAATTATATAGCAAAATATTATAATCAATATTTAAATATATATATATAGAATGATAAAAGATAAATGATAAAGTGATAAATAGATGATAAATGATAAAATAGTTCTGAAATCCTTATAAAATAGTATTTTATTTGATAATTTTAATTATCATTGTTTTCATTTATCATTGTTTTTTTTATTAAATTTGCATTTGCAACAATGTGTTATTTTCGCTATTTTAAATCAAAAGGCGAAAAAAAAAACAAAAATTTCAATGGAAATTAAATTATAAAATGGCTTATATATCCATAAATTGAATGAAAATTAAATCAAATGAATCAAAAGAAAATTAAATGGAATGAAACAAAAAAAGAAAAAAGGAAAAAAATAAAGTCTCGTATAGCGTTTTTCGATTCTTTTTTGTTGAACTAAAATATATATTTTTGTTAGAAAATCAAAAAAAAATTGTTAGAAAATTCATAGCCATTCAATTCGTTAAATCTTTAAATTATGATTTATCATAAATTTATCATTTATTGGCTCATGCATATTCTATTATTTGTTTGCCCTCATATATATGCTCAATTCATTTTTCGCTTTTCATAGATCGACTAGTAATAGAAGGAAAAGAAGCGAATTTCACCTGCTTGTGCTGTAGGTAAATTCGGGAAAACTTCAATAAGATTAACAATTCCATAAAAAACACCAGTATAATTCAAATTTGGATATAAATTTGATCGATGAAATTCAGCAGAATATTTCTCAAAATCATATTCGGATGATGATGGCATTTCTTTTAAAAATCTAAAAAAATTTTCTAAAATTCTAATTTAAAAAAAATTAAAATTAATTCTGCGATAATTCAATTTTTTTATTCTCAATTATAATTTTAAATGAAGATTTTTGACGAAATATGAAATTTTTTTCATGAAAAAAATTGAACTATTCCATGCATTTCAATAAAATAATCTTCTCTTATAACGATGAAATATTATTTAAAAATTCCATAGTCTAAAAATTCTGGTTAAGCTCATTTGGTTGGATTAGAGAATTTAGCTAGTGAATCACTTAGTGATAGCTAAATCGCTAGCATAATTAGCTCAAATTTTTAAAAAATAAATTCTATTCTTACGGTGAGTAGAACTTTGGCATTGGTGCTCAGAAGTGATAATCACTATTCCATTGAACCATTCGAACGCTAATTTTGTAATTTACAAAATTTTTTTGCAAAAATAGCATTTTTAAAGATGTATAGCATATTTGCAAGAATATCACTATTTTTATTTTTATCAATATTTTCAAATTTTTTAATTTATTTTAATTTAAATAAATTTTAATTTGTTTTTAAAGAATAAGAATATTTTTACTTTATGTGTGTAAATGAATAATAAAAAACTAAAAAGCTAAAATTAATTTTCAAATAATTCCTAGAAAATATGATTAATTTTAAAAAAACTTCAAAAAAATTTTTTTCGAATTATCGAATTTGATTTAATTTAACAAGCATCATTAATTTGATTCAAAATTTTAATTGAAGACTACTTATTATTGAATATAAATTATTCTGAAGTGATAATAAAAATTTCTTAGTAATTTTAATAACCAAAATTGCACTCATCCTTTCCTTTTTTTTGCTAAAAAATTTTCAAAAATTTAAGAAGAATTTGAAAAGAAAATTTATATAAAAAATTTTATATAAAATTTGTAAGATTTACATTATTAAAATTAAATTTATATCCTAATTAATAACATTAATTAAGAATTTTTTTGCAAAAAAACAAATTATTATTATTTTATTTTAAACAAAACATTTGGAAAAAAATAATTTTAAAAGTATTTATATTTTTTTTTTCATTATTTATTTACATATTAAATATTTTGTATTTATTTGTGAAAGCATTTTTTTCGCTATTAACAACTGATAAAATCACTGATAACTGATAACAACTGACAATAATAATTCTCTTTAAAAATAGTTGATAATTAAATGAAAACGTGCCGAAGAGTTCCATTAAAAACGAATTCATAATTACTGCGTAATTATTTTTTAATTCATTGGAATTTTATTTTTTTCCAATTTAAATTGCTTTTAGTTACGTTTTACAAATAAATTACTTCAATTAAAATTATTTCTTGAATTGAAATTAATAAAAAAAATTTTATTTAATTGTAAAATACATAAAATTTTTAATAAAAAATATATCATTAAAATAAAATAAAATATAAAATTTTACCCGATTAATGTTTGTTGAAAATAACGTAATGTGGTTAAAATTTCTGCGGAACTTGGTGGTTGCTGATTTGTTATAATTCGCGTATGAAATTCATTGAGAGTGCGTATTTTTGCAGAAACTAAAAAGTTTCATTTTCGTGCAAATTTTTTTTTTTAAAAACCAAAATTAAAATTTATAAAAAATTTTTATTAAAAAAATTAAAACTTATCGAAAATTTTTATAAAAAAATATAAATTATAAAAATAAACAATTAAAAATAATTACATAATTATTAATTCTAATAAAAAGAAAGAAAAATTAATCGTAGAATATTTGAAATGATTTCAGTAAAATTTCAATTTTAAAAATTTTTGAATTGAAATTGAAATTTTAAAATTTTAATAAATTTTAGTAATTTTAGTAATTCAATTCGATTTTAATTTAACCTGTAAAGTGCTTTAATTTGCAGTTAAATGCTTAAAGATTCATTAATTATTTAACAATTGATTAAATCGCTGAAAATCATTTAACAGTTGTAAATAGCACCACTTAATGCAAAATTTTGTTTTGATTTTAGCCTTACTATTATAAATTTTATCAACAAAATGAGAAATAAGAAATATGAAAATTAAGAAAAATGAATAAAAACGAGAAAAAAATTATAAAATTTCCCAATTTTTTTCATTATTTTACATTTGATAAAGCGAATTAAATTTTTTGATTTGAGAATGATTACTGTAATCGTTCTATCTCGAACAAAACTAAATTATTTTTATGAAAAAATTATTTTTATTTTTATTATTTTTTTATGTATACTGTAAATAAAAAATCCCCTATCTCATTACTTGTGGGTGATATGGCTCATCTTCGAGCATTCTTCACAGATTCTTATCAGAAACCTGGAACTTGGGAATTCTTGATATTCCTAACAATATGCTCTTCTATAAAGACAGAGATCTCTAATGATAATGACTTTGGACAAAAATTTTTTAAGATATTCATCCAAAGAAAGATTAAAATTTAGTAAAGCTCTCATTTTTAAAAATCTTTTTCTAAACTGATAAAATAAACTGATAAAATAATTCTCATGGTAATAAAAAAAAACTTTCAAAGTGATAAAAAAAAACGAATTTACAGCATTGAAATAAGGCTCATCAATATCTTTGTGTGCCGTCTATTTTAGTAAATTTCTTATTTGTGGATAATCCTAAATTCCATTTATTTTAAGAAATCCAGAAACAACATTAAAAATATTCTAAATGAAATAACATTAAAAATGCATTTGGTCATTTGATTCAATTAGTGAACTATCTTAATGCGTTGTTATGCGAAAAATCTCGATATGTACGATTTCTTTAGTGCAAATAAAAGGTTTATAGAATCGAAGAACCGTCCATTCTCAAAATAGTTAGTGATAATTTCAGCTCAGAAACAACAAACCAAAATTAAAAAAGGTGTTATGGTACTTTTTTTCTTTTAATATCTCATATTATTTTTGGTTTGGTTTGTTCCACTACTAATAAATTTTTCTAATTAAAAAATTGTATAAGAAACTATTCGATTATTCGAGAACGAAGAACTGTGCAAGAAAGTTTACAACCTCGCCTTGGGGCTTGAAATGGTATAGGATTTTCTTTTTTAATGACTAATTTTTCAAATCGATCCGAGCGAAATTTCTCAGAAATTTACAATTTATGATTTAAATCACTGCAAATTACACCCAATAAACCCAAAGTATTAAATATCCATTTGCAATTATATAGTAAAAATTCATTTTTATTTTAATGTAAAAAAACATATTCTATAAAATGTAGTTTTTTAACTGGAAAAATTTATATTTTTTTTAAGTTTGAATTGCAAATCTTTTATAAAATTAAAATTGTAAACTTATAGTTTCAGTGGAATTATACAAAATAATTAAATTTGAAAAAAAACCTATTATAAAGAAGTAATAAAAAAATAAAAAGAAAGAAAATTATTATAAAAAAAATTTTGAAAAATTTTTTCGGATCTTAAAAATTTTAAAAAAAAATTCTGAAATGAAAAATGATTGCTATTTTTTATTCACTAAATCTGATATGATAAATTTATTCGTTTTAGAAGTAAAAAAATAAAAAAATAATAATAATAGTAGTAAAAATCTCAAGTAACTGTTATCACAATGATTGATAAAAGTTTCTTACATATACCACCTCGTCTTGGAGCATGAAAAATCGTATGTTTTGAAAGAGATTGTGATTCTAGGAAAATATGTCAAAATTTTTTTCTTCTTCCATTTAATGAAAAATGAATAGCGGAAATCATTGGTGCAGTGAAATACAAGGATCAGTGTTGATTTACTTGGTGATAGTGAGGTGGAGGTGCTAGTGGGTCCTCACCAGTCACCTTCATTTCACCTTTAGTGATAGATTTATTACCACAACTAAATCATAATAGTACCTCAAATTGCTCGACTATCTTAATAAAAAATTGTGATATTAATTTTTATTATTATTATTATTGTTAGCGAAGATGATTGGAAATGATTTACGAACATGTGAAATATTTGAGTAGATAAGCCATGAGGGCGGGCCTCGAATGATTATAGAGAATTGAAAGAATAAAATTTGGGTTGGCTTCGGGTTGACTTGGGTTGGGTCTGGTATCTCGGAACCACTGCCACAGGCAATAAAAAGCTCCGCCTTTACCAATTATTAAATTATAATTTTAACAAAAAGCTAATATTAAATAGTAAAAAAAACACACAGGTTGCTGCTCTTGTTGTTGTCATTATTGCAATAATATAATGAAATTAAATAAATTGAGTTGTTAAATAATAACAATATTTAATAGTAATTATTATTATTAATTTATATATGGCAGTCGCTTATTTCCGTTGTTATTGCAATTGACGGTGATAATGATGATAATTTATTTATATAAGCGCGTCGCTTATTTCCGTTGTTATTGCAGTCAGTGGTGATAATAATGATAATTTATTTATATAAGCGCGTCGCTTATTTCCGCTGTTATTGCAATCGACAGTACTAATAATAATAGTAATAATAATAATAAATAAATAAATAAATTAAATATGAATATATTAGTATTAAAAGTAAAGTTCATCGTCATAGTTGTACTAATACGCATATGAAAATATCACGAGGAAATACATCTAGAAAGGCCCATCGTTCAATAAATTTTTGCGATTTTCTGTTCCTAACTCTTCGATATAAAACTAAAGGGCCTTTTCTCTAAAAAATCTATAACCTACTCTTCAGCGAGAAAGCTCATCGCATGCGCTATTTTCATTCATAATTTCCAATAATATCAATCCTCACCCTTATCATTTTTATATTTTATCATTTTTAAATTTTAATTAATTTAATTAATTACAATAGTTGAAAAATAACAAAAATAATATAATTTATAAATAATAATTAAAAAGCAGTAAAATAATCAAAATAATTAAATTAATTAAATTTAATCAGAATAATATAATTTAAAAATAAAATTTATTTCATTTTTAATCATTTTTTATCTGATTATTTGATGCTTTATGATAAAAATTTATCACAAAATATCCAGGAACCGAGTAATTAAATTGTAATTTAATCAGAATAATACAGTTTAAAAATTTATTTCATTTTTAATCATTTTTTATCTGATTATCTGATAATGCTTTATGAAAGAAAATTTATCACAAAATCTAGAAATCGAATCATTTGCAATATATGAGAATGTGATGATTTAAGTAGTAGAGAATTCTTCTTAGCCATTAATAAAACGATAAATGAAAAAATGAACAAATTTTTATGAAAAACGATAAATGAAAAACCAGGCGAGATTACTGAGATACGTACCATACTTCCTTTATAAATTTCAATTATAGTTGATTCTTAGTAAATTTTTTATCAGTCGAGTTAGCCGAATGAACCAGTGATTCGCAGCATTCCCAGAGGAAATGACGTTCCCAAAAATTTACAAAAATCAAAATTTTTATTATTATTATTATTAATACTATTATTATTACTATTATTATTATTAAAATTACTCTTTTAAGTCAAATATTTTTATTTTTTTCATTATAATAAATTTTTCATTTTTAAGATAAAATATTTTTTTTCATGAAATATTTAAAGCGATACTCAAATTACTTTAAAGAATTCATCCATAATTTATCCATAAAAAACAACAATCATTTCTTTTATTTGTTTTTAATTTTCAAATTAGCTAAAACATTCTAAGAATTCCATTCATATGCCCACAAATAAATTGAATTTATCAACTATTATTAACAACTAATCGTACATCTCAAAATCGACACCTATCGATGAAAAAATTGTCCAATTTTAATTCTTAAAACCACTAAGCAATGAGATTAGCATGAAACTTTTCTTCTCCTCCTCTGCATAGTGGTTAAAATTAAAATGAATATGTCAATTTTTCTTGATTTTTTTTTCAATTTTATTTTTTTCTATGTCGTTTATTCAGACATTAAAAAAACTATTCAAAAACGATTAATAAAAATTTTATTATTTTAGAAAATTTATTCCTAACAATTATTATTATAAAAAATAATAAAATAACTATAGTAAAATATAATGAAAAGTTTTTTTTTTTAATTTCTAAAATTTATAAAAAATTTAACAATTAGCTTATCGATTTATGAGTTTAATTTATTTTTCACATTTACTGCATTGCTCGAAGCATTATTGAAAATGACAAAATATTTTCCTTCGCATACATCAATTATATTCATTTAAAATCTTCGTTGATTGGTACGTTTACGTACGAGGTTTGGTTTTATTTTTATAATTATTATTATTATCATTTTGGATTTCTAAATAATAATATAAATAAATATATAAATATATAAATATATAAATAATTTAGCAATTTTGAATCCGAAAAAAAAGCAATTTTGAAATATTTCCTCATTATTTTTTATTTTTCATTATTAATTATTTATAAATAATAAAGAAAAAAATGGAAATAAGAAAAAAATAATAAGGAAAACAAAAGCTCTCACGACAATGGTATTATTTTCATTACGAATTTGTACGTAAACAAACCATTTTTCCTTCTATCATAACATTTAAAGAATTCAATTTTTCATGAAATATTTTCTGCAAAATTTTTTCATCTTCTATATTTTCAGTCAATTGACGATATTCGGAGATCACCGATTTTCTTAATTTTTTTAATTTTATTTGATGGTTTTCAGCGTTTTTCAGCGTTCTTTTAATTGCCTTTTTCCATTTGAATTTAGATTTCGACGGATCATTTGATACCTAAATTGAATTGTTTTAAAAAATTGCTAATTTACTATATATTTCTTGCAAAAAAACCTATAGTGAATCTGCTTCATAAATATATTTAAATAAACAAACATTATGGGAAGAACCGTTAAAAGACGATGAAAAAAACAAACTTATTTGGATAAAATTTGTTATATATTTCTCTGATTTCAACTTCCCACTTGACCTTTAACCATGACCTTCTACATTTTTTCTAAGACTCATTTTTATTTCCTATTTTAAAGTACGCTCACCATAAGTGGTTAAACATACTATACTGCCTTAATCGGACCAGATAAATTTTACTAGGCAGTTACTTAGTGTATGGATGAGACGTCAGCATTTTTGGACAGCGGTTTTTGATGTCCATTCCCGCTGGCAGCAATACTCCAGCATCTGTGTTCGAAAATGAGCAACACTCACTGAGCTATTCTATCTCGTCTCTCTTTATTCGCCGTTCAGCGACACTACGGTCCGAAGAAGCATGAAGCATCAACCGGATTCGAGTTGTCCGCGACTATATTGTAAACATTTTCCTACTAAGCCACAAGTACAACCAATGAATTTAACATAATTTAATTGAATTTAATTTGTTAACATAAAATCTGAATAAATTTATTCTAAAAAATATGATACTGCTTACTTCCAAATTATCTTGGTCTGGCTCAATACCATTTTTCTTTTCGCAATCAACCACTTTTTCTTGAAATCCATTACTGCATTTTAGATGATTCATTTGTTCATTAATGCATTTCCAGGCCTAAAATTTATGCATAACTGATAATATTATATTAAATTGAATGTGTTTGAAAAATAATAAGTAAAAAATAAAGACATTTTTTCAAAACAAAAAAAAACGTTGCATGAATTTTTGATAAATTCTAAAAATATTTTAACAATCTTTTTTATAATAATTTTTCATACTTTTTAATCAATTAAATATTAATATGTTCATAAAATTAATATAATGTAATTAATATAAATAAGAAATTTTGCTAAAAAATTACCTCTAAGCATAATTCTTTATCTTTTATCCTAAATGAATTTTGCAAGAAATTTACAAATTTGATTTCTTTACGAGGAATGTTATGGAAACTGAGAATTTTTTCGAGAAGTTGTTTTAACTCGCTATTTTTAACGTTCTTAATAGCTTTTTGGACTTGTTCGACCCATAAATTTTGTTTAATTTCGCCCTAAAAAATTAACATAATGCAATTTAAAAAAAAATAATGCAAAAATATTAGCAAAATTAGTAATTTTTCTTACTTTCTTTGCAACGGGAACATGATTTATTCCACCATACTTTACTTCCTCCGTTACGCATTTTAAATGGGAATTATACGTAATCCTAGTAAAAGAAGTATTGCAATCCAGACAAGAATAAGAATCTGAACTGAAATAGGAAACCAAAAATTAAAATAATGTAAAAAGAATTTAAAAATTTAAAAAGGATTTTCAAAGAACATTTATAAAAGTAGACCTTACATAATAAACAATAAAAATATTATAATAATAATAACAAATTTACAATTTACATTAAATTGAGACTTTAAAAATAAAAATAAATGATAAAAAATATGATACTGATAATAACAATAATAATAATAAATAATGAGAATAATAAACGATTATCCTAACTGTTTACCAGTCACAAATAAATAAATTTCATATAATTTAAAAATTAATATGAAAAGTGCAAAATAAATTTTATTGCGGAATTTTATTGCAACAATAAAATCATGCAAATCATAGAAAATTAAATCAAAAAGCTAACGGCGAATAACAAATATTTATTCACAGAAAATTTGCAGGAAAAAAAATTAGAAAATTTTATGAAAATTTTTCTAAATCTTATTTGCAAACTATTAAAACTTTGCATATGTAAATTATCATTTTAAATCATCTATTTAAAAAATCTAAAAAATTTAGAACGGTGATTTTTCAATCAAATAAAATTTTTTTCAATATTCTTCCAAGAACATAGAATAAGGAAAGAAAATATGCAATAATAAATGAAATAAAACAAAACAACTTGCAGATGTTTCCATGCTTCTGAACTTGATTCTTTTTCAATGATACACCACACTTATCGCATAAAAAAAACACCATTCCAGCAAGTTATTCTTGGATGGGTTTGATAAAAACCTGATAAGTTGATAAGAGGTAAAAAAACCCGAAGACTGGGACGATGAAAAATTTGATCATAAACACCGCATAAAAATTTTAGTTGACCGTAAAATTATAAAGAAGAAATTTAAAAATTAATTTCTAAAAATTACAAAAATTTTAAAAATTTAAATTTTAAAATTTTAAAAACTGAAGAAAAAATAAAAAATATATAAAAAGACGAAAGCGTAACGGTTGAAATAAAGGAATTTTTTAAATTCAAAAAATTTATTGAAATTCAACATCAAATAAATAAAATAAATAAATAAAAATAAGATGAATGAAATGAAATTTTCTGCATTACACGAAATTGCAAAAGTGATACTTTTCAACAATGCTAAATGTTACTAAATGATTTTACAAAATTTAATAAATTCAATAATCGATAAATATTATATACAAGTATTAAACAAAAAAATTGGTGCATAGTTAATAATTTATAAATAAATAAATTATGAAATAGATGAAATTTTTTAAAAATCCCCTGAAAAAAATGACCAAAATTGACCAAAATTTTTGAATTTTACAAGAATTCTTTTCATAAAGAAATTAATTACAATCTACAATAATATCGAAATATGAAAAATGCTGCCACAAAAAATCCAATGTATAGAGAAATTCCCAAGAATTAGGGAAATCAAACTACCATCCTTCTCCTCCCTACCCCCCCCCCCCTTCTCATTCCCCATGCATAAATTTAAAAAAAATAATTAGTAAAGTTTCGTCAAACATAATAGCATCTAACGATTATGAACGTTTATTAATATTATGAAGAGGAAGTAAGGCATGATACTGATAGTTTTGTCCCGAAGAAATAAGCACAAAACGCTTTCCTTGAAAATCAAAAAATAACGTAGAATGAAAAAAAATATTCGACAAAATAAAAGCATATTCGGAAATGGCAAAAAAACTATAAATTCCCGGTTCGCAGTAGGCATTATGTCGATAAAAGAAGTATACAGCAGTTAGCACTGATAAAAACGACGAAAAACACATTAATACTTTGTATTGAAACGAAAGTTCTCCCTGAAATTACTATTACGAATAAATCTAAGAAATGGATTTTTTTTTAAATTCAAAGAATTTCTACAAATTCTTTTCTTATTTTTTTTCGCATAGAAAAAAAATTAAGTTTTTAAGTAAAGTTTTTGAATTTAGTTTTTAAATTAAGAAAATTTTTATTTCAAAAAATAAAATTAAAAACCAAAGAAGAAGTACGCCGACGACCAGAATAGTGAAAAAGTGTCGAAGCAGCAATCATATAAATTAGTGAACAAATCGTAAAACCCACAAAAGAAACTTTGTGCATTACTGAAAATATTTTTTACATAAGATTTCAATTAAATTACTATAAAACAAAATATGAAAGGAAGATAAATGACGAATTAGAATAAATCTGATCCACGAGATTTACTTAGAAAAAGACTGAAAATTGAAAAATGAGCTTTAACACTATTTAAGATTAAGTCTCATGGAAATCTCGAGGAATTCATGAACTCATCGCCGAAATAAATTTTCAATTTCGAGAGGAAAATTTTTATAAATTACAGTTTTCCTAACTAAACCTAGCTTACCATAATTTTCGGAAGAAGAGACCGATGTTAAAAGCAAAAGGAATATATTTTCCGCAATACTTAGAGCACAAGCGATATGGCACATCACACTGAATAATAACTGCTCATTTAAAGGCCTCAGTGGTGAAGACAGCAGCAAATTCCTCAAATACGTAAATTATTAAATTATTAAAAAATATGACATTCTATTCCTAGACCCTTTTTTTACCATTATTTTACCATTACTGGTTAAAATCGCTCCTCTGACTTGTCGCATTGGACAAATATGCCAACGAGTCCCTTGGCAATAGAACAGATGAGTCGCCAACATTAGTCGGATTTTTCGACAGGTTTACTTCTGCCGAGAATAGAACCTCAGCATCGACGCACTGAACTGAACAAAAATCTATTGAGCCATTCTGTTTCAAAGACCCATATTTAATATATACAAAATCCAAGTTAATAAAATTACCAGAATTATCAAAAATTAAAATACCAAGATTGAGATTGAAAAAATAGTTATAATAAATATACCGAAAAGCAAATGCAACTAAAAATCTTGGAGCCGAATGTAATCCAATAAAGATTCGCCATATATATTTTTCAGGAGAAAATGATGCAACTATTGCAGAGACCGATGGTAACCAATTTGGCACATTACAATGTGTTCGATTTGCTTCATCAAAATGTAGCATTAACGCCAATGAAATGCATAAAATTAGCGAACATAACGGAAGACCAGCAACAACATAAACAAAAATTCGAAAAGGTATAAAAAGTAAATCTTCCTCACCAATCACTGCCATTTATTTAACAGTACATCTTGAAAAAAAAATTTTTCAGATTAAAAAATTTACAAAGAATTCTCAAACGGACTATTTTCTATCAGAAAAAAATGATAAAACCGTTTTAAAAAAAGGCCTCTCTACTTTAAGCATTGATAATTCGAGATTACCCTAGGGCTGCTTATCCGATTAACCAATGGAGTTAAAAGAATCAGTGGTGCAAGAAAACCAAAAAACGCCAAGATAATAAAGAATTTCACCCTTTCCTACTCTGTTTGTTATCTTGTTTTAATACCTCTCATCTTCTTCCTTTTCTAACGGCTCTAACCATTACTGGTCAGGCTGTCTCCGCTGGCTACAAGGGTTTCCAAGCTATTCAATCCAACACTATCGTTCGACAGAAGCCATTCCTAGTTCCATCGTCGAAGTCCATATAATATATCTCGTATACTAATAAATTTTCTCAAAAAAAAACCATTTTCCAATTTCTCTTAAAATAAAAATCCTAAAAAAAAGAAGTTTCATTGAAATTAGTCGTAAAATTGTAATAAATAATTATTTCATTTAGAAAAATAATATATAAGAATAATAATAATATTAATAATATTATTAATATTAATAAATAATATTAAAAATAATATTAAAGAGCATTAAAAGAAAGTTATAAATAGAAATGGAGCGTAACCATAGTTCATAAAAAAAAAAATGAAAAATGAGCAATAAAAAAAAAAAATTTATTATTGCAAATAATAATTTAAAAAAATAATTATAATACATCGTAGAACAACCTCGTAGAATAAGTAATCACTAAACAAATATAATCGCTATTAACCACTGTTCATTTAAAATTCATTAATTTTACGAAAACCTAATTTAAATGGAGGTCATAAGAAGAAAAACAATTTTATTTCTATCTACTTACTACCTATGCTGTCCTCTCCATGCAATATCATATGATGATAACCAACTTCTACAATCTTGCATATTATATTTTATTAAGAGATCCCAATTAAATTTATTTTCATTTAAATCTTCAATGAGTTTAGCTTTTTGTCGTCGTATTGCTAATAATTCAGCACTTACGATTTCAACTGGAAACGGGAATTTGAGACAAAGTGGAAATAAATATCCAACGGCCTAAATAAAATATTTTATGCAAAATTTCAATTAAAACCAAAAAAATAATGGATATTCACCAGTCTGCTTTTCTTATCTCTACCGACTGATAAGATGAGAGAGTTCTTCACCAAAGAACCCTTTAGAGGTAAAAAGAGAAGGCATAGCACTATCAAGGTTTTTCTCGTAGTGAAAGAATTATTCTTTTTAATAAATCGAATCAATGATGGTCCCACCTTAGTCGAAGCCGTTCGATCATTTTTAGCCATCACAGAAACGCCAATTAAATTTGAATGGGAGCGATTCAAATTCAAAGAAAATTCTAGTAAAGAGATATTCAAAACAATTGACCAAGAAATTATTTAAAACAAACCTCTGGTTCAATTATATGCCCTCCTAATTCCAGAATAATCCGATTTTTACGAACTGGTGTGACATATTCTTTAATATTACCCTTACCTCCACCCAATCTTTTTCCATGGCCTTTCCGCGTCCGAGGTAACCATGGAGCTGGAACTCGCCAAATAGCGAATTGTCGATCCAGTAATTTCTTGTTTAAAATATTCTAAAGAAAAAATATGAAAAGAAATTTTTAAAAAAATAATTTCACAAAAATAAATAAAAATGAAAAATCTTAAATTTAAAGAAAAATGAAAATTTAAAAATTTTTTCTATTAGCAAAAAAATTATTCTTTATTTTCAAACTATGTAAGTAAATAAAAAGTAAAAGTAAAATAGATGATAAAAGAAAATAGAAAGTTAACTTACTCGCACATAATCGAAATCTTCGAAACGTATAAATCCACCTGATTTTACCGCTAATCCATATTGATTATGTATTAATTCTGTATGAATTTCTTCTACTCCTCGAACATCAATCATCCTTTTAGCACTTTTATAGCGTATTTCGCCTTTTGATTCATCGTAGACTGGTTCTCTTGGCATTTCTGGTAATTTATACACGCCATTTGGAGGAAATATTACGTCTAAAAGAATAATGAATTAATGATAGTGAATTGATTCATATAATAATAAGATAATTAGAAATAAATAAATGCATAATAATAATTGTTTACTATTAATTAATAAATCGCAAGCAACTATATTTATTGCAATAATTTTATTAGTTATTAGTTAATTTAAAAAAAAAGAATATATTAAAATAAGAATATATTAAAAATAAAAAATCAAAAATAAGTTAGACTTACTTTCAAATGTCATCGGAAATGGCATTTTTTTAAGAGATCGCAATGATTCAAGCGCAAATGTCGAAACCTTTAATAACATTCCAATAAAATTAAATAATTTCACCGAAAACAAAGAGTCTGAAAATTAAGAAAAAAATTAAGTTCAAAGGTTATTTACATTCATAACAAATCAAAATCAAAGATTTGGAATAAAAAGAAAAAATTTTGATGAATAAAAATTTTAAATCAATTGAACTGCAAAAAAATAATGTAAGAATAGTTGACAGCTTTTATTGAAAATTGGAACTAATTCAGTTGCCCAAAGCAGAAAGTTTCCACATTAAAATTGCAAATAGATATGATATTCGGCTACACATAAAATATATCGAACAAATTGGACATCGCAAAAATATCCAAATATGCAAAAAAATCTGCCAATGCCCGCCTATCGGATCTTAATCATGGTCGATCGAAATGGTCCATGAAAAAAATGCTTCTTCTAATAACTCACGGGTATTTCCTTGCCTAGCTCAATGGCAACTAGAGTAGGAGAAGGACTTGCTAAACCTCCCAGTTCTATGCTATGCCTAAAAGATACCCATGGCATAAGCCTATATGCTATCTATACATCTTAACTGGTTATCGTCGCTTTTAGAATCATCAGCGTGTCTTAGGCAATATTGATCAACGATAGATGTCTTTTAAATATCTTTCATTTTCACTGGCCAAGTTCCGCATGTGATATATTAGATGAAAACTTAACTTTTATCATATCAGCATTAAAAAAATTGGCGATAATCACTTCCTTTTGGATCATCAGCCAATTTTCATAGACACCTTATATCCATTCTCATATGCAGTTAGACTTCCATATAGATTTATCATCTAATAAACGAAATCTTTGCAAAATCACTCACTATATCAGCGCCAAAATGTAAAATCACAAATAATCCTATTGCATTTGGCCAATGAGAATGAAGAGGCGCCATGTCCAAGAATACTGGTGATATTGGGCGGTGCTCACCTGTACTTCTATCGGGAAGGGACTCCTTGACATATTCATCCAGTGCAACAAACCAATGTAGAGAGTTTACGCAATAATGGTCAGAGCTCTTTAAAAAAAAAAAAAAACGTCGAGCGTTATAATGGATGATAAGATGGGATCGACTAAGACATGAAATGAAACGTGAAATGATAAGATCAGGAGAAATTAAGAAGAATAAGGTTTATTAAAAATGGCTCAAACGTAAAGAAAATGACCCACTTCTAATATTTTCATGCAACAGGTTTTATGAAATGCCACACCAATGTAGCTGAAACGTAGAGCGAAAGGAATCCTCTAGCATTTTATGCTGTTACAAGAAGTCACGTATTTATGAATGATAACAATGATAAGATAAAGATAAGCGATATAAATTAAACCAAAGGGTAGAATAGCTTAGCTAAGCTCAGTGAGCTGTTTGTTCCTCTTATTTTAAAGCGCTAATACTGGAGTTCTGTTCCTAGCAAAAGTAAATTAATATTTCGAAAATCCAAGCGGCTGGCTAAAGACCTATCTCGGTGGCCAGGATGAAATTCATCTGGCCTGAATAGTCAACGAAATCAAGCCACGCTCAAATGATAACTCTAGCAATGATAACTTTATGGATAAATATTTTAAGGAAAATTACTAGATTTCGAATCCGGACTAAAATGCAGCTGTCGCCCATATCCAGCACTATAAAATGCGGCTTACTAAAATAAGATTGGCTTACCCATCGTGATGTCTCTCAGGTCATGAGTGGTCACTTAATAGTGTTAATAGTGTCACTTGCTTGGGCTTAGGATTATAAGCAGTTGAAATATGCTCATATAATCATAAAAATATGTTATACTAAAATCTAGGATCCAAAAATCCGAAGAAGCTGCGTTTTAGCATATGCTTGTTGGTCCAGGTACCATGCCGTTGTTTATTTCGCCAACTATCATAAAACATTGGAGACATTTGGGCGCTGTCGTTATGTCATTTGGCCAACTAATGTTAATATTAATATTTGATTTATTAGCTATGCGGGTAGAGAGAGTGGAAATATGTGAGATTTCTATTGCTCGTTTGAAACGGCGGTGAAATCGGCAAAAGAATTTTTTTTTCTCAAAATTATTTTCTAAAATAAAATTATTTATTGGAATTTATAATAATTTTTAATTTTTTATAATTTTAAATAATTTTTAAAATAATTTTTTTTAAAACTTTTAATATTTTCAAAATTCATTGAATTTTTTCGACTATTTCGACGATTATTTTTTATTTTATTTTTTTTCGTTTTTTATTAATTTTTTATTTATTATATTTATTTCGTTTTTTATTAATTTTTAGATAAAATTAATTAAATTATTCAATTAATCTGTTCAGTTTCTTATATTATTTTTTGGTTTCTAATTTTTTTTAAAATTTTAATGATTTTTATAATTTCTTATTTTTTCTTATATTCTTAAAATCTTATTTTTTCTAATTTTCTCTTCTTCTCTCCAATATTATTAAATATTATTTTTATCTCTCGCTTCTCTCATTTTTACTGGCCATTTTATAACCTGGGGGCATAGAATGGCTCAGTGGCTTGTTGCTTAACTCGGAGCGCCAATGCTGATATTCCACACCTCGCAAAATAGTGAAACTGTCCAAAAGTTCGAGTGATGCTAGCTCATCTGTACTTTTGATCGTCAAGGGGACTCCTTGGCATATTTGTCTTGCACGACAAGCCAGCGGAGCGAGTCTAATCAGTAATGATGTAAGTGAGTGATGGTTATCAATTCCACTCGTCGTATTTGTTATTTAATAAAATAAATAAATTTTCGCAATTTTTCGATTTTTGAAAATTTTTCTATATTCGTTAATTTGACTTACAGGTTTTCTCATATCACATTGGCAGCGTTTCACATTTTTTTTTTTTTGTGCATTTTTGGCGATATCAAATTGTGATGAGAAAATATTCCAAACTATAATGTAAATAATGGTTATCAATTTTATTAATTCAATTTTCTTTTATCATATTTTTATTTTTAAAAAAATTTATTTATTATTTATGATAATTTTCAGAATGAATTATTGAATTACAAATGTTGAATGATGAATTCCTGGTGATGAAATTTGTGTTAATCAACATCGGTTAATGGTTTTTTTTTTACCTTTCTGAAAAATATATATTAAAGAAATTTGTATAAATTTGTAATGGAGGATGATTCGGGATATTGGAAACAGAATTTGTATTTGTTGCAAGAAGCTGCACCTCGTCCATTCGCTGTAAAATGTTGTAGTCTCCTAGAATCAAAGCCACCGCAGGTTTTTTTTATGATTTTGAATGATAGTTTATAAATTTCTCTGAAATTTCCTTTTCATTGCATGCTAAATTAAAAAACCGATATTAAAGTTCAATTTAAAGTCGTAGTCAGCTTCGTCAATTTTTTTTTAAAGTTTTTTATTTTCGTTAAATTGAAAATTGAAAATTTTTATAAAATTTTTTTTATGTTTCATATATTTTATATATTCATATATTTTAGGTTTGTTTTGTTTTTTTCATAAGTTTTTCAAAAAAATATTTTTTAAAATTTAAAAAATTTTTTAAAATTTAGTATGGAATGGAATTTCATGGTTTAATAGAAAGAGAATTTGCTGAGCAAATGTTACGTGAAGCTGGTGATGGCGCATATCTCGTTCGAGCGTCACGTCGTTCACAAGGAGCCGCAACTTTATGTATGGTATTTGATAGACATGTTCTCAATTATAAACTTTATTATGATGGAACGCATTATGTTGGAGAGAAACGGTTATTTTTTCGTTACTTTTTTCTTAATTTAATTGCATTCAATGGAATTCAATTCTTTCAACAATATTTTGTCCGATATTAAAGTTTAACTTCAAATTCTGCTTCGTGAAATTTCGATTTTCAATTCCTATCTGTTTTGTTAGCTAAAAAAACTGTCTGATAAATTTGATTGATTTATTTTGCTTTTTCAATATCGAAGGTTTGTGCTTTGCAAGATTTCATCTTCAATTTTAAGAACAGGCTGATTGATAGAGATCGGAACCATTGTAATTATCGTCAGCTATAAAAAATTTTAACTCTGCATTTTCAATATCATCTCTTTCAGGTTTGAAACATTAGAAGATTTAGTTGCGGATGGGCTTATTACGATGCACATGGAGAAATATGCCAATGACTATATACAGCGCATGGCTGATGAAGCAATATATGAACAGAGTCCATATTCACAATATCAGAAAGCAACTGATGTTCGTAAAGTGCCGATTGCTAGGTGTCATAATTTTTCCCCAGCCACATTTCGTATGCCGCATTATTGCGATTACTGCCGAAATTTCATGTGGGGCCTCGTTCAACAGGTTTTCTTTATTTTATTATAAATATTAATGAAAAGTCACTAAGTCAGTTTTTGGTAAAAATTTCATTTATTTAATATTAATATAATATTATAGGGTGTAAAATGTGAAGACTGCGGTTTTTGTGCCCATAAAAAATGCAGTGAGCGAACTCTTCATGATTGTCGCCCTGAGGCAAAATATATAAAACGCATGTTTGCTGTTGATATTAGTACACTTTGTATGGCACATTCAGTAACAATTCCACCTGTTGTTTCTGCTTGTATTTTTGAAGTGGAACGGCGTGGGATTCGCATTGAAGGAATTTATCGTGTAAGCATCTTTTTTGGTAATTTATTTTTTGGGAACGATAGATAATATATTTAGCAAATTAAGTTAATTGAAGTCGTCTTTTTCTTCATTTTTTTAGGTGCGACTAATTTTCTGTAAATATTTAGTTTTTTTTTCAGTTTGATCATTCAGAAATATTAGATTTCGCTGTTGAAATAAATTTTTATGAAATTTTTATGAAAGTAATAGCTATTTCGTTTTGGATATTTATAACATAAAATTTTTAAGGTATCAGGATCTCACGAACAAATGGAAAGGTTAAGACGGCAGTTTGATACTCTTCATAAGGTTGACTTGTCGTCTGTAGAAGATATTCATACGGTGGCTGGATTGTTAAAGCTTTATCTGCGATTGTTACCTCAACAACTAGTTCCTTTTTCTGTTTATCGGTTATTGCTTGGTGCTTTTTCTAATAGCCGTACTTTTCACGAACGACAAAAAGCTTGCAGGTTTGTTTATCTTTTTCACAATTTGGATTATCGTTTCTATCATTTCATTTATTTACCTATTTTCAGCTTGGTTTACATTGGTATATTTATGGTCTGATTTTCGTAAATTAATTTTCCATAAGTGTTCACTTTATATTTCCCAAAATTTATAATTAAGCGCCTAATAATTAACGGTTACAGATAACTATAAAATACAATCTTTCTGAAATAAATCAATAAGGTAGTTTTTAGTTTTATCCGAATTCTTTAACTACTCCCAATCATTGTTAAATTATGAGTATAGCGAAAAATATGATTGAAATGAATTAATTTCGTTTTAAAATCATGCTGCTGGCATCTTTATGGTTTAAATTTCATGATTATCTGAAGTTTTATGGTTAATGTCTGATTGAATCCTTAAAAAAATTTTTAAACTCATTTTGCTTTAATTTATCATTCAAGTTCCTCTAAATAATTGGATTAGGGATAGAATGGCTTAGTGGGTTGTTGCTCGATTCGGAGCGCCGATGCCGAGGTTCTATTCCCCACAGGAGTAAACCTGTCCAAAAATCCGAGTGATGCTGGCGACTCACCTGTGTTTCTATCGCTAAGGGACTCCCTGGCATATTTATCCATGCCACAAGCCAACGAAACAAATTTAACCAGTAATGATGAAAATTATCTTTAAATAATTGGATTGAAATTTTATTTATTTTCCTCTCAATGCCCACATATGGACATCTTTTTCACATGTCCTTAGTCTTATACTATTGCATGAACATTTTAGCTCAATTTTAGTTTTAACGTTTTTAATTCTATTTCAGAAAAGCTTTAATGGAATTAAACGATGCAAATGGACGTACATTATTCGCGTTATTAATACATATTCAAAAAATATCCGATTATAGTGCAGAAAATAAGATGAGTATTGAAAATTTGGCGACAATATTCTCACCGACTGTCTTTTGTACGGGTGCTGTACCTGCACTTCCTCAACAGCAACATCATCTATTACATTTTCTCATTCAAAATCCACGGGTTGTCCCATTTTCTTGTTGAAATTTAATTTTCAAGATATCTTAGGTATTTATTATTAGCTTTTTTTTGCATAGTTTCCAGTCTATTTTATAGTTTTTATGCAAACATACTGTTAATCTATTAATAAATTAGATTGATATTCGTTAACAAATTCGATTCTTATGTTCGTTCGTTTTTTTTCGCTTCTGTTCGCTTTATATTTTCCTATTATATTTTCCTATGTTAGAGCAGGTAAATAAGAAAAGAACAAATTGGATTGAAATTGGATTATTTATAGGTAACATTTGAAAATTTTTAATATTTTTTCAGCGGTGAAAATTCTTAAGTTGTTCTATTTGCTAATGCAGCAATTTGTTATTCTTTCTACATTTTTTATGGATCTAAAATTAGTTGGATTTTTTTTTTTGTAATATTTTGTAAACTAATGTTGATTGATTTTTATTTCGATTTTGGTTTACATATAATATATAATATTATATATTTTTTATATATTATGACCAGTGAAAAATATTTGGCTTATTTTAGTTCTGGTAAAGCGTGATAAATGAGAAATTTGAAATCTGAAAATGACACAATAAATGAAATTAAAAATACAACTGTAAGATAAAGGAAAAATAGAAACTTGGTAATAGCTTGCAAAGTAACTTATCTTTGGTGATAAAATATTACAAACATCTTTGGTGATAAAATCAACCATTTTTCTTTTAAAATGAAGGGAAAAAGAGAGAAAGTGAGATGAAATCAGTATTCTAAATGAGAAAGAAAAGTGAAAGGCTCGCAGCAAGTTTTTCAAATTAAATTTTTTAAAACTCACAACACCCACTTATTTGTCTGATTTCAGTGATTAATAGAGTGCCAAAAAGTTGATTAAGGATATAGATTTAAGAATGTAGATTTGCCTTGAGCATTGCTCAAATTTCATTTTCACTGGTTAAAAACCCGTTAGTCGGAAAGAAATCGAACCCATTAGCCTGATTTAACACTCGAACTCGTTTCTAACCTGTTTCGTTCGATTTTTGTTTTGGTAGCCAAATTTCATGCAAAATTAATTTCTGGTGATATTCAAAGAAAAATGTTCAATGATATAAAATGAAAATAAAATGGAAAATAATAAAAAAAATAAATAAATGATTGAAATCCCATGTTATTTTTTTTTTCAACGAAATCGCTTTGAATGATATTCTGAATTTAGCGCGTTATATAATGTACAATCAAAATGTTAGGAAAACGGATTATCTAACTGATTGGAAGTATTGACAAAAACACTCTTAATTTGAGAAAATGCTTCAAGCGCAGCAATGCCATTTTCTCGACCGAAGCCTGATTGCTTCATTCCACCAAATGGTACCATAGGACCTAAGGAATCGTTTTTCTTGAATTATTTAATGGAACTTATCATAACCTATCAAATAAATTATCATTTTCACGAATGATCATCAGTCATGAAATTAAAGATAACAAAAATATTATTTTAGGTTTTATAATATTTTTAAATCTAAAAATTACTTATATCATTATAGGTATTCACATAAATATTTCCAGCTTTTAATTTTGACGATACTGCATAAGCTTTCTTCAAATCACTAAAAAAAAATAAAATTTAATATTTTTTTATAAAAAAGCTAGGAAGTAATGGTTAATTATTTAATCAAATGCAAAATAACCACTGTGATGGATAGTGTCAGAAAACTAAGGTGGGCCAATCAAGACCTGGATTGATACACTCGGGAAAAATTAAAACACATTTTAAACGCATAGGACCAGCGATATATGGACCTAAACGATGAAAAAAGAATGAGTCCTATTATTGTCAGCGATAGTGTCGGATTGAATAACTTGGTCTTACCCTTGTATTCCCATTTACTAAATGACCTCAAATTAGATCGCAAAAATCTTCTTTAAAATGCAAACATAATCTATAATGTAAATTTTAACCTTGTAAATAAACCAGCAGCGAGTCCGAACGGTGTATCATTTGCGATTTCGATTGCATCCTGCAATTTTACAATATTAAGCGATAAAAGTTTGATAATAATTTTAATAATAATAATAAATTTTGATAATCTTATTTTTATATAATATAGTGATAAGGAACAATAATAAGAAAATAATAGGAAATAATAAGTTTTGCGCATCGAAACGCCTCAGGGATATTGGTAAAAAGACGAAAAGCATAAAGAAAATTTTCAAAACCAACCTCAGTTTTATCAAATGGAAGTAATAACATAACAGCTCCAAAGACTTCTTTATGATAAACACGCATACATTTATTGATACCTTCTAGTATCGCAGGCGAAAGATAAAAACCCCCTTCCACACCACTTACAATAATTTCATCTCCTCCACATAATAATTTGGCACCCTAATAAATAAATCTGATTATCCTTCTGTATCACTAAATCAATAAGTAAAAAAAAGAGAGAGGATACCTGACTGGGATTCTGATTTGACTAAAGCTAAGCATGATGCGTTACAAAATCCGAATGAAAACAACAAAATCTTTAGTAATAATGATAATGCCAAAGTATTATCACTGGTTTTATTTCTTCCAACAATCAGATATCAGAAATAAAAAATGTCGTTTTCTTCTTATTGAAAAATGATCGAATAACGTTGAATCCAGAAAAAACCTCATTGATTGCTTCCTTGATAAATGACTTTACATTCAAAAGATGTTCTTTCGATATCAATGCGCCATGCCTTGTTTCTTCTTTCAAAGGATCACCAACAACAATACTTTTAGTAGCTCTAACCACTTTTTCTTTAAATTCATCATATACTGAATGATGGACAAGTATTTTTGAAGCATTTGAACAAACCTGTCCCTGGCTGAAACTTATGGATATATGTGCCAAATAAAAAATAACTTGAAAGTTGGTACTCTAGAATTTCTTTCTTTTTGACTTATCACCGGAAGATTAAAGTGTTCTCTTTTTATGCTTTGAGAAAGAATGATAAAAATAATGAAACAATAAAACTGAAAAAATTATATAAGGAAATCGACAAAAAATTACGCATAGAAATTAGCCATTAGAGCACCAGCTACCGCCATATTAATATCTGCGTCACCGAAAATAATGCAAGAACTTTTACCGCCAAGTTCAAGTGTAGCGGGCTTGAGACGACCAGGTAAGCTACAAGAAGCAAGAACTTTAGCACCAGTAGCAGAACTACCAGTAAATGTAACCTTGCCAATTCCTTCATGCTCGCAAATAAATTTTCCAGTTTCACCATCTCCCTAAATTTAAGAAATATTTAAGAAATTAAAACCTCCACCTACATTTTTTATTCAGTGAAAAAAATTATGATTCAAAATAAAACATAAATTCACCTGCAATACGGAAAAAATTCCATCAGGAAGTCCAGAATGCTGCAAAATTTTTGCCAAAATAAATGAAGTTATTGGAGCGAGCGGTGAAGGCTTATAAACTATTGCATTACCGCAAATTAAAGCCGGGGCAACTTTCCAAACGGCTGTTTGTAAAGGATAATTCCATACACCAATCGCACCCACAACTCCCCATGGTTCTCGTTCTGTATAAGCATATCTTTCATTGTCCAATGGTAGATGAAAACATGAAACGATAAATTTTGAAGCAAATTTTGAAAATTTTCTTTATAAAATCAAAATTAAATATTATAAACTCTATCTAGTGATGATATTAATTATCTTTGCACTTCCCACGATCAATTTTAAGAACAAATTAAACAAATTAAATTATATCGCGCAAAATTAATCTTGATTAGCCCACCGTTTTATTATCAATAATTATCAATAATAATAATTATCAATAAATTTCTAATATATTAATTCATTCTAATGTTATGTTATTTTAGATATTTTTTACTTGTTTTTTTTTCATTTTTATAAGTTCATATATAAGCAAATGGCCTTAAACTTTTAAACAAGTGGTCTTATTATTTAATTATTTAAAAATTATGTCCAGAAAAAATCCAGAAAAAATAAAATATAAAAATATGAACCGGCTAAATTATGAGCGACACCAGAATAAAAATCGAAACAATCTACGCACGATGCAATATCAATACGTGATTCACAGATTGGTTTGCCAGAATCGAGCGTTTCCATATAAGCGAGATCTTCAGTACAATCCTTTAAGAAAATAAGGAATGGATAATCTATTTTTTGAGGAATTTGTTTTTTTTTTTTTTTAAAGGGTCTAACTGTTTATAGTTGGGCCCGCCCGTTGTGCTTATAGTTGGATCAGAAAAATTTAACCCTGGAATCGTTTGGCAATAAAAATACAAGAGAAATCTTCAATCGGATTTTTGAAAAATAATTTTGAAAAACACTGATAGGAGTGAAACCCCTGGCATAGTCGCTGCAAAATTGAAGCAATAATCAATTCAACCATTCATAGAATCTGACTTTAGATTTAAATTTTACAATGTTTTATTAAGGCAATAAATCACTTATTAAAACCAACCGTATAACCGAGGAAAATTTTTTAAGAAAAAAAGAAAAAAGAAAAAGAAAAAAGAAAAAAAGAAAGAAAAGAATTAACTTTTATAATTTCAGCAGCTCGCCTTAAGACCAAACCCCTTTTCTGCGCCCCCATTTTATGCCACATAGGTTGTACCATTCTTGCATCTTTCACGACCGAATCAATCAAGGATTTATCAGCACAGAAGCATTTCGTCAAGATTTCACCTTAAAAAATTGATCTGATTTGGATTATAGGAAATATTCAAGCGAATTCCACACTATACTATTCTCCTCGAACCATAAACTATATATTCGACTATTTTTGCTTTTCATTTTTATTTCTAATAATAACTGATCTAATATTATTTTTAACAATACAGTTTATAATGCATAGGTGTTTCTATGTAAACGATTTAGTCTTATCAAATATCACCAATAAATGAAATGTTATCTTAAAAAATCAAAAAATTATAAAAAAAAAATCAACAAACCGTTCCTTGGTTGAATAACATCAAAAATTTTCGTTGTTTCTGACTTTGCTGGTGACATTGTTGCACCAAATGCGAAATGTAACACCTCATTAATCGTTCTCGAAATTCGAAACTTTTTAGACATTTGCCGAAAATTTTTTGAAAAACGTAATTCTAAAAGTTTTGCTCGCTTCAAATTAGCTGGGTGTGAGCCAGGTTCACCTTGTGGTACTTTCAACGATAATTTTGCATAATAATTTGACCAAAATGGAAGAATATAGCCATTTGATGGATCAGTAAAATTTAATGTATATGGTGGGCAATGAAGATCAAATTTACAACTCTCATAGGCTTTTATAATAAACTGACAGCAATAATATGCTTCTAGGCCAAACGAATTACGACATTTATTCGAAAATATATCATTATAAGCACAACCGAATTTCGATTTAGCCCATTTACTTGCTTCATCGCTATAAATTTTAGCCGCTTTAATCGAATAAATTTCAATACGATCTGCGTCGATTTCATGTAGAACAACGTCAATCGCTTCAATGACAACACCATTTTTTTGCGTTGTGTGAACAATGGAATGCATATTAGAGCAAAACATACCAACATGAAATACATCACAATCTTCAACAACGCTTTTTATCGCATTTTCTAAATCCGTTTTTGAAGAATGTCGCATGAAAAAAATTATATCCCCATCTCTTATTCCCAATGTAGAAAACTTCTCTCCACTCATACTGAAACTTATCAACAATAATATTAAAAGAGCATGAAAATATATGATCACCGATAATGATTTGATTAAAAAAGAGATAACGATTATTCATCGATATATAAGTGATAAAAATCTAGAATTATAATAGAAATATTTTTTTATTTTGAATTATTTTTCACTGGTTAAATTAATCAATTTACAAAAGATTTTTTTGTTATTCAAAAAAATAAACTTCAAAATACACGAGATGGTGCTGGTGACACATCTATATCTCTATAGTTAAATGAAATAAATCCTCGGCAAAAATTTACCCGAAAAACCAGCGGAGATAGAGCTAAAAGCTTACCCAGAAATGATGAATGCATTAATAAAAAAATTTACAAAAAATGCTAATTGTTTCATATGAATGATAACTGTTGCTGTTCAAAAAAAATTAAAAAATTAAAAATTAAGAATTAAAAAAATATTACAAACAAATTATCAACATTTTGAACCTATATTCCTGTTTAAAGAATCTATATCAAAAATTATTTTGCAAAGAAAAACAATAGTAATCAAAAAACATTAATAAACATTAAATATAATAAATATAAGTATTACAAATAGCACAAACTTATTGGGAAATTGGGCAATTACTGGCTATCAGTATTTGATAACAACTGAGAATTTATATTATTGAGGTCCATATTTAAAACTTTTTGAAGATAAAATGGCCAGTGGTCTAATACCATTGTACTTGAAAGTTTGATCTCATTCAGATCACTAAAATAATTCATTCTGTTTATTTTTAATAAGAAAATTTAAGAATACAAAAAAAATGATGAAAATCGCTAAATTAATAAATAATTTTATCGAAATTTATCAAAATGACGAAAAATTTTTTTATAATTCTTTTAAAAATCACCTTTGTTCTATCCAATTAACAAAACAGCGATTATTAATAACGCGAAGAAATAAAAGTCGTCCAGCAGGAAAGAGCTAAATGTTAAGTGAGTAGAAGCCGACCATAAAAGAAAAAAGGCAATAAAAGGCAATAAAAAGAATATAATTAAATGAATCAAAATCGAATACCTTAATGCGATTTCGTCGATGATACATTGGCCGATCACTGTTATCAACCCCACCGTATTCATAAGATGTTAATGGCCGATTGAATACCAGAGACAAACGATCGTCAGCCGAATTTATTATATTAAAGTCATTTTCAACAGCATCTGTTAAGAAGCATTGATTTAACCAAATTATTACGAAAATGACAGTTGTGAAGATAATATTCATAACAGTGGGTTAGTGATAAAATTCACCATTTTTGAAGAAATAGATTAAACCATGCCAATTTCAATATTTCAAGGTAACGAACTAAGAAACTGACATTGAGACATTTAGTGTAAAACAGTGAAATTATTTTGAATTTATAACTGATCTATAACTGATAGTCGCTTTTTCTTATTTTCTTCCATTTTTCTTAACTATAAATTTTTCGTTAAATTTGAAATCCACGTAGCTGGTTCTTTAGAACCATTATCATTATCTCCACCAAAAATTAAATAATGAATGGTATAAAGATGGAGGGATCAAGTCGACAGATTTGAAACATCTCACCTCCCTCCCCCCTTCTTCCCCGCAAATTAATAGAAGCTAAACCTAACGTTGGGCAGAAAATTAAATTGAAATTAAAATAAAAATGAAATTTCATTCTTTAATCATAAAGAATTAAAGAATGAAATTTAAGAAAATAAAAAATTAATTAACAGAATATAAGAAAAAAATATAAAAAATAAAAATAAACACCATCATTAAGCCATGACGACGATGAAGAATACATGAATAGCCTGAAGCATCCTTTAATCAAAATTTTATATTTGGCATTTTCACAGCCAATTAGAGAATCGATGATGCGAAGCTTGAGATCATTGAGAGTCTAAACAATAATTTTTAATTTCTATTTAAGAAAATGATTCTGATTTGATTAATGATAAAATGCTATTGCTAAAACAAAAAAATATGCCTGAAAAGATAGTCTAGGAATTATGTCATCACCGAGCACAATACTGAATACATTATTTTTCGTAGCAGCCAGACCATTTTCATCAATAATACATCCAGGAGGAGAATATGCGAAACATCTGACCTCTCTTTCATTCCTATAAACTTTTCATTCATTTTTTTTTTTATTTTTGAAAACATTTCAAAATTACGTATAAAAAATCAGACAAATCTAGTACTTAAGTAGAAGTGCTAAGATAGTGGCAACTCCAGCACCAAGAGAATGACCACAAAGTACAGTAATATAGCCTGGCATAATTTCGTCCATTTCCTCAAAAATTCTCTGTTCTCGTAAAGCAAATAATATATAACGAGCACTTCGCAACATTCCAGTATGCACTCGAATTTCTGGCTGAATTTCCATAATAATAATTTAGCTAGGATTTTTCTAATTTTTATAATCCTAAGTAAAATGCAAACAACATGCGCTACCAAAAATATTCCTTTAAAATTATTAGGTTTAAAAAATGATCAAAAAGTATTATAAAAGACAAACTTCAGAAGTAAAAGTATTTGAATTTAAATTGGGCAAATTATTAGGGGGGTATAAATCAGAAATAAGCGCCTCATCATCAAGTGACAAATCGGTAATAAGATCCGTTATAGAAGCTGAACCACGAATAGTTATAACAACACTATGCGACTCAAAATCAGCTATTACAGCAAAAGGAACCTGTAATAAAATAAAGGTCCAGAATAAAGTTCTATGATTTCAGATTTATCAGTTTTATTAATTTAATTACATAAAATAATTGCATAAAAAATGAAGGATAAATGAAGACTGCAGAAAGCAAAGCATAGTTATTATGCGAAATAAGGAAAAAAAAATCGAAGAAAATGAAGGAAAATTAAAACTTCATAGAGATGATTTCGAAAAGAGATATATCGAATACTACAGGACGAATAATCCAACATGAGGGAACAAGCAGTAAGATTGCACAAACAACAATTATCACCTTCTACAGTCGTAATATTCATTCTGAAAAAATATTATAATAAAACAAAAATAAATTTATAATCCAAGTAATAGAATGGCTTAGTGGGTTGTTGCTCAATTGGGAGCGCCGACCCGCAGGAGTAAACCTGTATTAAAAACCGAGTGATGCTGGCGACCCACCTGTATTTCTATCATCAAGGGACTCTATAGCATATTGCCCAATGTGATAAACCAGTGGAGCGAGTTTAACCAGTAATGGTGTACTCCTTAAAAAAAAATCCAAGTAATAGCCCGTTTTTAAATTAATTTGGACTTTACAGATTTCAAAGAAGGAATAGATTTAAAATTAATAAAAAATAAAATAGGTAAAAGAAAAATCTGCAAAAAAAAGGGAAATAAACCTGCTATTGGTCTTGTGGCATTGCGATTTTCTGCATAGTTCAAGACACGCAGTACAATTACAGTTCCCAAGCATATAAGTGGGCCAACCATAAATCGCGAGTGCAAAATTAAATGTTTTTTTTGCATTTTCAATTGTCATCCATTCGGGGATCTAATTAAATAACTGCTAAATAAAAGTTGTTAAGCAGTTAGTGACCATCAATGGTCTTTAAAAGAAAAGATAAGCCTAAGTTATAGAGGCTAGATGCTAAAAAACTGCTAAAATCATAGATAAGGAATTTTCTTGTTCTTAGATAATTTTCATCTTTATCCTTTATTTTAACATTCATGTGGTCTCATTATTTTAAATATGCTATTTTTTTTAATACTTTAATGATATACCAACTGTTACCAACTGCTGTGGGTATTTTTGTTTTAGCTTAAGCTAATCGCTGCATGCCAAGGCCTACATTTCACCATGGATTAATTACCATAGATAGATTAGTTAAATCTTCTAAAGATAAAAATGGAGGATTATCTTTTCATTCATTACACTTATCCTAAGATGAATTACAAAATTTATGCCACTTCATTAAAAAAATATAATTGTCATAAGTCATAGCAGCACCCACGTTTATTTACATATATCCTGATAGTTACCTTGGTATAAAAATTACATGGATGTTCCAAAGAAAGCATAAGATATAAAATCCCATACGGTAATTTTTAAATATTTGATAAAATTAAATTTAAAATAATAATTAAATAAATTTTTCAAATTCTTTTAAAATTCTTTTAAGATAATTTTTGATATAACTATTTTGAACTTTAAATTTTTTAAGATAATAAATTTAACCATCGATTCGTCGCTACTACTCGCCAAATCAGTTGTAGGTAGCTCCGAAGAATGAACAAGAAGTATAAGACCAGCAAGAATATCTGATGGAACTAAATCCACATCGTCAAAAAACGACGCTATCATTGTAGAAATATCATTCAGTGCAGAACGTATAGTTTGTTCACCTCGACGATCCAAGCATGAGAACTTAAAAAATTAAAATTATGAATATAATTATAATGACCTTAAGACTTCATAACTTTAAGAAAAAATTACCAATTTCAAACATCTTAAATAAGAATTAAATTCCGAATCAGATGCATAATGATTTGATAAGCGACTTTTTCCCGATGGATTGAAAACAACCGCCACTCCAAATAAAACAGCAAACAAAAGAATCCATTGCAAAATTACCGTTAAACGAAAAAGAAGCGTAAGGTGACAAAATTCACCAGAAACTAAAAAAAAAACTTTTATTATGGCCAAAATCTTTGCATTTACTATGCCGATTGTTTTTTTTTCCATAGCACCATTATCTATAAAGTTTATTTATTCTATAAATCAATAATATAAAAAAAAACCATACCAAATGCAATAATTGTTGAATAAATTGTACATAAAAGTTCAATAATATAAACTGGAAGTCGAATATGAAGTAAGGTTGAAATATGACGACGTGAAAAAGGTTGAAGAATAGCACCTCGAGAACTAATTCGAGCTATTGTTATACAAAGTAATATTGTTAATAAATTCAACGATATCAATACAAGCATACTGATAATAAAATCCAGTGATCGACATTTTAACGGATTATTTAATGCAACAACTATACATGTTACTAATACCCTGCAATTAAAACAATACATTAGTGGAATGATAATCGAGTGGCATATTGCAAAGAGGCATATTTCAAAACCATTACAAGTCCAATTTTTCTCTCTTAATTGTAAGCCAATTATTAGAAGTGAACCCATAATATAATTCAAATAATACAATTTCTAATATAAAAAAAAACCTGTATGCTAGGCCTCAAAAGGATAAAAAAACGGTAGATCAGGCCTCGGAAGTGTAGAAAAACGACTCTCTAGTAAAAGGGCCCAATTAATCATATCAGCCAACACAACTAGGCCTAATGAGACGAGAAAAGAAACTCTTGGAAAAAATTTCTAATTATTATTCTTAATTCTTTTAAATTAAATTTTGATCGATTCTATTGATAATGTTAATGCATTGCTTTGACGAACGCCTAATTTGCAAAGTATTAAAAAAAAATTTTCTTTGGACGAAAAATGATTAGCCAAGGAAATTCAATTATTTAAAATCAATCAATCGATTCGAAATTTTATAATTTTAAATTTACATTATAATTTTTTTTTTTAAACAGCCTCCATCATTACTATAATTAGAGTCGCTCCGCTCGCTTATCGCACTAGGCAAATATGCTAGGGAGTCGCTCTTAGAGATAGAAGTAAATATAAATGAGAGTCGCCAACCGCTCCGCTCGCTTATCGCACTAGGCGAATATGCTAGGGAGTCGCTCTTAGCGATAGAAGTAAATATAAATGAGAGTCGCCAACCGCTCCGCTCGCTTATCGCACTAGGCGAATATGCTAGGGAGTCGCTCTTAGCGATAGAAGTAAATATAAATGAGAGTCACCAACCGCTCCGCTCGCTTATCGCACTAGGCAAATATGCTAGGGAGTCGCTCTTAGCGATAGAAGTAAATATAAATGAGTCGCCACCAAAATTTTAGAAAGGAAAAAAAAAATTTAAAATTTTAAAATAAAAAAATATGCAAAAAAAACAAATACCATATAAATCGAAAAAATGCCTCACTAATTGCCGGAAATACAAAATCGTCACTTGCAATATTCCAACGACGACCAAATGCGATCAACGACGGCATTCTCCATTTATATTTCCAACGAAGAAGAAAAAAAGAGGAAAAGAATGATTATAATTATTTCGCAAATCCGACAAGCTGATAATTAGTGCTTCGAAGCTGAATGTTAGTATATGAAAGCTGCAAATTTGTGCAACGGGTATTTTGGGAACTGATAATTAGTACAATGAAATTAACGTGGTACTTTTAAAATTCATTCTGGGAATACTGTTTGGTTGTTTTTGGTCTGTTAATGTTTTATTCGGTTGAAATGTTTAGTGTCTTTGTTATTTCTACCTATGATTATATTTTTTTCATTGTTATAGTGTCAAATATAGTTTCCATTTCTTTTAAAAAAAAATCTCTCTTCTCTTATGGGTTATTTTCGTGAACCTCCGGATCCTCTGCTAGATAACTGTAAGGTTAAAGGTTATGCATCTTAGCTGTTCCTAGTTGTTGTTCCTAGCATTAGCTCTTCTGGCCAGAGAGATCTTTGATTTTGATTTTGGTCCTAGAATATGCTAAAACCTCTTTTTTAGTTTAAGAACTATGGTTCCAAGTATATTACAGTTGCAGTTGGAATTATTTTGGCCTTCACTTTTCAAATCTTCTTCCTGGTTCCTCTTCCAGCATTTACTTAGCTTGATATTTCCTTAGCTTTTCACATTCTTCCGCTTTTTTAATATTAATGCCATTCGGTATTGCTTTATCACCAGTGCTGATTTTTGTTTCTATTTCGTGTCTATCAGGGTATCTGGTTATTGCCCAACGCTTGTTTGTCTCTTTGGTTGGTTGTATAGGAATCTTGGCGAATTTCTTGTATTGATGGTGTCGTCTGCTTGATAATGCCTTTCAGAAACCCCAGTAATGGAGAGAATATGTTCCTGCTTGCATTTTATATTCTACCACTATGGACTTTTCCTAGGGTGTTTTTTGCGCAATTTGCACCTAGAATACTATGTGATAGATTTAGTGGACCTTACCTACTTAATTATTATGCAGTTCAGTCGGAGTAGTATCACAGATCTTGAACCCTTATGATTTTGTCGTTTTTGCTGATTGCTATGATGAATTACAATAGCCTTATCGTACTAGACAAATATGAAATATTGAGCGAATTTTTTTATTTAGAGGATCCTCACCATTATTGTTTAAACTCGCTCCGTTGGTTTATCGCACCGGACAAATGTGCTTGGTGATAGAAATACAGGTGAATCGCCAACATTACCCCGACTTTTGGACAGTTCTACTCTCCTGTGAAGAATAGAACCTCAGCACCGGCGAATTAGAAACAACCCATTGAGCTATTCTATCCCATTGAAAATATAACGAACTTATATTATAGCCTAATGTCTAAGACGAGCGATTAATATGAATAGAAAAGCGGAGACTGCTGTATTGAAGCCGAATATTTGCGGTGGAAATACTCTGGTGGAAATCGCCTTAATCGCAGTGGCTTGAACCGGGCAAAAGTCGTAACAAGGTTTCCGTAGGTGAACCTGCGGAAGGATCATTAACGTACGTTCAACATTCGTTCGAATCGTAGCCAGCCACCTCTATCTTTCCGAGATCCTTGGACAAGAACTTCTGAAAGCATATCTACTCTAGCTCAAATATGAGAATGTAGACTAGAATCATGCTTACATAGTCAAAATATTCTAAAATTGATGAAATACTACCATAGAGCAGCAAATCTAATGAAAAGAGTTATATGAAAGAAGTTATATGTGGGTGGACTTATATCCACATTAACTGTGAAAACAACTAGTCAAAGCGCCTTAACCTTATAGCAGCCATACTTCAGCTTCAATCAGCTTCAGTAAATTCACCATCGAGTCACAAGTATTCATATTTTTCTCTTTTTCTCTTTTTATATTTATATTTAAAAATGTCGTTTTTATTTTTGCTGGCTTATGAATGTAATACATTATTGTTTTGAAAAATTTTATACGATTTTGAACTAAATTTAATTATATAATATAATATATATGAATAAATTTACCATTAATTTACATAAATTTACCATAAATTTATGACTGATTCATATATAAAAACAAAAAATAACAAAAAATAAGAAAAATCTTCAGAATACAAAAGCAGAATAATAAATAATAAGTAAGTGAAACGAACATTTTAACGAGTTAAGAAGAATAACAATGGAAATATAAAATTAAAAATTAAAAAGATTCATAAATTTTTGGGTATTTTTTTTACAATAAATCCAGGAACCTAAAAAGATTGGTTTAAAATTTGAAATATATAAATAATTTTTAAGATAATTTTTTTGCGCATTTATATATTTTTATATATTTTTAAATATATTTATGATGTATTGTTTTATAATATATTTTAAATTATAACAATATCGATAACAGTTTTTAAATTTTATGTTAATTTTAATTTATTAATATTTTATGTTAATAAATTCTAACTTAAAATTATAAAATTATGAATTATAATTCTTTTATCTGCAATAAAAACTAGTAAATTATGAGCATTAAATTTTAAAAAATGCAATAAAATACATACAATTGTCAAGCCATTAATTAGTTGAATTTCGTAAATATTGGTGGTTAAGAGTTTAAAAATTTTTCGACTTCGAAAATCGAGATCGAAATTTTAAACTTTTGTTTCAGGTCCCTGGTCATTCGAAGTTAATTGTTGCTTGAACGAGTCGCGTAAACGAGCGATTTGTCTCGCTACTAGACTTCCATAAACTTTATTGTACCAAGCATTGCTACGACCTCTGCCAATAATCAAATTTTATTTTTTTAATTTAAATTTTATTTTTATTTTTATATTATTATTTAAATAAATAAGGCTTATACTTAGGATTTATTTATTCCAATTTTAAAAAATTTCCTAAAAATCTTTTGCTAATTTTAAATTTATTAATTTAAAGGAAAAAAAATTGAGAAATTTAGAAATAAAAAATATACCTTAAGTCGACGCGACTTACATAAGTAACCCGTGATCGTCCAGCACATGGTTCAATAAGAAATCTTGAAACGAGAACTGCTGCTGGTATTCCTCCAAGGAATTGGGTTTCGCTTGAGTGAACTGATCGTTCAACTATTGTACATCCTCCTCTTAGTTCTTTTAAATCCGTATGCCACATCCTTAAATTATTCTATTTCGCATTCTTTTTTGACATGAATTCATTTATAATTTAAACTTTCGAATCATTTATTTTCTTTTCATAGGGTTTTATTCCCAGAACCAGGAAATTCGCTTAATGATCCATTAGTATATTTATTGCTAAACAAATGCTTGTGACAAAATTTGTCTGATCCTTCACATTAGCGAAATGAGTTTAAGCAGTGAGTGAACTATTAGAAAAAAAAAGATTTTTAACAAAAATTTTACCATTAAATTATATTATAGTAATTACCTAACAACCATAAGATCTCTTGTTGGATGTGATGGTGTATCATTGATAACATATTGAAACACTTCACAATTGTCATTGCCAAGGGAGGCAACTATTCGCCAGTTAATTATCGATGGATCCCATATATGTCTATAATTGAAATATTTATACATTTGATTTGCGTATATTGTGGATTTATGTCAAAATCTTGATTATAGGTTACTTGATTACAGATGTGATATATACCTTTCTCTAATTATACGTGCGAGTAATTCTTTCGCTGGTGCTTCTACATCGGTCCAAACTTTAAAATAACGAAGAGGATGACCATCAGGTGATTTTTTGCTTGATACTTCAATACCATCAATGTTACCTTCTGTAATCCAACCTTTCCATCTATCTTGATGTTCCTAAAAATAAAATATAAATAAAAGTATAAAAATTAAACATACTAAAAGAAATTTATATAAATTTGAAAAAAATTATTGAATTAGAGGATAAATAAAATTTAAAAATTCATAAGAAAAATTCATAAACCTTAAGAAGTTCTTTCGATTTTTGCAATAAATATGTTTTATAATTGCCACCATCTGAAACTCCAAGTTGGCTCAAAAATGGCGCATCTGGCTCATATCTATTTGAATCTGGTTCAAGTTCAAAATTAGAACCAGATGGCATTATGAATAATTTTTTCGCTTCATTAATCATATCAATAAGACATTCTTGAGCAGCTTTTGATTCTTTCATTTCTCGTTCGCTTGGCAAACCAGCAGCTCCAATTGTTTTATGCCTCCTAAATTTACTTTTTTTGATGGAAAAATAAAAAAATTGGTAAAATCTAGATAAATATGATAAAAGAATTTAATGATAATCAAAAAATTGAATGAAATAAAAAAAAGATAAGCAAAAATTGATACCTCGTTGGGCTTATATTATTGAGACGTGATGAACTTAAATAAAATAAAGACGGAGCGAAGCAAACTGCAAGATTTTGAGCAGTCATCTGTAATACGAAAAAACTTATTTTCTTTCTAGGAAATATTCATTGTTTCTGGTTAGACTCGATGGCTTATCGGATCAGGCAAATTTTTCCAATGAGTCGTTTGGCGATACTGATGGGTAGTAAACGGAATTTTCAAAAAACAAGTTTGCTCCTGCCAAGAGTGGAACTTCAGCGTCAGCGAAATAAAATCTATTTATTCAGTTTTTTTTTTAAACTTACACTGTTAGTAGCCGAATTTCGCGCAATATCATGAAGAAAATAAATTAAAGTTTGGAGAGCTTCTCGATTTTCATCAGGTAATAAAATTAGAGCGTGTTGAATCGCACCCATGCGTAATTCTCTTGGAACATCTTAAATTCGATTTTTTTTCATTTAATATTTAATAAAAATATTACATTTATAGAAATAATTTTATTATTCTTTCGTAAGATATTAAAAAATTACTTCTTGAATGAAACCTATGACTTTTTTCTTGGCTTACTTGCTTCAATAATTTTTTTCTAAATAATTAATAAAATTTAGCCCATAATCAGTTAATAATAATCGAAAAAACTAACATAAATATATATTAACGAAAATTGCCGAGAATTTAGTCGTCATCAGAGGTTCTGGCAATTCGCGAAAATATTGTTTTAATAAATCAGCAGCGTCATGAATCTGAAAATAAAAATAAAATATTTTTTTATATGTAAATAACAAATGTACTATTGCTGTAAAAAATGGAGCCTTGTGGATTTTTTTTTTCAATTAAGGAAATTGCGCGAAAACTGATAGAACTAATTTAGAATCAATATAGCAAATAGAAGATTTGTCAAAATTAAGAGGTAAAACCTATGTACAAAATGCCTTCGAGTAGGCCAGATTAATGATTATAAACCGGCCAAAAGCACCATTGTGATCCTAAAATAATTACTAACTACTTACCTGTGATGAGTGTAGATTCTTTCCATCATCGAAAACTTCTTCATCTGGGCCAAAATCACAAAGCGCCCTTAATTCAGCAATACGTGATCGTACACCATTTTTACGAAAAATTCCAATAGTATCTGGTGCAGTGATTCTTAGGAATTTCATTATTTCTAAGATGCATCTAGGTAATGCGAAGCCAGAACGACTTTGTACAATTGCTAATGGTAAACCGAATATTGATATATCATCTATAAATTTATCGGTTCTAATTATTGATATCACCTATAGATTTATCGGTTTACTGATATCACCTATAGATTTTTCGGTTCTATTTACTGATATCACATATCACCTATACATTTCAACTGTCATTTCTTGGTTTTTATATTGTAAATAAAGAATTTTATTAGGCCATATTTGCAATTAATAATAATTCAATAATAATAATCTATTCAATAATGTAAAAAAATGAAAAGAATTGATTTGTGAATTTATTTTTCAACCATAAAATTTTATCATTTAAATTATTTTAATAATAATAAATAAAAAAAAAACTTTTGGTGATTTTCGAATCGGTGTTTCGTATTTTTTTAATAAATTTCTGTACGGCCCAATTTTTAACATTATTAGAACCATTATTATTTGTACCACAAATTTGTAACGTACTACCAGCATATCTTTCGATTAATACGGATAATTTTAGAAATGCGATTTTACGAAATCTTTGCTAAAAATAGTCTAATAATTTTTATTGGACGAAATAAAACAACACAAGAAATGCTTAGGCATCACGCTTAGAGAGCTATTATTATGGAACACTGTTTATTAAAGATTCACCAACCAAAATATGGCCAGGATATAGTCAAGAAAAAATTTGAGTGTTTATATGCGTTGAATGTTTAGGTGGACCAACAATATACGGACTTAGACGATGGAAAAAGAATGGTTTCTATTACTGGTCGAAGGTGGCATCAAATCGCGAACCTTGGAAACATACTTCATAGCCAGTGGAGCCAATATAACCAATAATGGTGAAAACCATTGTTAGAAAAGGATTCACCAAAAGATTTCAGGAAATCTTTCATCATTGTTTTTGTTGAAATTAAACTTATTCATTGTTCATTTACGTGCTTACATAAGTAAAAAATGTTTATGCAGTGAAGATAGCTATTTTTATATCGTTAAATCCCCGGAGATTTTGGATCTAAAGTTATTTGAACTTGAAATAGCAACTCGCAAACAATGCTGGTTTAATTTTTTAGCAAACAATGGTAAGATAGGATAAAGTGCTCACCATTACTGATTAAACTCGTTCCGCTGGCTTGTCGCAGTGGACAAATATGCTAGGGAGTCCCTTAGTAATAGAAGTACAAGTGAGTCGCCAGCATCACCCGGATTTTTGGGCAGGTTTATTCCTGCGGGGAATAGAACCTCAGCATTGGCGCTCCGAATTGAGCAACAACTCATTGAGCCATTCCATCTCTATAGGATGAGGCTAAGACGTTTCCAAGCTCTCTTGTTTTTAATTTAAATTTCCAGGAAAATTTTAAAAAAGTAACCATTGCTGTCACATTAACCGCATCCATACAAATAAATAGATCAGTATCACTTATGAAAGTTTCATTTTGTTCGTTTGAGAAAGTATTTGTTGTTGGTACGATCGACGATATTTTACGTCGTGGATCTCGCATTAAAAGACGATTAATAATTTTTTCCGTTATGAGAATCGAGTTAATTTGTCGTTGAGTTGTTGGTCCGCTAAATTTTTTCGAATATTGAAGAATATTTTCATTTAAGATATTAAATTATTATTATTATTTAATGGTACCTAGGCGATCTTGATAGGCTAGAACCAACACCAGAATCGCGTCGTTCGTTGTTTATCACTCGTTGATTATACTGTCTCGAATCCTCATCATTTTCGCTTGTATCTAAACTTGAACGCGATCGTAAAACATCATCAGGAATTATTCGACTTGATGATGCATTCGATCCGGATGCATTTTCTTGCGAATCAACATCGATCTAAAAATTTTTTCAATTTAATCGTTAAATCCTCAAAGATTTGAGATCTATAAATGTTGATTTTAAAAAGTGGTACCAATAAGTAGTTAATTTAATTCAGTATACTTCTTTAAAAAGTAAACCTTAAAACGGGTTTTAAATGATGGCGATGTTGCGAAAGATGATGATGTTGATGAAACCGTATGTTCAGAATTATTCGAAATTTCTCTCTCGCAATTTTGTGATAATATCATTTCAGTATCACCAGTATTATCTTCAAAAAAAAAAGAGAAATTTTACTTCTCGGAAAATTTTAAAAACATTCACTTTCAAATTATCATTGTTATCACTAATTTCACTAAAGAATTATTATTATTGCTATTATTATTATTATTATTTATTATTATTATTTATTATTATTATTATTAATTATTATTGTTAATTATTATTATTATTATTATATTATTATTATTTTATTATTATTATTATTATTATTATTATTATCAAATAAATGATTGCTAAAAAACTTTTAAAAAAAACTGGATTCCAATAAAATTAGTTTATATAACCTATGTACCCATTTAAATTTTGCATTATTTTTCTCTTTTTTTTTCGTTTAATTAGAAAAAGATTAAATTAAATATTAATAAAAATAACCGGAAAAATGCTCATAATAGCCATCCGGATTGATAACAAGGCGACATCGATCGGTTAAATTATAAATCGTTGGAGACTCGGTTACTATCGTTTTTTCCGTATGAACGCCATCACCACTGATCGACAGCTTATGAATATTTTTGAGTTGTTCATTTGAAGAAATAATTTTCGATGTTGGACGTTGAATGTTCGATCCGTTTCCACTGCTAAAAATTTCAATATATTAAAAAAAATTTACGATTCTAATATTGTAATTATTTTTTCGCCAAATTATTTTTAAATTATTTTTATATATATTTTAAATTATTTTATTTTAAATTAATTATTTATATATATATTTATATTTTCTTAAGAGCACTCACTATTTTTGATTCGATTCGTTCCACTGATTTATCGTATAAGTGAAATTTTTTGCAGGATAAAAATCATTTAGTGATAAAAATATTGATAAGCTATTAGTATTTTTTTGGATTTTTAAAAAATTTACTATCGATTTCATTCCTAGTAGAATAGAATGAATGAAACGCTCAGAGTACTAACGGTCCACAATGAGATTTAACTAAGCTATTGATGGTCCTCAATGGGATAATCTATAAGCCATTCCAACCATTAATTATTTTTTCTCTATGAAAAAAATTTATTATTAAAAAATATTTTACAAAATGCTAAAACGAAAAACTTACATAATAATTTGTGTTGAATCTGAATTAGTAATATTTGGTTTAATTTTGACGAATTTAGAAATTAAAGATTGATGCGAATTTGTGATTTGATTTAATCCATTATATGAACCATTTCGATTTGAATAAAATTGCAAATCTTTTTTTGACTCATTTGACCTATTTGAAATTGCTAAATTATCGGTTTTCGCATCCGCAATTCGATCATAAATATGATTATTCGAATAAATGATATCCGAATTTAAGTTGCCTCTTAATATAGACGGATCGCATGAAGCATCACGAAATCTTCGATATCCGAGCCTTTTCGTATTTATATAGTCGTTATTTGCAAAACTAGTCGTCGGGGTGCTAAATGTAATCTTCGCTTGATTATCGTTCGCCTTAGTACCATTGTTTCCTTTTGCAAGGCTTTTCGGTACTTGTAGTGATCGTTCGCGATTATCGGAATTATATATATGAGTTATATTAGAAGGTGAATTATTTTCGCTCGTCGCTAAAAAATTATTCATTGAGAATGCATTATATAACTACACAACCTGAAATTAATTTTAGGATACTTATAATAAGTGAAATAAATGAATGTGACCTTCATTGGAAATAATTCGCGATGAAATCATATGCGTACGATTCTTATTAAATATTTGATCATTGGAAAATACTTTCATAGCCTGAGGACTCGCAGAGAAATGTGAAATAAGTACCGGATCTCCGATAATAATTTCGTGGGGTTTTGCTATCGAATTTACATTCTGATTTTTTCGTCGTCTGAAATTTTTCAATTTAATTGAAATTTAATTTAAATAAAAGGAATTAAATTGAAAACAATCCGATTAAAAGAAAAAATCGCTGCTTGCAATAAAAATTTAATTAATTAATAATTAATAATAATTATGGCTAATTACCAATAATTATAAATGAACAATTAATAAATAATTCAAAAATTTATTAAAATTATAAATTTAAAAATTAATAAATAATTTCTATAATAATAATAATTAATATAATTAATAATAAATAATTAATTAATCAATTAAATAAATAAATTTGATAACGTTATATGAAATAAAGCAAAAACGAGTTGAAATATCCAATGTCAATACAAATAATATTTATAAAAAATTAATAAAATTGTTAAAAAATTTTAAAAATTATTTAAAAAATTAATTTTTGTTAAAAAATTGGCAAAGCAATGAAATAATTCGTATTAAAAAAGAAAGAAATTAACATTGGTGCATAAATTCTTCAAATCCAATCCAATATTTTTGGCCAGATTGGCTTTCATATATGTATTAAACATCATAATTATATGCAAATTCTTATGTTTGGCCATGAAAGGTTAATATAAAGCTAATAATATTAAGGCCTAATAATGGCTTAATTAGTTTAAAATAATTTTTATTTCCAATAAAGGAATTATATATTTTAATTTTTTACTTGCTGGAAGATCTGATATTAATTCTTTTAATGAATGCACGAGCTCGTTCTTTTATACGTTCACTTTGAGTCCGTTGAAGGATTAATTGTTGCGGATTGGAATTCGAACTTAAATTTCAACTTACTAGGGAAGTAGAACTGAAATCTGTGTTGAAAAGCAAAATATATTTCTTCTATCTCTATATGGTCGATCGCCTGTGGTACTTCGTACTACGGTAAGTAATAGGTACAATAGTAAGTTAAACTAGTTGAAATGATGCGCGTTGTTGGAAGACAACGATAAAATACTCATAGGTATATTTCCCTATCATTAATAATTCATCATTGATGCGTGTGAAAATTCGTGTTGATAATTGATAATAAAGAACCAAAAAAAGTCAAAATTTAATAAAAAAATACCTCGAACATTTGGATTCATTTTGATAATTTTGATAATTGATAATTGATAAATCTTTTATTGTAGTGTCATAAATA